TCACAGCCCTCATCTCATCTTCTACGAGCCCCACTGAGCTCGTGCTCTACCCGCGCGCGTGGATCCAGCGCGAGATCGTGCCCGTCTTGCCGCTCTCGGGCTGCTTTGAGCCCGCGCGCGTCAGCGCGGCGTACAACGTCTCGCAGTACGTCTATGGTCCCACGCATACGGACGTGGAGGCCGGGATGCCGATGAGGATGGGTATGGACTGCTATGATTTTGCAGGGACGATCAGAGCGCCTCCGTCGCCGCCCCACCTCGTGCCCTACGTCCCCCCCTCCGAACGCGTCCACTTCCACACGTACTGGCGAGTCGACTTGGCTGCTTTTGGCCCGAGGCAGGAGTGGATGCTCAAGTCTTTCTTCGCCACGCAGGATCTATCCCACGCGCGGCTCGTGTTGTGGTCGAACGGGGACCTGGGTGCCAATCCCATCTTGCAAAAATACGAGCGCCGCTTTCCGGACTCGTTCGAGTTGCGCGTGGTGGATATACCTGCACTGGCCAAGGGCACGCCGATGGACGGGAGTGGTTTGTTGCAGTCGAATGATAAGAAGGCGTGGATTGATGGCGATCTGGTGAGGTTGTTGGTCGTGTGGACGTATGGAGGCGTGTGGATCGACATGGACTCGTTGATGACGAGAGACATTGCGCCGTTGCTGGAGCACGAGTTTGTCACGCAATGGGATTGCTATGGTAAACGCTCACTCCTCTTCATCTTACACACTCACTCACTATATATCACAGACAAGGCATACCAGCCCTTCAACGGCGCCCTCATGCACTTTCGACAACATTCACCCTATCTCTGCGAGGCATTCCACATCATGGCCACCTCCCAGCCCCCTCGACAAGACTCAACCGACTGGGGGTCACTTCTCTACCACAAGCTCTGGCGACGCCTCGTGGCAGGGTCCATCCCGCCCTTTAAAGTTCTTCCGTTCTGCTTCAGCGACGCCCGTGCGTGCAGGCTGGATAACCGCCTTCCGGATCCGTTTGTGGCTGATAGGTCGAGTGGGATGTGGACGATGGGATTGGGGATGGAGGAGGGAGGTGGGTTGGATAGGGCGCTGAGGAAGGTGTTCTCGGTGCATTTGCATAACCAGTGGGAGAAGGAGTTTCCTCTGGATGGTTGGGTCGACCGTTTGCTGCTGCAGAGGTACGATCAGAAGTTGAAGGGAAGAGAGGAAGAGGAGATAAAACAAGAGCTATAGTGATACAGGGACGTGGGGTGATATTTCAGGGGACATTGTGTGCGGCAACGCCGACGGTAGGAATCAGTGCTCTAGTTACATGCATGGGATAATACTGTTTTTTTTGCATTCTAATTGTGTATACTATTTAATACATACGATCACTTTCGAGATTCTTATGCTGAAACTGCTGTTTTGAATCGGCGTTAGGTGGGAGCAAGTGCTGCAAGTGTGATGGGGCAAGGGGAGACATGGTAGTATTTTGAGAGATCATGATACGGTAGAGAAGTAGTTAGGCTGGACTGCTCGTTACTCTGTAAGAGAGGGCATGCGTCTGACGACTCTGCCTTCGTTTTTGGCGTGCACGGAGAGCTTCTCGAGGATGGCCGAATGGGCCCATCGTTCTGGCGGAGTGCGTTTGCCCGTGGACCAGTAGTAGATATCCCAGTCCGGCTCGTCCAGGAGCTACAAGAAGAAAGAGCCCAAAAACAGTCAATCCTGCTCAAGGGCAGACACACGAGATCGCACGCACCCTATCATACTCCTTCAGCTCCGCCTCGTCCATGGCTGCGAGGTGGTCGCGGGCAAAGGTGCTGAGGAGGAGGTCAGACTCGAGGGTGCCGCGCTTGCGGGACTGGTAGAGGAGGCGGGCGCGGAGGGTGGATGGGATTTCGTTGGGGCGGGGGAGGGGGGTGGGAGGGGGGACGGAGGTGGGGGTGGTGGTGGAGGCTAGGTGCTCGGGGGTGTGTGGGAGGGGCCATGGGGTCTTTGAGGCGGGGGAGACGAGGTGGCGAGGTGGCGGGTGACGAGGCGGGAGAGCATGGAGGTCACAGTAAAAGGAGCAGACCTGAGCCCACAAGACGCCAATCATCTCACCAGATCAGGCAACTCTGACTTGACCTATCTTCCTCATCATTCACCGTTGCCTGCACTGAAACATCTTCACCACCTTGTTGATAACCGGTAATCACTGCGGCCACTACAATAATTTACTCAAAGTGCTGGCAACGGCAATGTCCGTGGCGAATATATCGAGCAACATATTGAACTTTGCACTGGCACCCTGTCGATGTAGATGCTAGTGAAGTTTTGAATTTGAGTGCTTATAGATTCTGTGGGCGATAGACTTGTGAAACTGTTGTGCGACACCATGACACTAGTACTGGCACATATGATGTGTACAGCCAAGTTTTCGTCATTTGTTGCTACGTTATTGAACAAACTTTAAATGCTCAGTATCGATCTTACATAGCCTTCCTTTGGTATAAGTACTTCCGCTCACTTGCCACACCTTTCTGTGGTTCCACTCCCATGTCCTACAGCTCACATGCCGTTCTCAGTCCGTCCACGTATCATCTTTAATTTCCTCAAGTTCGCCATCCCCCTCTCGCTCGCTATCATCTACTTCGTCCATCACTTCTTCGAACCACACTTCCACATCGACCTCGTCTTCTACAACCGTGACTGGATAAACGACGATATCCTACCTGTCCTCTCTCTCGCGGGCTGCTTCGAGCCTGAAAGAATCAGCAGCAGTTACAACATCACCGAGTCGATATATGGCAAAAAACGTTATGAGGTCCAGGCAGGTCTGCCGATGAGAATGGGCATGGATTGCTACGAATTTGCGGGCACCGTCAAGGACACGCTCGACCATTCGTCTCACAACACCTACATCCCACCAGACCAACGCGTCCAGTACCACACGTACTGGAGAAACGACTTGGCCCCATTGGGGGCAAGGCAGGAGTGGATGCTCAAGTCCTTCTTCGCCACGCAAAACATTCCCAACTCGCGCCTCATCATGTGGTCCAATGGAGATCTGAGCCCAAACCCGATTCTGCAGAAATACCAGAGGTTGTTCCCGGATTCGTTCGAGTTGCGCATCGTGGATATCCCGGACCTGGCGAGCGGCACGGCGATGGAGCATAGCAAACTTCTTCGGTTGAATGATCCCAAGGCGTGGGTCGACGGGGACTTGGTCAGGCTGTTGGTGATATACGCTTTTGGTGGCGTATGGCTCGACATGGATTTGCTGTTGACGAGGAGCGTAGAACCGCTGTTAGAGCACGAATTCGTCACTCAGTGGGATTGCTACGGTAAGCTCATCCATCTTTTTCAATAACACCGCAGACCTTTCTAACTGTCGCCATGTGCGCCCTAGACAAAACCTATCAGGCCCTCAATGGCGCCCTCATGCACTTCCGTCAACACTCCCCTTACCTCTGCGAAGCCTTTGACATCATGGCCAACTCCAAACCGCCCCGCTCACCCTCCACCGACTGGGGTGCCATCCTCTACCTTAAACTGTGGAGACGGCTCGTCGCCTCGTCGATCCCCCCATTCAAAGTCCTTCCTTTCTGTTTCAGCGACGGCCTTGCGTGCACCCCAGGCAATCGCCTCCCCGACCCTTTCGTGCCTGACAGGTCAGACCACAAGTGGGCTCTAGGCCTCAATGTACTAGAGGGCGGCGGGCTCCAGGATGCGCTTGGGAAGGTCTTTTCGGTTCATTTGCATAACCGATGGGAAAAGCAATTCCCGGATGGTGGATGGGTAGATAGGTTACTACTCCGCAAGTACGACAAGAAGCTGCGCGAGATGGATAAACTTGGTTGAAGAGGAGGTGACGTTGGGGCGTGGAGAAAGTATTGTATTGTATGAAGTCTCCGTAAGTCGGTCTGTTGCTATGTTCGCGCTTGCTTGATATGATGCTGATAGGTTTTATTGTGCTCTTTAGCACCGGGACTGGGTTAATGGTGTTGTTTGCTCGTACATATGTTTTGCGCTTTTATTTCTTTTCAACCGGACATCACCATTTTTGTTCATCATGACACGACAAACGATGATGAACTGGAAGTGAGTGCTTCAGGTGACTTGGATGCATTATCAGCCTCTTACTGTCTATCTCACAGGTGGCATGCCACGACAAACACGAGTTTCAAAATCTTATCAAACATACCGATGAAATATCTAGAATTCTGTTGGCCGTTAAGATAGGACATGCTATTAATTAGATTGACTGTCTGCACGATGTAGTGTTGCTGGGAGTTGAACATACTAGACCATTGAGCGTTTCACTGCAACGTTTTTGCACCTTGTGAGCGTCGATATCCGGTGTGGCAGTGCACCGGCCGGGATATGTGAAGAAGCGCCGAAAAAAAAAGATGTGTGGGGGGGAACTTGAAATCGCAAAGAGGTCATACCAGGCAAAGACAGCGTGCAAGTCTGATAAAAGCCTCGAAAACTTGAAAGAAAAAAACATGGGTGATCTCACGTCGTTTGCAGTACACCGCTGCAGATTCATCGACTTCGCCCCTTCACCCATCAACGCCCTCGCGTTCCCGCCTCTCCCGCTGCCTTCGTTAAAGGGCAAGACACCTGAGAATGAACGGGCGCGGACGAGGGAAAAACTGTTTGGGACGCTGGCTGTCGGACGCGCGAACGGGGATATAGAGCTTTGCGAATGGTCGGGCGAAGAGGGTGCGCATCAGTCTGCACAGGCGTGGGTCGTGCAAAAGGTATGTGCAGCTATGGCTAGTCTGTAGCTGCTCACTGCAAGTGGCTCATCGCACATGATGTAGACTCTAGCAGGTCCATCTCCATCAAAAGTAGACTCGCTGGCGTTCACGCTGCGACACCCAGATACCTTTACACCCACCCACGTTCCCTCCCACTCTGACCTCCGACTGTTTAGTTCGGGGGGAGGGAGCGAGGTTGTCGAGTGGGACCTCCAGCGCGGTTGCGTACGCGTGCGTGACTCCGTCTCTTGTTTGAATGGTGCCGTATCAGCTAATGGCGTTATGCATCCAGCGCACGATCAGCTCGCAAGGCGGCTCGATCTGGTGTATAGCTGCAAATCCCGCTTCCACACTGCTCGCACTCGGCTGTGAAGATGGCTCCGTACACTTGCTCTCTCTCGCAGCCGACACGCTCACGCACCACAGACGCTTTGACCGCGTCAAGAGCCGTCTGCTGAGCTTAGCCTGGGGCCCTCCCGTTCCTCGCCCACCGCGCAGAAAAAATGATGCGCAGAAAAACGGGGACCTGGACGCCAGCGACGATGAAGACGATGACGAGGATGAATGGAGTGACTCGTGGCTCGTCACAGGCGGGTCTGATAGCTGTTTACGAAAATGGAACGTGGCCACTGGGGGTGTGCTATACAAGATGGGCACGGATAAGGTCAGAGGGGAGCGGACACTCGTATGGGCTGTTGGCGTACTTGGGTAGGCTTTTTGACTTGGCTGCGCGTCTTCGAGCTGGGCGTTCCTGATCTCATTTTTTCTCTCAGTGATGGAACGATTGTATCGGGAGATTCCCTCGGTTCTGTCAAGTTTTGGGATTCTAAAATGTGTACTCAACTACAGAGCTTTACTGCCCATGGAGCAGACGTTCTGTGTTTAACTATAGGACCTGTAAGTTTTCACTCTTCTGTGGGTTCTGTTGTAGGACTCATTATTGTCGCTAACTTTAGGAGGGTCACACCGTCTATACCTCAGGCGTCGACCAAAAAACGGTGCAATTCTCCTACGTTGCATCCGACCCAACCAAACCATCGTCTGCACCGAGCTCACCAAGCCGATGGATACAGTCTTGCTCACGGCGGATGCACTCGCACGACGTGCGCTCGCTCGCCATCTGGCCCCCATATTCGCCTCTCCCCCACTCCTACAACCGCAAAATATACAACGGACAGCCCATCGCCCCCGTCCTCGCGTCAGCCGGATTGGACATGTCCGTCGTGCTGACCCCCGCGCTCTCCACCATGATGACCACCTCGATGATCGCACCGCGTATAGTCAATCCGCTGGCGACAAGTGCGGTATCGACGTTCGAGGATGCGTACTATCGGCGCGTGCCGTACAGCTCTACGATATGCGTCGCACGGCGGGCGCGTCTCATCGCGTGTATGCAGGAGACGGGATTGAATATATGGCGGATCCTAGAGCGCGCCGAAGTAGACTCGGATCCAGGTGGGCTGAATGGTGGGGAGGAAAGGAGCGCGTGGAAGAAAATGGTGGAGATGGATATCCACACCCGTACCAATCTGATCGCTTGTGCGTTGTCCGATGATGGGCGTTGGTTGGTGGTGTCTGATTTGTACGAGGCGAAGTTATTTGAGCTGATAACTACCGTAGGTCTTCTGCCTCGCTGGTATATGACTTTTATGTGCGTGTTAGCTAACCGAAATAATGCCTAAGCCTGCAGGAGACCTAAAACCAAGACGTATAAAGTCCTTCGCCTCCGCCATACGGTCGCAGCTGTCCCCCGACGACCCCTCACTAGGAGGCAGCGCTTTCGCATTCACGCCCGACTCTTCAAAACTTGTCATGGCGACTGCCACGACAGCATATATCCTCATCGTCGATCTCAGCATGGAAGATCCCGTCGTGTTGAGACGTTTTGACCAGCATCGGAATAAGGGGCCAGCAGACGGACGGATGAAGAAGAAATCCAAAATGAACGGGACTTGGGACGACGACGACCCATCGAGCCATGCAACAGCAGCTGTTAACAGGCTCGCAGTCAGTCCAGATGGACAATGGCTGGCGACATCAGATGACCTCTGTCGAACTTACATTTTCAACCTTGACTCCAGCCAGGTATGTCACATCGCGCACCTGCAATGTTTGCTATAAGCCAATAAATCTAACGACCTAACATTTTTTAGTATCATACCACTTTGCCATCGCTGCCATTTCCGCCCAACGTACTCAGCTTTCTTCCTGAAAATCCCCACATTCTTCTGTCAGCTCTGCCAAACAATTCTTTACACCTCTTCGATATTGAGCGTAATGAGGTCCCGCCGTGGGCACGGGAACTGTGTCGACGACTACCAAAAAGGTTCACGGATGCGCTTGATCCAGTCTTGGGTTTGTCGTTTGTTCCAGCCAGAAGCAGTACGGTGGGAGTGGACCAGGGCTCGTTGGAGCAGCCGCAGACCGCAAAGGACGCACTCTTCTGGAGTTCAACGTGGATATGCAAGGTCAAGCTCGACGTGCCCAGCAGCTGGGGCAGCTCCAAAAAGCGCCGTCAACCCGAAGAACGAGACGCTCGCCATCTCGTCGAAGTATCCGTATCGGAAGAGGCCGCAAACTTCAAGATGGTCACCCACTTCCGCTCCATTCTTGCCGTCCACTTTCTTGACAGCGATGAGCTCGTGGTGGTGGAGCGTCCGTTGGTGGATGTGTTGTCCAAACTGCCTCCAGCCTATTTCAAACCAAAGTATGGCCGCACGTAGATCTGATGGTTGTACAGGTGTTTCTTGCCTTATATATATTTTTGGGTCAATTGAATACCTTGTATATCGAGACAGCTTCAGCATCATATGTTCTTTGTTCTGACGTCGTCCATGCTAAGCACAACCTCTCGATCCTCGGAGATTTCGAGGCCATGCATATACATTGCCATAGTGGTCATGCTGACTAGGGCATGGATGCACGGCATAGTGTGTCTAAAGCATGCGAATCATTTAGCTCAAGGTTACACATCGAAAATGTTGAGACTGCTCCAAATACAGCAAGTCGCAACGACCCGGAAAGAGAGGGCTGTGCCTATGTCGGCTCTTGAGGATTGCCGATACTAAGAACATAGAGATGAGTCAGAAAATATCAGCAGTTTTACCTGGGTCTTGCACGGTGTTGCGGGTAGGAGCTACTTGCAATGGCATCAAAGTGCCTCACTGTATCAGCTGGTGGCGTCATGGAGTAGACGCTCAGGGGCGTAGACCGATGCAGAGCTAACCAAAACTAGACGGGATCTCTCGGATTTACACAAAGTGCCCATGTGATCGAGTCTAGTAGTATGTTTCATTCTCGGAATCAGCGTACAGCATATCAACGTCGTCGCATGGCTCGATGATGCACAATGCTCCGTTAAGGATCATAGTTCTGCCCCCGCATCTTTGAAGGTTGAAATTTCCAAGATGTGAACACTCCATTATGTGATTCGTCGTCATGAAAAGATATAGGGCTAGTATATACAAATACATGGAACATCGGTTGCGTGTCTATCAATATGGTATTGCACCGGATGTACGTCACGAACGGAACGAGGGCATTAACGAATAAAGAAACTTTGTGCGACTGCTAGAGCGCAAACACCGGCGCACACTAAAAATCCAAGTGGATAACCGGACGGGTTGTCTTGTGTGCTGACTGACCATAACTACATCACATCAACGAATAGCATTAGAAAGCGATGTTAATGTGGTCAAAATGAAACAAGTGGCTTACATAGCCGCCCAACACTGGCCCGAGGCACCGTGCGAAACTAACAATGCTCTGTGCGATACCATTAGCAAATCCGACGGCATGGGGTGGAGTCACTAAGAGTGTATCGTATCAATCAGGATGAAGCAGGAGGACTGTATATGACTCTTACTGTAGTTGAGGAGAATGGCAACGGATGTGTACCCAAAGGTATTGCCACAGTAACGCACGGCCCTGATAGATTTGAGATCGTGGTTATGTATGGTCAATCACAAAACCGAATTTGACCACTTACGTGCTCAATGCCAAAGCTGTAATATAAACAAAGTGTTCAATGTGATAGGACGTATCAGATGGAAAGGAACATACCTGTCATGAGAATAAAGTTGCCATCATCTGTTGGGCTAGCGAACACTCGATACAATATCACCGTAAGATATGCTGGGATAAAGAGCAGGGATCCCAGACGGAACATGGACAGATGAGAAAATCGACCTCTGGGAGGGCTAAGGGAACGATGCATCAGAACGATCAATGATATTCACGCAGTTGAACTGAGCCCACCCAATATTCCTAAACCATGGTGGTGTTCAGCGAACATCATGAATGCGAGAGGTCATTACTCACGGATATAAATAAAATTGGTAAATAATCTGCGCAAGACACATCAAGGCAACTATTAGCCGCACATGAGAACGTTTGCACATTAATTAAAAAATAAATCAACGCAACTAAGCTGAGCAAAATGGCCCGCGTTCAAATTTAGCCCACCAGATTCGTAGTCACTTTGGGGATATAGATACATTAATTCATGATGGCAAAGATGAAAAATCAGAAATGAACGTACGAGACTAGATACGACAGGAATACTTGATCATGGGTGGTGCTATGCAAAGCCAACAGCGCATACTGGATAATAATAAGAATCGGCAACTGCGAGGTCAATGAAGGAGGCTTCTCCTCTGTGGGCTGTTCTGGAGTAGACTGCGGTAGAATAGAAGAACGTCGTCTCTCTAAAATAGGCGTCAATGCATCCGTCGAGGGCTCCTCTATACGTGACTGAGCATCGAGAACGGCAGAGGGTGTACGAACACCCGAGTGAGCAAAGATGGCAGGTACAGTAGAAGAAGGACGTCGTGGATGGATTTCCATAGCAGCAGGACTTGGAGATCCGAAGTTGCCAGAGGGAATTGAAAGTCGTGGTCGAGAGCTAGAAGGGTGACGAGGAGAGATGTGATCGGGGGCAAACGTGATTGATGATGCCCGCTGGCTCCGTGCGGGCGGAGATCCCAAGTTCTGCGTCACAGAGCGAGACGGGCGAGAGGGTGTCGACAAGATAGAATTCGGGACAACTCCGTTGTCGTCCTCATCATCATCATCACCATCATCCTCTTGCTGTCCCTCACGAGAATAAATCGAGTCGATATCAGAATCCATCTCGTTATCAGACTCGAAAGGATCTTCGTTATCCACATTCATAGCAGCTGCAACCCACAAATCGGCAATGTTTGTCACAGCGTTTTCGTTCGCCATTAACAACCTCTGTGCAAAGTTGAGGTCGCCTGCATCTGTGAATGAACGAGGACCATCGAATGCGCTACCTCTTCGTCGCCTTAACGTACTGGCCAAACTACCTCTTCTCGTCGCGACGGATGCCGTACTAGCCAGCCTATTCCTATAGCTGCCACTATACCCATATGCCGATCCATTCGCCCTGCTCGTACGTGAAAATGCACGCTGTCTGTCAGGCCGCGGCGATGATAACGGCACAGCCTGTCCACGGGACGGAGAAGGAACAGGCACACCGTGGGCATCGTATACGCGTGATGCGAAGTAACCTGAAAATCTCTGAGATACCTTCTTCCTCAAGGAACCAACAAAGCTCTTGTCCTGATCCTCCGCGACTAAAGCAGGGGAAAGCACATCTTCTTCTGGTATAGTAGGATGCTGTTCGTCAGGTTTCTCATGGGGTAAACGGATTGCACCTTCCCGCGGACCACCATCGCGGCCAAGAAAGCACGCAAGGACGGATCCTGTGTAACTTAATCAGACACAGTAATCTATATACACGAGATATGGACTCACCGAATAAAGTGATAGAGGAGGCAATTAAACAAGGCAATAAGTAAGGGAACTTGACCAATAATGGTACTCCGCGGAAAATGTCTGGCCATTTTTCTGCTGGGGACTCAACTGAGGCACGACATCAGTACATTGATATCCATCTGTCGTAAGTAATTAAACTTACGTGATCCCCCAATGATAGCACCAGCGACACCTCCAAAGCCCCAGCAAAAGCTGTTGTCATCAGATTGAGTTAATTTAGGACGATGTATATAGAGAAGTGATGTATACCCCATTATAGCGTAAGCCCTTCCTTCATTAGTGGTATCAGTAACAACAGTAACGCATCCTCGTGCGACGCCAACAGCTCCAGCAAAGATACCTTGGAGAAGTCTGATTGCTATAGCTTGACGAAGCGTTGTCGATGTACCAAACATGGCGCATGTAACTGCACTTCCTAAGAGAGATACTACTAACACCGACCGTTGACCATGTTTATCCGCGACAGTAGCCTGTTTCGTATATACGTTAATCAAAATGAAGGTGAACGATAATGTGAAGATTGTTACCCATAGCAAGGAGGTTAGGAACTGTGTCAAGAAGAAAGTGGCGACTGAAACAAGAAATGTCAAAATAATGATTGTGAATGAAGGCGTCTGCACATACCCAATATTCCAGTCCAAAATGCAATGTCTGCTTCATCATGAAACTCGCCAAAACCTACAGGGCTCGTATGGTTAAAACAGTGGATGTAAAGGGCATATATGCATACCTTTGACCATAAAGAGCATGAAAGGCGTGGAAACATTAGCTGATAAAAACTCTCCGAGCATGGCCTAACCATATCTTATAAGAGATGAAACCAAGGAATGGGAAATAGGCGCACGATAGAGAGGACTATCATAGATAGCACGGGTAATGGAGTTGAGTATGGCTCCCCAGCTTGAAGAGCGTTGGGTATGGGTGGACGCTCCATGGATGATTTTACAGCGGCCTCCTCATCTGTCCTTGTAGCACTCGCCCTACGCTGACTGTAGCTTGAAGAAAGACGCCCCAAAAACCTACGTCCCGGAGGCTCATTGGCTAAAGCAGGCCCAGGACTTGTGGTGGATCCATCAAGAGGTGAATTAACCACGCCAAAGGATCTCCTTGGTGGTGTAGAGTTTCTATTTGGCCTAGTATTGCTTGCCATTGCAAGGTAATGCTTTCCTTGCAAAAGACTGGAATGGCTGCGTCTCAGAGACAGACGAGCGTTTAGCGTAAGCGGCAATGTTTGAATGCAGCGCCACATGTGGCTGCCTGAATATCATTAGGTAAGCTTGCCCTTTTCAGCCTCTCAAGTTCGAGCGTGATTTGGATTCAAGTTGTTACAGACAAGACCGGTTTGTTGCCTTCATTCTGCCAATCGAAGTTGTGAAAGTTATCATTTTCTGGTTAAACTATACACCGATGTGGTACAAGGTGAAACAATAAGGACGAGTATGGTACATTCTTCTGATTGAAGTAGAATTCACTGTGTTGATGGATGCTTGAATAGAAAAATAGACAGCAAGTATATTACACGCCTTGCTTCCCGCAGCACCGTACCATTTCATACCAACATTACTGGCCCCAGAGCCCTTCCAGCATGGGAAGAAGGTAAAGCAGTACTGATTGCTATCGGCACCGAATGCATTATAGTTGCATCACAATGACAGATAGATCTCGGCCTCATCACGCGATTTCGGCACTGCAGCTATTAGGCAGGTTCACCCGTGCAAATCTCCTTCACTGGTGGCTATTTTTCATACACCATGGTGGCGTGTGGGTATTCTGCCTTGAATACGTCGCGGCCCCAAACACGGTGTCAATTACAGATGGGAGAAATATGCGATGGTAACCGACAAGACAATGACAAGAGAATGTTTCAAGGTGATGGGCTATTGCTGGGCATGGCAGAGTTGTGGAACTGAGATTGGAACATGAATCAGCAACGAGTTCCTGAGCGGGACTGCATTCCGGCTGGCCAATAATAAAGGTCGGATCGGGACATGAAAGAAATGACCGTGGAAATAGATTGCCATATGTGTGTGCCTCCCGATCAGTTCAAACTTTTTGAGTGGCTGCTTGAACTCAGGCTCAGTTCTGCCATAAGCTTCCGTACAACAGTAAAACGAGTCAATTCCATCCCCGCTATGTTTATATTCTGAAAACAAATTATTTCATCCTGGCCGCACCCCTTACCTGCGATGCAATCGCACAATCTGGAGTCTTCAATGCTGCAGTTAAGTTATCTCAAGTTATAGTTGTAGTTGTGGTCAGGTCTTTTCAGGCGCCAACCCGTCACGCATAATTGCTGTTCACTTCGTTCGCCACATTGTCAATCACTATTACCATCACCACACAGGTATTATCTATTCCGAAACGCAAACGTCTCCGAACCGATGCCCTAAGCCGATGCGTCACCAGGGAAGCGGAACAAATCTTTCCTGAGGGACCCATTTGTCATTTTGTCATCCCGCCAGCCCTCCATTTCACTCTGCCTTCTCACGTCCCGGACACCTCTATACTGGATCTATACCTGTGAAAACTCAGATCAGTCGTAATGGATCTTGGACAACCGGCCTAACCGCAAGTCTGAATTAGAATCTAGCCTCCAATCCGCATATATAAGAAGGGACACGAATGTCCAAGTGTCTCTCAACCTATTCTAGCAATCTCGCTCATCTCTTTGCTCTCGTCTTTCCTTGCTTTCGTCTCTCTCCACTAATCTTCCTCAACTCTACCCCTCTAGATTAATATCATACTTCAGATGTCGACCATCTCTGCACCCAGCACGTCCACCTACCCCTCCAAGATCATCATTCCAGACCTCGTATCTCACTGTACTTTCCCGATTCGTATCAGTCGTCACCACAAAGAAGCCTCCAAAGAATCGAAGCAGTGGCTCTTTATCGGAGACAACTCGAATGAAAAGACGCGTAGAGCCTTTCATGGTCTGAAAGCTGGGAAGCTTACGTCCATGTGTTACCCTGATGCCGGATACCCACAGCTTCTAGTATGCTGCGAGTTCATGAACTATTTGTTCCATCTCGACAACCTGTCTGATGATATGGACAATCGGGGCACGCGAACAGTCGCCGATGTCGTCCTCAACTCGTTATATCACCCTCATACTTACCAGGCCAAGACCCGAATCAGCAAAATGACCAAAGAGTAAGCTATTTTCTCAACTTTCGTCGTATTGTCGCTCAACGTCGTCATCTTCTGTAGTTACTACCGACGCATGATTCAGACGGCATCAGCAGGTGCTCAGCAGCGATTTATTGAAACGTTCGACCAATTCTTCCAAGCTGTCCACCAGCAGTCTATCGACCGTGCTAACGGCGTCATCCCTGATCTTGAATCGTACATCGAACAACGTCGCGACACCAGTGGTTGCAAACCCTGCTGGGCTCTCATTGAATACGCCAACAACCTCGACATCCCAGAAGAAGTTATGGACCACCCTACCATCCGCAGTTTAGGTGAGGCCGCCAACGATCTCGTAACATGGTCTAACGTACGTTCTCTCTTTGACATCGAACCATTATACCGTCACTAACGAGTTTGGTTGCGTTTCCACAGGACATCTTCTCTTTCAACGTCGAGCAGAGTAAAGGAGACACTCACAACATGATCGTCGTCGTCATGAATGAGCAAGGCCTTGACCTCCAATCTTCCGTCGACTTTGTCGGTGACCTCTGCAAACAGTCGATCGACCGCTTCAACGACGACAGGGACAACCTGCCTTCATGGGGCCCAGAGATTGACAGAGAAGTTGCCATCTACGTCGACGGACTAGCCAACTGGATAGTCGGCAGTCTCCATTGGTCTTTCGAATCTGAAAGATACTTTGGCAAATCAGGTCTCGACGTGAAAAAGAACAGAATAATCAACCTCCTGCCTCGTCGAGTTTGAGCCAGTCTGTAACCCCTTATATTTTTATACTCTTTTTAATTTACCGGTGAGCACTTTCTAAACGAAATCGATTCATATCATCGTTGCTCACACGACGCTCTTTCTAGCTGGTCGGCGCCCCTCTTCGTAATTGAGGGCCACCACACAGGAAACTTGCAAAATACTGTAGAGCTATTATGCCTCTCACCATTCGTATATTTCCACCACTCTCGTTAGGACACTATGTTATGCTCTACTTATGGTTTTTCTTAAAATTGCCAATTACGCTCATTTGTTTATATTATAACGTACTGGCTACCACATAATTTCTTTACCTTAGTTGCTTTCTTGATTTCAAGCTGGGCACCTATTGTAATGCGATGCTACATATCCGCCTATTCCTTTACTGTAGCTGTTTCCCTGATATCTCGATTTAAAGCTACTACTGCACTGCAAATTTATATATCTACCTTACCTACTCTTAATATCTTGATTAAAGACACTGCTGTATTTCAATCCCCTCGTTGATTCAAATCATAACTCATATCTGAAACAGTGACCATTAATAAGACTCGTACCAGCTGGAATCTTCTCTTCGACGATTCAGACCATACTTAAGTTATGACTGAAGACACGCAATGCAAGTATAGTGGTCAACCGGTTAAGACTTGGACAGAATTGACTGAATGATCCCAAGCGTTTTATAGGCAACAGTCTTAGGCTTGCATGCAGGCTCTGAACTGATAGCAGAACTGCACTCAATTGATCAAATCAAGGGGTTAACAACATTAGCATTGTCCAAATATATTGTACGGTACTGATGGACTATGCTACACGACCAAAGTCATCAACCCACCCCCCACCCCTACCTCCACCCCCACCACTCACACAGCCGCAATCACCACACAAACATAACATCGCATCGTCAAAAGCCAATCGGGCGCCTCGGTAAAAGTAAGAGGTTAAAAGGGAGGGATTGAAGGGAAGACTAAAAGTTGCAGAAATAGCCTAGAGACGATATATATAATCAGACACACGAGCGCAAGTAAGGGAAGGAATAGAGAAGATAGTGAAATAGGGAGCAGAGAAGTGCGTGTGGCGATGGTGCAGAAAGATGTGACAGAGAATCCCTCATACGATAGCAAATACCGAAACGCTGATTGTTAATGATCGGATGCGAATGACTTAGTGTTGACCGCAAGCGTCCCCCCCTCCACTCCACCCCAACCACCACAGCAACTCAAACACACAAAAACGTCTATAACGGCATCCTCGAACAACATCGTTCATCGAGGACCAGGTGCACCACCACGATAGCCACCGCCATATGTCCTAGGTGGCTGTTGCCCTTGCGGAGGTGGTGCAGGACCGTTGCTTCGACTCTGTTGTCCATTGCTCTGGTATGCAGCTTGCGCTTGCTGCGCGGAAGTCTGTTGCCGCTGTTGTGTTTGCTGCGTAGCCTTCTGCGTCGTCGTCTCCTCACTTGAGCTAGGAGCAACATACAGCCCCTTGTCAATTGTCTGCGGAATAGGTTGGATCTCCGTTCCTAGCTCTTGCTCAATGCGATACAGGTTAAACCTGTCGTCATATGTGACGAGATTGATGGCAAGACCCAGGTGTCCGAAACGACCCGAACGACCAATACGATGGAGGTAGGTTTCCGAGTTTTTAGGGAAATCGAAGTTGATGACAACGTTCACAGCTTGGATGTCGATACCACGAGTGAGCAGATCAGAGCAAACAAGGTTGCGGCAGACGCCATTGCGGAAATCGTGGAATACTCGATTACGATGCGATTGAAGCATCTTAGCATGGGAGTAGAAGCAAGAATAGCCAAGCTCTGTCACTTTTTTAGCGAGCAGCTCGACACGGTTGGTAGAGTTACAGAAAATGATGGACTGATTAATCTGAAGCTGTGGGTGGTATCAATAAAGGGTATCAATAGGTGGAGGTACGGTATACCACGTATGAACAGACCTTGGAGAAGAGAGTATTTAGACAGTGAACCTTCTGTCGCTCCTCGACATAGGCATAATATTGCGTGACGCCGCGAAGAGTAAGTTCTTCCATAAGATTAATTTCGTAGGGTGATTTCATGTATTTATCCTGTCAACAAAACAGACTGTTAGTCAGAGGATACAATGGACTAAAAAAAAGAGTGACCTTGAAGTCCTTAACAATCATAGGGAAGGTGGCACTGAAAAGCATAACCTGACGCTCCTCTGGGAGGAAGGATAGCAATTGTTCCATGACCGGGGTGAATTCGGGAGAGAGAAGTTTGTCCGCCTCGTCCATGACGAAGACGGGACATTCACTGAGATCGGCAACGTTTTTACCAGCCAAGTCCAAGATACGACCAGGTGTGCCTACCAGCACGTGAACGGTTTCGGATAATCGCATGATGTCGTCTTTAAGGGTAGTGCCACCGGTTGTGACCATGACTTGCACGCCCATATGTTTGCCGAGTATCTTACAGACCTGGGATGTCTGTAGGGCTAATTCACGAGTGGGGACGAGGAGGAGAGCCTGAATCTTGTTCCTGCTGGTGTCAATTTGCTGGAGGGATGGTATAACAAAAGCGGCGGTTTTGCCTGTACCGTTTTTGGCACGGGCAAGGATGTCACGTTTAGTGAGAGCTGTTGGAATGGCCTCTTCTTGTATAGGTGAGGGTTTCTCGAATCCTGCTTCGAAGATGCCCATGAGCAGTTCACGACGGAGGTACATATCTTCGAATTCCAATCCTTTGGTTGCTGTGACATCTTCTGTCTGAGGACGGAAGTCTTTTGGTGGTGGGCGAAGACCTGATTTCCAGGAAGAGTCATTGTGGTTGGTGGCAGCACTGATGGAAAAAAAGAAGAGAAAAAAGAGAGAAATAATGTCAGATGATGGCTGCGTAACTGAATGAAATGAAACTTGCGAGTTTGATGAAGATGGTCTGGTTGATTGCGACATTTGAGAAGAGGACGAGAGGGGGTGCAAAAAGCGATATGGGTGTTGTTAGCGAAGCAGCTACGAGCCAGACAAGTTTGAGAAGACACGCGTCTTTGGTAAAAAGTAAAAGTCAAACAAGTGGTCGTGAGTGTGGAGAGAGTTTGTAGTGTTGCTAAGTAAAAGGATACAGGTGATGGTGGTAAGAGCTCAAGTTCAAATCGTCGGAGTGGTTTTCTGCGCTGAAGCCTTGTGTCCAGCTGCAATAAATTCAAGGTTTCCCAACTTTCGCACGCTCCGCTTCAATCACCCGTGCCCTTTCGGTCCTCCCCGCCATCGTCTCCATCGTTCCCAACGACGTCCTCAACCTCCTTTCTGGTCCGTGGCTATACAGCCCATGCATATATGCGTGAACTCGTCATTTTTCTCGCAGTAATTCAGAGTACAAACCAAAGTGACATTGCATGGCCCAGTGGCTCTATTTTCTTTCAAAAACTGGACAAGATTTAAGTCTCACTTATCAAGGCAAAGGTCCACAGTACGCAGCTTTGACTATCCACAAATATATATGTATGATTCTCGTCGATATCCTACCATTGCCAACACGTTGTTTTAACCCTTCAAGCTTCAATTTCTTGTCAATGCTTCTCGTCTGAGCCCACGAACGCCCTGCATATATCAGTGGCACTATACACCACCGCCATCCAGTGCAAATGGGATGGTTTGTGCGGTTGTCCCGCTATGCGCGTCCGTGCGCGGCTCAATTTAGTGTCGAATTTGAACCCTTCGCCCTAATATTTCGGATATCACTTCCAAAATTTAGCATTTGGGGCTCATCTGACTCGTGAACCTTCTCGTGTCTTGTGACCCTTATCTCTTCACCCATTTAACTGCGGAAATGCTCAAGCTTATCTTATACTTCAGCCTCCTCCCATCCCATGGCACCTGCACCAGCCAACAGAGATGATCTCAAGACCAGAATCCTGCCCCAGATGACCCTTTCTGAAGGATCAAACCCATTAACAAGCCCTTTCCCCCCACTTCCTAAGGATCTTCTCCCTGCAGAGAAGGCGATCAGACGATTCGCAGTTGAAGGTAATGCAATCGGTGTGTATTGTCACGTGAGCTGCAACACAGTCACAGCTGATCTCCTCGTGGTGTGCAATGTCTTCTGTCAGTGACCGGTGGTGCAGGTGTCCTCGGTTTAGAAGCCGCCCGTGCTCTCCTGGAGCACGGGGCAAAGGGTGTATCGCTTTTTGATGTCAACCCGGCTCAGTCTCAGGACGCCATCGATGCAGTCAGATCAGAGTTTCCATCCGCCAAAATCATTGCAAAGAAGGTCGATGTTAGAGATGAACAGTCTGTGCAGAACGCTGTCGACGAAAGTGCGGAAGAGCTCGGAAGCGTAGATGTCCTTCTATGTTTTGCAGGCGTCGTATCGTGTAATCATGCCCTTGACGTAGCCTTGGATGAATGGCGGCGTACACTGGATATTAATACCACTGGCAGTTGGATCTGCGCGCAAGCCGTTGCAAGGTACGATATCTCAATTTTATCGCCTTCTTTCTTTCTTTGAGCGGGTGTATACACACAAGGTGCATGATTCGACAAGGCCATGGTGGCAGTATTGTGTTTACCGCATCAATCTCTGCGCACAGCGTGAACTTCCCACAACCTCAAGTCTCATACAATGTGTCAAAGGGCGCACTGCTGCAGCTGAAGAATTCTTTAGCCGCTGAGTGGGCGCGTTATGGAATCCGGGTAAATAGTATCAGCCCGGGATATATGGATACGATCTTGAACGAAGGCGAGGGTTTGGAAGAAGCGAGAAGGATGTGGGCATCACGAAACCCTGTGGGAAGGATGGGACAGCCCAGTGAATTGACCGGAGCTGTCGTTTTACTGTGCAGTCGTGCTGGAAGGTATATTAACGGTGCAGACATACTTGTGGATGGTGAGTGTTGTGTCCCGCAGTGCGTAGCCCGGCTGATTTTAGGTTTGTGATAGGTGGAGGAAGCGTCTTTTAGCAAAGACTTGTTAGAAATGATTTAGAAGCTCCTGCGTAAACAAAGGTAGAAAACGTGGTGGGTATTGTTCTTGTGCGTAAATACACCTCACAGGGTTGAAGCTCGAAGGGTGTGAAATTGAGCGCATGCTCGGTTGTAAAGCTTCGGTAAATTCTTCTACCTTCAGCATCCTTTGTCATGCTACACCGGCGGTCGAGAATACGTGTAATAGGCGAAATGGACGTCACGAAACACTATGGGATGACAGCCTATTGAATGACCGGAGCCAAGACTGGAGCTGTCGTTTTACCAATCGTGCTGAAAGGTACATTGGGTGCGGACATACTTGTTGATGGTGAACGTGGTTTCTCCGCACTGCACAGCCTCGCTGATTTGTTGTGATAGGGTCGGGGCGCTATCTTGAGAGAAGGATTTAGGAGTAATGTAATGTGTAACTGGCTCCTTCGTGGACAGTTATGTGGTGAAAGTATTATCCTTATGCATCATACACCTCATAGGGTGGAAGCTTGGAAGCTTGAAGTTGAAGCCCATGCTGTGTTGGTTGTGACGCCTCGGTAATCTCTTGTATCTTCAGCGTCCTATGTCAAGTAACAATTGAGAATACGTGCCATGGGCGCTGGCAGTCTGCCACTGACTGACACAGCCTTTATAAGTACCAAAGTAGTAGCGTCACCTGTTCATTGTGATCTACAGTCCGGTTATCGCCGGATTGACTAATTCTTCGAGGACCCAGACCGCCTCGTGATGAATCTGGACCCAACCCAGCAATGAAAGCGACGAATCCGAGCGCTTCAGAGTTTACGAAACGTGGTTAAAATGAGGATGTAATAAACAACTTTGATCGTTCGCTTTTTCTCTTGCTCCTTTATCCACGACGACGAGCACTTGACGACTCTTTTCTTGGGCTCAGTTTACAGGCTGTCAATTAAGAGCACAGCTAATCTCAGTAAGTTTTTGACATATCGTTGTCACCGCTCATCATCCGCATACAAGTTGTTCCTAACTTCTCTGGTTTAACCTGTGTATAGCATCAAGTGAGGCGCAGAAGTAGAGTCTTCACCTCTAATCTTGGCCTGATACTTTCACACTCTTTTCACAACACGTTCATTATCTCTATATACCCATCATACATCATCTTCTAGCATGTTCACCCCACCACCCTCTCCCATGCCTCCCCGAACACGACCTATACGCACCGACAGTGATGACGCAGTCGACCACGCACCAGATCAGGCTTGTCCTCCTGCCGCACCCGTGTTCAACGCAAAACGCAAGACTGCTCGTTCGCTTAAACTTGCCATTCTTCTCGTTCCAATGGCCCTCATCCTCATAGCGGCTTCTACGCGATATATCACACATCCCGCGGCGTTTGATCTTGTGTCAGCTGATTCCACGCACGAGTGGGATGCTTGGTCGCCTTCATGGTCGAGCTGGAGGCCACACAAAAGACATCCTCAGGCTGACCTGGGCATGGACACCTCGGCGAGTCTATCAACGCCTGGTCCCACGGGCAGCTCTCTTTCTGTCACTTCATCGATTCTCGGCGCAGGCACTCCTACAAGCACGGGTGTCCCCGCGGTCCCGATGAACCCGGTTCTACCTACTCCATTTCCTCAACCTTTTGATACCACACTCTCGGCAAACTTTTCTACAGAGGGATGCTATAGTTTCTTCCAAAATATGACAAACATCGAGTCTTTTAGAGTCTGTCGGCCGTTTTCGTTACTGCTCCTGTCGTCGACGGCATTCATAGAGGTGTGTGGACATGACTCATTGCCAGATTAACTAAACGCCTCATTTGATGCGCTTCAAGCAGGCAGAGAACAATATTACACAACTAAACAATGACATCTGGGGGACTTGTAATACGGATTTATCGCAGTCTCAATGCGATCAGAATATGGCTTCGTTTGCGTCCACGTTGCAGTCAGTATGCCAGACGGATCTTGCTGCTCGTAATGCCATGGCTGTGAATACTTTGATAGGTATATCAGTACCATTGTTTTTAAAGTTTACAGATGGCTCACGTATATGTATCTACCCCTGTGTTTAGCCCTTAACGCTTACGACCTGATGCGAACCGTAGCCTGCCAAACTGACCCGACATCTAATGCCTACTGCTACATCGAAGCCGATGCCGGCTCTGATCCATCCGCTTCCTACTTCTATCAGCTTCCTCTCGGTCAACCGCTACCGAACATCACTAATTTAGCATGCACAGCGTGTACGAAGAGTCTCCTGGCTAGCTACGCAAGTGCTCTCTCCAGCAGTAACTCGACTGGTTTGACTGGATTGCAGCAGACCTATGGGGATGCTGCAAAACAGGCTGTTAGTATCTGTGGGAGTGGGTACGCCCAGAGTGTCACGCAGAGTACCAGTGTGACTACCTCGTCTGCGTTAGGCCACGGCATAACGAAGACAGGAATCTTGTTGGCAGGTTTCTTAGCGACGTGTGCTAATTTGTATATATCATTGTGATCTATTCATTGATTTCTTTGGTGGTGAGTATCTGCTATGTATTGAATTTTATGGGGTATTTGTGTTCGACCCCATGTTCGATTTATTATATATTTATTATTCAGATTCTAGGAGATACATGTTTATTCTACTTTCGAGGGTTATGGGTCTACAGTCTATCTATCAGACCGTTACGTGGAGATTCTACACAAATTTATCCCGAAGTCACTCAAAATTCTATTTGATTGTATCTTTTGATGCCTTGGCTTTACTGTCGCGTTAACATTTTGCACTACGATACCTCTAGGACAGTCGAGAATGATACCTATCTTTTACTGCATTCAGATCATATTCGTTTGCGATATGACTGAGTTCTCGAGGTCTCCATGAGGGTAGGATTTTGTTTTACGGAGCCCAATTGGCCAATATATATTAATGAAAACTTGCAATAGCTGCTGTGGCGGCACAATAAGCCCCAAACGCGAGCAGAACCGATTCAACTTGAACCACTATTTCACGAAAATATGTCTAATGACCGTGCTAGTCGCCTCTGCTATTTTGGCGTGCCTTATCTATGTTTTAGGCCAATATATGATGTTCTCGTGATGGGATGACACTGGCATGACCTAGTTCTGCTGCAAGGCTTCACACGAGCCAGGGCCCATTGCCCAGCGGTACTGAGGACTACCTTCCTAAAACGGACACTGGGGATGATCGAAACTGCGCTCCGCGACCTGCATCCGTATTGTAATACTCCACGACCAGCCGTGCCAGTGCTGCCAACACTACATAAATACCCCAGCTAGACTTTTAACATCCATTGGCTCCCTCTCTCCTTCTCTATTCCTCCACACCCAAACTACGCCACGGCCCGTCTCTTCACGCCCATAACGCATATACCTTTCCCCTTTTTCAACTCTATCAACTGAACATAATGCCCCCCATGCGCGTCCTCGCCGGTCCTGGACTTGATTCCCTTGTTCCAATAACAGACATAGTGAACACCGGTGCTTCGCACTCTATCACGTCCGATTTGTTTGAGGGGGAGGTGGCGGTTAACATCAAGGGGTTCACTGATCCAGACGGACATGTTCTGGACAGCGAGTACTTCAATCGAGAGGAACGCAAGGGAGTTACATGGAGTATACAGGTCCAGGGTAAGTCGTCTCTCTCGTTGCTTTCGCTGCCACTTGCCGCTTCTGCGGATGTACACACGTTGCGACCACTATCGCTGCCCTGGTTACCTCGATGTGCATGTCTCAGCGGCGGGAGTTATTATAAGACATTGTTGAACACGACCGCTCACTTGCCCGCGTTCACACAGGCAGGTTCCTGCAGACGTACTCTGCGGATGACATCCTTTTTGGAAACACCTTTGATAAACCATTGAAATTGCCTTGGGGTTCAGGAGCTGCGCTCAAATTCATGAAGTAAGTCTCAAGTGGCGCTACTCGCACACGCCAGCCACTAACCCAATCATGTGTTGTTCAAAAGATTTGTAGACCCAACGATGGACCATGACCTTGCATCTCCAACAAAACCATGGGCACTTTCCCCATTGATTTCTACGATGCCCTACTTTGCACATGCAAAAATGAACTATAATGACGACAAAAGCTCTCTTGTTGCACCATTCCCAGCGGAGCAATCTCTGATGGACGACACTTCTCAGCTGACAATGGCCACCGTGAACTCGCTTGATGACAGTCCAGCGTCATCAGCGTCATCGTCATCGTCCTCCCTTTCATCGGCTACATCGTCCACCTCTACTACCTCATCAAAGAAAATGTTGGACCTGGGGCGCAAGAAGAAGGAACCTAGGATGGACAACTTGACTACGGCGGCGGCTCGCAGGTCTTATTTCCATGAAACCAATAATCGAAGAAAAGTTATATTTGGCCCCGAAGTACGTATTCTTTGTCCAAGTGGTGCACGTTATGGGCTTTTGCTGATAGTCTGCATCAGGATGTTATAACGACAGATTTCTGTTATGGATTTCTGGAATTCAGCCCAGGGCTGTCGTTGCGCCTACCAGGTGGCGTTTCCTTTGATTTGATGAAATACTGGGACGGCCAGCCTGTTAGATTCGTATGCTGCGAAAGAAAAAACAGCCCAAACTCGGATGTGGTTAATGGTGATTCTAATGAGGATCCTTGGGGAAGAATATTCTGGTGTATAGCTATTGAGCCGGCTTTCACTACCGAGGATGAAAATGTAGCTCAGGGCGTTGAATCAGCATAAAAGCTTCACGCATTGTGTATGATTATAATGTTATTCATCTGCAGGTTCAGGTTGTACTTAAGTATCGATTCTGGTGTAGTTTATTGTCATTACCTTATTCTATCTAAAATTGTACATGATTTTGTGATGTAAACGATGAGTTGGAAGTCTAGCTAGCAAGGAATTCTTTGTCGATGTATTGTGATCGAGAGAATAATGCGTGAATAGTTCCTGCGTCCTCCTACCATATGGATATATTGGTTGTCGTGCCCAAAGTCAAGAGTTTTGAGTGTGCTTGGAAAAAGAGTGTGTTTCAGAAAACGTGATATATATTTGTGAGAGTAACGAGGCGGAGGTGTTTAAAGAAGTCGAGGATAGCATGAAGGCGCCTCACAAGGCATAGGAGGGAATAGTGTCATTATCTAAATCCAAGCCATGTGTCTCTCCAGGAGCACGGATGCGACTAGCGAGAGAGGCTCGCGAAGGGTAAGTTTCCAGTCTATCAATTAATTCAAGGAAGACATCTGAAAGGTTCCGATTATTTCGTTGTAGAGTGCTGGTATCGTCCAATCATAGGCAGTGCGAGCGGCATACGAGACACAGGGAAAATATCACCGATGTGTCTGACGATGCGATGCAAATAGGAAGACTAGAAGGCACTGTCTTTCCACTACAAAGAGAAAGTAAAAACGAGGATAGAAGCTTACTCTGAAGAGAAATGATGCCATCAATGACTGAAGTTTCCACTTTCGCGAAAAAGGGTGCTCACCTGGCGTATAATTTCGGGTAGAATGATGTGATACTAGGTGGTCGAAGTGCCTCAGTGAATACCACGAAGATGCGCAAAATTGAGCGGTGTCAACTCGGTATTGTATCTTCGCTGTGCCCAAATAGTAAGACTGGCTTCTGAGGCTTGGGACGTGATGAAATTGCTTTGAAGATATGATATCAAAGGACATATACACAGCTATTTCATCTTTAAGAGCCGAATATATCGAATACAAGAAGTTGAGGAAGTTCTGCTGCAGTGCTCGATCCAAGAATGCTGATAACATCGATGGGAGTAGCGGTGAAAGGACCAGAGAACATGTCACTCTGGGCATGCTTTGAGCTCGTGGTAGGTGCACGTGGCTTGCTAACGGTTACGTCATCTCGGCTTTCACTAAGAGCAGCAAATTGCTTGCCACAATGCATTCACTGGACATCGCTTATACCTTCTTCACTTCTTATTTCTCCTTCGTGCATCTTTGTTTTCCAGTAAGAAGTAATGATTCGGATATGTCGTGCAGAAGATGGCGAAACATTCCAGGTTGGCCATCTCTCCTTTTCCCTGTCGACGAATCCTAAAGATGCATTGCACAGGTTAATGCAACTCTGAGGGATATAGAGAGGTAAACTTGATATTTCACAAGGAATGATCATATTTATGAACTCGGAATAACAGGCTGGGCAGTCTGGAGAACTTCCTGCACCAGGAAACCGGTGTGGATCAAGAGGCAATCCTGGCTTACCTTTCTGATGGAACGCGTTTGCGTACTGCGAACATGCGGGAGCTAGTAGGTGCCCACGATCAAGTGAGCTCTGCCTTACATCACACTGCTCATACATTGATTAAAATTGATCGAATAGACCATATTCGTATTCAACAAGTACTATCTCGACTTTGACTTGGACGAGGTATTACAGGAGCTCAAGATAGAACCGTCACTACAGCCTCCTATTGAGGGTATGTTAATATCTGTTAGCTTTCACACGGTGCACCGACGCACATTTCAGAGAGCATTGCTTCAACACCACCTATCCGTCCTTCACATATTGCTTCATCTTATCTCCGCACTGCGCATGCACATCATGATTATATCGTCCACATTCTCTCGACGCTAAACCAACAACATCAAGCGATTCAAATAGCTTCAAGTAGCCTAGAACTCAACGTTTTGGCTATAAGCGATGCCTTTGACGGAATCTCTTCGCTGTGCAGCAAGGAGCTCGAAAAACAGACAGCTTTACTAACAGGTTTAGAAGCTGACTTGGAAATCATAAACAAGGTGAAAATTCATTTCGACTTTATGTCGCCAACAGTACGCAAGGCTATCGAAAAAGGGGACAGGGCGCGTACACTTGGTGATTACGTCTCGAATGTCAGGATGAGACAGGTTGCTGAGACGTGCTCTCGCACACATGGTAAGGCCAAGGGCATGTATCTCTGCGTGACAAGCACTGAAACTTTGTAAATAGAGGAACTGAAATCACTGTTCGAGAGTGCGAGCAAATCTGTGACTGGACTTACTGGTGGTACAGATGCGGTCCGTGCTATTGTCGCAGACATGAGGTGAGTAGTGAACACGCGTCTTTGGAGTATGATTTTCAATACGTCACAGCACGCTAGAGCTAGCAGGTGTGTCTGGCCGTCGATCACAGGAGCTGAGTGACAAAGTCAACGAAGCGGTTTCTGTACTCGAGAGTGAGTTAGATCGAACTTATCGCATATATCCAACTAAAGCCATAGATACGACCTTTGAAAGGCCCTGCATCTGATTCGCATGCTCTTCTCCAAGGTTAGCAAGCAGTGGCTTTATCACAGGACTGCCAACGTCTGACTTTTGCACCAGAACTGAAGCAGTATGATATCGCTCTCAGGAATGAAGTTATAGCCATCACTGATGTGAAGGTCTGTTCTACTTCTCACGTGAGCGTAGAATGGCGTCTGACTTAATACAGAATGCATATACTGAGCAATGTATCGGCGCACTTCGCAACATCAGTACTCTGAACAACGAACTTGTTTCGATTCCGACCATGATGTCTAGTTTACAAACGAAACTTCGCAGCAAGAATAGCTTCTCCCACATTCAACGCCTTCACAACATGCTCTATGCTTATGGTGCAACCGTAATAGAAATCGTTAGGCGGAAAGAATTTGGTGCGTTTTGACAATAGAGCCTTGTTATAACAGGGTTGACTCTGTGTCTTAGCTCAGTTCTTTTTCCAGAGAGCTCAGAATATTCTAGAGGTCATGGCCAAACTCTCGTAAGCCTTATCGTTACATTTTATCTATTGCAGTCTGACATTTCGGTGACGAACGCGTAGTGCGAGCGAAAAAAAGCGCCGTCAAGTATATCGAGGTGAAGTCTATGGTCAACTTCCATTCGACACTCGTGGAATGGATGATACTGTCCCAATCATCGACTTCTCGCCTTCGGGGAGCAGGGACTCGGTTTACTCACTTGAAAGAGAGGATGTTATGGGTAAGTGGCTAGTTGTATGCATGACGATGTGCTCTGAAGCTATAGTATTGCAGCACTTCTTCATGTACTCGAGGATTTGGAAAATTATGCACGGTCTACCAATAACCCCATAATAATCGGAGCTGTTCGAGAGTCAAAGTTATCGCTTGAAAAACTAATCCAAAGGATGGACAGTCTAGAGTCGGGCTTCGATCGAATAGCGGAGCGTTCATGTGAGTTTGGTTGACCTTGCAGATTTGCGCCATCCTCACCTGCTTCCAAAGTATTGTCTGCATCTCGGCTTTCTTCCTCGCGGCGGCGGCGTAAGTTTCTGTCCTCTATCTTTCAATATTGAATAAGTAACATCGGATATTTTAGTAACGGAAGCTGACGAACAAGCCTTCCAAGAGTTAAGCAATCAACTGCGTGAGACCCAGGAAGCAAAGGCCAGTCAGGAAATAGCGATGCAAGAGGAACGCAATGCGCTCCAGGCGGAGATACGGCGTCTCAATGCTGTTATACAGGAGAAAGAGACTTCGACTGATACTGAGCAGGAAAGAGCAGACTCTTTGGAAAGGGAACTGCGTCAGGCTCGTGCTCAGTGCGAGAGCGAGAACTCGGCTAGGCGGATATTGGAGAAACACAACGCGGAATTATCTCTTGACGTAGAGAATCAACGACAGGAGGTAGCGCGTGCCACTGTCAATGCTGCGGAACAGACCAGGCTTGCGGAACTCTCACGTCAAGAGTTGGCGCAAGTTCGTGCGGAGGGAGAGGAAGTCAAGGCACTAGAGGCAAAGAATGCGGCAAAGATGGCTCAACTTCTCGACGACCAAGCGACAACACTGCGTAACCTAGAGGATGCTCGTGCTCGTGGGGAGGACATGGAATCGCAAATACAGGCGGCTCGTGCGGAAAGTGATCAAGTGAATCGGATGTTGAAGGATGCCGAGAAAGAGAAGGATCGATTGCTTCGTCTTCAAGCTTCCGAACACGACCGAATAATCCGAGATCATATAGCAGAGGCGGATGGTGATCGGGCGGTCTTGGAACGCCAGTTTTTCGAGCTCAAGTCTGAGCTTGACGATTCGAACAGACAACTGAGGGATACAAAAGCACAGGCCGAATTGGCCCATGCGGATGCAGTAGGTCTGCGAGAAGAACTTCAGAGAGTCGAGCACGAGCTGCGCGAGGCTCGTCACGTCGAAAGAGTCCTTCGGGAAGACCTTATCGCTGGGCGTTCATCACAGTCTGACTTTGAGCAACGGCTGGAAAATAGTAGCCGACTTGTCGCTCAAATTCTAGACGTTGCAATCGCTTTTCGTAATGCGCATATGAAGGCACTTTCGTTGGCCCAGACCATGACTTTGCACCCGAATGCAGCATCGAAGCAAACGCAGAGCATGGCAGAGTCGACCTTCGCCTCTCATTTGCGGCAGAGTCATCCCATTATCGGGCAGCCAGACGAGCCTTCACCGATCGATCCTTCGGATCCCGCCTCCGCCCTGGAGGTACTTCGGTCGTTCGATCATGATCACTTTCTGGAGATGGTTTCCAAAACAGGATCGGTTATTCGAAAATGGCAGAAGCAATGTAAGGAGTATAGAGAACGTGGTAAGGGGAAAATATCTTTCCGGAATTTTGCCAAAGGCGATCTAGCTCTGTTCCTGCCCACTAGGAACTCTGTTTCAAAACCTTGGGCGGCTTTCAATGGTATGTAGAATATCAAATAGAGTGCCAAGCAAGCTGATTTATCAACTTTAATCCCGACAATTATCCTTTGTATCACCAGTATCTTTCCCGCACTACTTTTTGCAAGCTACTGGACATCTTGCAGAACAGCTTAAGACTAGGGAGTGGATCGTTGCGCGCATCACTTCGCTGACGGAACGCATCGTTGACCAAAAGGTACGAGTTTTGATTGTCCTAGAGGATTATTTCTGACTAAACATTGGGCAGGAACCTAGCAGTAACCCTTATGCGTTAGGAAATGGTATCAAGTACTATATGCTGGAGGTCGAAGACTGGACGCAATCTGCGCAAGCGAATAAGCGTAGGGTGTCGTCAAGAAAATTGACAACTGTGTCTGATCCCGGAAAATCTGAGGATCCGGCGCCCCCTGAACCTCCCAGCATTCCCCCTGGACCACCACAAGCGGAAGTTGAGAACTCCTTTAGTGCAACCCAGCCTCCCACATCGCACCTATTCCCCATTCGCACGCGTGCAAATTCTTCGCCAACCGCGGGCCCATCTTCACTGTCACGACTGTTGGCCCAGGCGCCCGCTGAAAATAGGCTGGACACAATCCCACCGTCCAGGGACCGATCGCCGTCACCTGTTGCTACATCCCCTCCGCCCCCGCCATCCCCGATACCGCCCACGGGTTCTGCTCCACACAATAACGTACCTAGTATGCCATCGCCATTACGGCCAGGATCTCGCGCGTCTCGCCTGTCTACATCGTCCAAGTTTTCTACGGCCCGACTTCCGCCGTTTGGGGGCGTAGGTGCCTCCTCTGGGATAGCAAAAGCAGCCGCTACAACTGCCATTTCTGAGCAGAGTATACCTTCTACGTCTTCTTCTAGTGATGATTATTCCACAGCTCGAGCGCCGTCCCCGAAAGGATCTATATCAGAAGGGATGTCGAATTTATTTGTTCAGCGAAGGCGGACCACATCATATCACGTGTCTCGCACGTCTCCGCTGACGACTAGTCACACTGAAGCCCCGGTGACGACAGCTTCGAGCACGTTGGCCAGTTTTGCGAGTAACTGGGGTGTGCCGTTTGGAAGGAGAAGGAAGGCCGAGAGGGCCGCTGTAACACCAAGGGTGGGGACGAGTCCTGCTGATGAAACGGCGGAGGGCGGCAGTGATGATATCTCGGAAACCAATGAGATGTCGAGCAGCGAATACTTGAGACATCTTTGATGGCCTGTGCCTAATCAAGGTGGATTCATTCCCTGATTCGCGGAGATGAGTCTGGTGGAGCTGAGTCGTGGGTTTTGTTGGATTGCGTTGGAATCTACACTTCTACGATTGTGGAGAGAGCACTTATCTTATCGTCACTGCAGCACACTTATTGAATGAAATTGTTGGGCATCAGGATCAAATTACATAAACGTGGATGTTCTTGACAGGAAGATCCATCGAGGAAGATTTATGCAAGTAACGAGTGAGTTTGGACGAAAAAGGCAAATAGAAAGGATCGGAGCAAGGCGTCAATCAGAAGAGACATACGGAGATGCATATAGGTAGGATCTCGTTTGCGAGATGAATGATGAGAAGAGATATAAGAAAGGAGAGAGGGATGGCAACAAGAGGTTATATGATCGATATATATTGGCAAATATTGGCAGGGATGGAGTTGTATGATGGATGGACACAATAGACAGCATTCAAGCTTTTCGTCCGCATTGCAGCCCTTGCGGCAGGGATGGAGTTGTATGATGGATGGACACAATAGACAGCATTCAAGCTTTTCGTCCGCATTGCAGCCCTTGGGTAAATATAGAGGCATCAAATGATCAAGCGGACACGCTGGTTCAGCTGGTTCACACCTGGCGTACAGGGCTGGAGTTTACGTTTACTGATATCAACTATCATTTAGGTATGTGGTCTGACTGGGTGGACTAGGCCAGGAGATGCGAGGGACAAGAATGGAGAGAAGAAAGAAAAGAGGTTTCATTAATTTTGACGTGTGTTGCCGAAAATAATACAGAATGTGCTAAAACAGGGCGTAGCACGATATAAGATTCCCCGCATCAAGGTTGTTCATCAAGCTTATTTGTAGCAACAATGTGGGGGCGGAACTAAACATCATCTGTACTGCAACTTCCAGTCCGGACCGTAAAATGACTCAGGAGTATGGGGAATGGACCACCGTGATGTTCGCAACATTTGACACACGAAAGGGCGAGGGTATACTGGAACGAAGAGTATTACAGCGGCAGCATCCTCCACTTCTTTAATTTCGACCTCGGGCACCTTAGAAACGACGGGATTGGTTGCGTGGTTGCATGTGCTCTTCGTGATTTTCAATCAGCGACATATTGTAAAAGTTCGACGGAGCAGGCACAAGTGAAACTGGAGTAGTGTGGGGAAGCGGGGTACCTCTGGAAAAACTTCACTGTTACGGTCACCTGTCAATTTATCCGTATCCTCTTCCCTATCTTACTATATAACCAGTCACTCTTTAGCTTCTTTCTCTCGTTCTCCTCCCTTCCTCTCCATCGAACCACAATGCCAGTGGGTGCCGGAGTCGCCAACGTCCAAGACGCGAGTTTCGCACATCTTGTAGACCCAAGGAGAAAGTGGTACAGCAACAAGCGGTATGCCAGCTTTTTTTTTATCTTCTCCTCCCCACACTCACGCTTTCTTTTCCCACCTCAAGCATCATCGCACTCAACGCGTGGATTGTACTGCTGTCAGTCACCTTGCTCTCTTTCCTCTCTACCTCACTCACATCTCCCCAATTAGCCTCATCACAGCCTCGAACAATGGCTACGACGGAAGTATGATGAACGGTCTGCAGTCCCTCCCTCAATGGGAGTCTGCCTTTGGCACCCCGTCTGGTGGTAAACTCGGTTTGCTCAATGCTATTCAAGCACGTACACCCCTACTCCCATCATCTTTTCATTCACTGACCTCCCTCTCTAGAACATTGGTGCTCTCGCCGCGTACCCCTTCGCGCCCTACCTGTCAGATGGTATCGGTCGTCGCAAGACCGTCTTCGTCGGCGCCGCAATTATGTTGATCGCCACCGCCGTTCAGACCGCCTCTCAGTCAGTCGGCATGTTCATCGGCGCTCGCTTCCTCATCGGTTTCGGTCTCACTTTCGCAGGTAAACTCGCCTTATGTTCCCGCGTTTCGTGACAACACCAATATTAACGACCCTTTTTATCCCCCATAAGCGAATGCGGCACCTATGTTGGTCACCGAAATCTCATACCCTACATACCGTGCACCTCTTACGTCAATGTACAATTCCTTGTGGTACTCTGGGTCGATCATGTCAGTCCTGTCATGCCATCATACATCCTTTCGTAGCTGATAAGAAAATGCAGTGCCGCTTGGACAACCTTCGGCACTTTCAAGATGAGCGGCACATGGGCATGGCGTCTTCCCTCCCTCCTACAGGGTCTACCCGCCCTCCTCCAATTCTTCTTGATCTTATTGGCACCCGAATCCCCCCGTTGGTTGATCAGCAAGGGTCGCGAAGCAGAGGCTCTCCGAACCCTTGCCTACTACCACGCTGACGGTAATGAGTGAGTTATTCGGGTGATGATGTTTTTGTGAATATTGGCAATTCTAACCAGGTTCGGTACAGACAAGACCCCCTCGTTGTGTACGAGTTCGAGGAGATCAAGGCTGCCCTTGATTTAGACCGAACTGTTAGCTCTAATGTTGGCTGGAAAGCTCTGTTCAAAACCCCCGGAAACCGCAAGCGCATGCGCATCATCATCGCCATTGCCTTCTTCTCTCAATGGTCCGGTAACGGTCTCGTCTCGTACTACCTCAACAAAGTATTCGACGAAATCGGGATCACCAACGCCACCATTCAGGTAAACACTTTCCCCGCTATTTCTCGACTATGCACTCGACATTCACCTATTTTTCTTTGGTTTCTTTTGCATTTTAATAGTTGCTCATTAATGGTATACTTCAAATCTGGAACTTGTTCTGGGCCATTCTCGCCTCTTTCATGGTTAACAGACTTGGACGTCGTTTCCTCTTCTTGACCTCTGCTATTGGCATGACCTTGTTCTACATGGCACAAGCCATCTGCTTCGCCGAGTTCGCTCAGCACGGCAATCCAGCAGCTGCACACGCTGTCATCGCGTTCATCTTCCTGTTCTACGCAGCCTACGAGTGAGTTTTTGGGCTTTCTGTTCTCTGTTGTTCTTGTATGACTAACATCTTATTTCGCACAGTCTCGCATTCACACCTCTCATCGTCTCTTACACTGTTGAGATCCTGCCCTACAACCTCCGTGCAAAGGGCTTCAACATCTTCAACTTTGTCATCTCCGTCGCCCTCATCTTCAACCAGTACGTGAACCCCATCGCCCTCGACGCCATGGGTTGGAAGTACTACGTAAGTCTCTCCCTCTCTCCCTCCATCCTTGTTCTACCCGGTCTCGAGCTCGTAAATATCCTGAACCAACCCCTCCCTCCCTTTCTCCTTCTAGCTCGTCTACGTCTGCTGGCTCGCCGTCGAATTCGTCTTCCTCTACTTCTTCCTCATCGAGACGAAGAACAGGACCCTCGAGGAGACAGCGGCGCTCTTCGACGGAGAGGACATCTTGGAACAAATCGCCAACCAACCAGGCGTAGGCGAAGTCCAACCAGGCGAAGTCCGAGAAGACCTCGACGAGAAAGGCTCGTATGGCACCAAAGAGGCCTAGAAGGGGGAGCAACACACACCCTTCTAATCTGTCTAATATACTTCCCCCATCAACACCTTTCTTACGCGGATTCCGAGGACCAGTCCTCCCTGCTATCCTAGGGGCGATGATTATCTTTCTTTTCCCTTTATTACATTACGAGTTCAATGTCTAGTGACCCCATGTACGATAGCAAAAAGGCAAAAAACTTATATATACATATATATACCTTCTACATCGCTGGGTTGCCGCGCGCCTTTGGAAAGAGACTGCCGTGTGTGCCCGATATATCTCGCTCCCTCTCCTCCCCATTTCTCAGTGTGAAAAATAGGCGCAAGTCGTGCGTGACCAAGATTGCTGTCTGAAAGGTCTAGGAACACCCTACCGGGGAACATGTCCGATCATCATGGAAGACATGGACATCCATCAGCAAGCTTTCAATACAGCATTCACATGTTCATGTACAAGGCCTTCCTGATACGACAAACTTTGACTGTGGAGCTTTCGATACAGCATTCACATGTCCATGTACAAGCCCATCAACCAGCAACCTGATACGACAAACTTTGATTGTGGCTTCTCTTCCCTGGTCTTATCTCAAGGTCCCCCGCCCCACCGTAATACTTATAGAAAGGGATAAGTCAAATGTATGATAGCCTATTATCACAAAAAGGGGAATGGGAAACACTATGTGCAAGGAGGGATTTAGCAATAATAAAAAAACACCAGAAAGGAAAACTGCAGAAAAGGTGCCCATGGGCTCCCAGATTCACTGCCAACTATACACATGGGGAGAGACCGGTATGAAGTGCACTATAATCACAAGGTAAAGATTACGACGAGTCAAATCGAAATCATGGAGGCGGTGGATAGCAAAGGATGGGGAATTTGTGCTCAGGATATTAGGTCCATGGATTGGATAGATATGTAAGAACGTTGAAATGGCGAGGCGGATGAGAGATTTCAAACGACACTCTGCCCAGAACAGTCCATCCTTTCTTGCCGAATTCTGATACTTTTTCACCCTCCTCCCAACCCACTTGCACCCAGGCCTGCGTATGCTCCTGTTAAGACAGTACAATCATGGTACAACAGCACCCGCCTGCTTTCTAGACTTGTGACACTATCCCACTTTCACATTGTGTACACGCAACTAATCTTATCGGGCACTCCACAAAAACAAAGACCAACAAACGCAAAGAAAAGACGGATCCTGACGAAGAAGCGATTGAGAATGGAAGGGCTTAAGCCCCCTCCCTCTCAACCCATCTTGCTGTCCTTCTTCTTTTGTTTGCGCGGTGGTGTCACTGGCCGTCCCATGTTCATGCCGCCGTATGGATACTTCGCTTTCTTTTCGGCAGGCTTGAGAATCTGGAACAACGACGTTATATATAGCACCTGAAGAACTACTCAACATCACTTACTTGGAACGAACATAGTAGAGTTTCGTCTACACTCATCATAGCTCCAGCGTTGTCGAATTCTCCACAGTAGTTTGGGGCCGAGAACAACGTCACCAGATGTCGCTTAGCAAAAAATTCGTATCCGTCCTCGACGACCTGCAAGTAGGAATATGATCAGCAAAATGATAAGGAAATCGACAATAATTATAAATGCGATGCGCCAGTCATGACGTTTACAAACAAGCCGACTCGTCATCGCTCGTAAATCCAAGTAAGTTGCGCACCTGATGAGCTCTGCAAATAAGGTCCATATCATGTTTCTGTAGGAACCGAGAGACTACGTCCGGTCCGAACGTAAAGGACACTCCTCGGTCATTCTCTGACCACCCAGTTATGTCTTTATCGGGGTCTGACCAGAGGAGATCACATAATAGACCTTGGTATCAAAGTCAGCTTTCTACACGAGGTCACATGTCAAGAAATCTGAAAAGTACCGGTGTCGGGGACATCTGTTGGTCTCATGACTCTCCGTATCTGCTCCATCGACTGTAGATCGGGACTGAGGCCGCCATGCATGGTGAATATTTTTTCATCGATAATCGCGGCAATAGGCAAACAGTTAAAGCAGTCTGTGAAAGTCTTCCATAGTTTGATATTGTATCGACGCTTGCCTGTCATGAGATACATCTAGAACTCTGCAGCGACAAAAAGCAGCTAACTTACACTCGTCGTAGAATCCGTAGATTCGATTTATACTGGCGCATTCATGGTTGCCTCTGAGAATGAAGAAATTTTCAGGATATTTGATCTTGTATGCGAGCAGGAGACAAATAGTTTCGAGTGATTGTTTCCCCCGGTCGACGTAGTCTCCAAGGAAAAGGTAGTTGGCTTCTGGTGGGAAGCCTCCATATTCAAAGAGACGTAGTAGGTCATAGTATTGGCCATGGATGTCACCTGATACGTCACTGCGATGAGTCACAAAGTAAGATGGACAGCCCAGCGTACATACCACAAATCTTTATGGGTGCTTCTAACTCCAGTAGAATAGGCTGATTGATGAAGATTTCTCGAGCCTTAGTACACAAATATTTGATTTCGTATTCCTGTAGTTGAACAGGCTTTCCAGGTCGGTTGCCTCTTACTAATTAAAAAAAAAACATAACAAAGTCAGAATCTGTCCAACAAATGGGGGCGCTTTTAAATGAAATAAATGAGAAGCCGCCTGGTCAAAATCTAGACGCAGGAAAAATGCGGAGCGAGTGGCACCACATCGGAGGACATCGTTTAAGACTGGCGAGATTTGCTAGATGCCAATCGACTGGGTAGTGGTACCAACAAAGAACTCGCATAAAAGACGGTTGGATGGCCCATCGCTACCCATGTATGCTCTCCCGTTTTCCACCTTGGCTAGCACGTGTGTGACTCATTGCGACCGCCAACTCACCTTCCAACAACCGGTCAATAACAGAGTCAAGATCAATTTCCGTCGTCGAGTCTGCCATTGCTGCGACCTGATTGTTTCGAGTCGTGTGCGTCAAGCTGGATGTCGAGGAGAATGGTACGTGGCAAGGTTAAAAAAACTGAGGAGCGACCGCAAATATGGTTGTTCCTTGTTGAAAACAAGCGCCGGTTTTTTTGGCGACAACTGAGGGTGGGTGTATGGGGAGAAAGAAAATACGCTGGGCGGTAAAAGGCCGGCTGCCAGAACCGCAAAGGCTAGGATAAAGACAAAAATCGATGAGGCAGACGTAGGGAACAGAGATAACGGATTGGTTTGATGAGAGGCAAAAACCGAACTGCGGCAGGCGACGGAGCCACCGTGGGAATATCACCCCATCCAGTGAAAGAAAGAACGCTTTTTTGCATTTCGCGGCCCAATCCACGAAATACCTGTACTAGCAACAGGCTATGCCCTTCACTTGAGCGCTAACCATGTTCATTTCATTCATAGCACGAATATGGAATACAACATATGTAGTAACAGGTAGCATCTAATATCATTTTATAGACGGACACTAGTAAACTACTATACAGTGAGCCCAGAAAGAACAACAACAGAAAAAGGATGCAAAATGAGTGAGTAGGGTCCAAGAATGCAGGAGCGAGTGGTGGAACAATAATGCTACGATCATAATACGTGTCTCGTCGTGAATATACATACTAAAAAAAAAGCAGAACAGACGCCAACTGTTCAAACCGTCAAGCGAGACGGCCTTGCCCCTTCACCTGGAGGGCGTCGAGGGCGGCGGCGACGACGTCTATACGTAGTGTATCAGTAACGAATATCTTCCCAAGCGATGAGCTTGGAGACTAACCTCGGGAATATTGGACCTTTGGGCATGACCCGCTCATCCAAATCGAGCGAGATATTGACGCCAGCGTGAAGACCCTGCACATTGAAATGTCGAGTAAGTAAAATACATATAAATCCACGAGTCTCGTGCAGACTTACCTCTATCCACTCCACAACAGCAGGGACGTCATGAGCCTGCAGCAAGAACTGCTCACCCTCCATTCGCACTCGGATCACATTCTTTCGCTTTAGGTAGTCGTTCCCTAGTCCGCTCTCAGCATGTTGCAATGTATAAGCACGTATCAAATCCGAGCGACCCGGTTTCGGCACCTCTCCATTACGCATTCCGAGATGGGGTGTTGGTAGAAAATGCGAACGAGAGGAGAAAGAGTTTGGTGTCGTGGACCTCATACCTAGAAAACTGTGGCGAGGCGACTGGCGAGGAGATGGAGCTTGATTGATATGGATGTCCGCGTGATCGCGCGATGGTGGAGGAGATAATGAAAGCGACGAGTGACTGCTCGAATCGTTCATCGGCGGTAATTCAGCCTGAGGGACACTCCCAGATTGAGGACGCGATGAACCTCCCGCCCGCAAAGGTAACATAAAACTAGAGCGCTTGCGCCGTGTAGAAGTATGAGAAGACTGAGACTGGCTCCGTCGCCGATCTTGTTCAGCCGCAGAGTTAAAGAAAGATGAGGAAGAAGGAGTATCAGGATCTTTTATCCGTCGCTCCGGCTCTTCCCTCTTCGTTGGCGCGACATTCGAAGTAGCCCCTGTCGCGATATCACCAACACCGACTTTCTTCTCCCACCATTCGCCGATAATCCCCGCCCCCGAAGCGCCCGCTGGGCACTTGTACACTCTGAATGTTGTCCCATCCAATTCACAGAATACTCTCCGCCACTTCCGGTCCTTTGCTTGCACACCTGGAGCAGTGAATTCCATTTTCCGAGGCATTATAGCCGCGAGGTATAAAGAGTTACTGTAGCCCGGAAGACGTTCTCTGCCCTCCTCGTCCCGTGGTTGGACACGGTAACTTCTGCGTAAACTGAATATAGGATATGGAGGAGGCGCTGTTGATGGATTGAAGCTCGGCAATGAATTTTGCCGACGAAGGGTGCCAGCGCGACCGACACCCAGAACATCGTCCCCTGCAGTAGAGCCCGCTTGAGCATGACTTGAAGCCACAGTATTTGCTACAGTCGATGGCGCAGTCGACCGAAGGGTCTCTTTCGACTTGCGCTTCAGCAAGCTCTGACGATGCTCCAAGGACTCGGGCTCTTTTGTCGGTGAGTGCAGGTCTATCATACTTCTAGAGGCAACGTGGTGCAAATCCGGCCTAAGCGCAGCGGAGGTAGGCATCACCAGGAACTGTGGATATGGATAGGACTTATTGTCGCTTGGTCGCGGCGTGAAATTAGGTGATGTTATCTCAGTGCGAATAGAGGGGACTTTTGGAGTAAAGTAGTCCACACGACTTGGATCAGTTGGCGTAATATCTCCTCCTAAAACAGCAAGCCTTGACGGACCCGCAAGTGGTGTTGGCGAACCCAAAGAATTACGAGATAAAACGTTAAGCGAAGTATTGATCCTGGGAAGGAGAGAAGATTTCCTTGAATGCGAATACATACTTCCGGGCGAGGGAGAGCCAGGCATCATATCATCTCCTTCTTCGTCGCTCTCTTCACCCACGACGCTCTCAGCATCAACCATGCCATCCTCCTCTCCCTCCTCATCGTCCGATTCGCCGACAATTGAACCTTCGTGATCCGACTCCACATCGGCATTGGTTACCCCGTGTAATGATAAGGAGGGCATAGTGCGTAGACGCGCCTGCGGTCGTACAGCAGTGATTGGTACAGCGGGGGTCGGAGGTAACAAGATAGGAAGATGCCGAGGGGGCATTGTAGTGTATCTCGACAGAATAGAAGGCGAAAATCGAAGTCCGTGTTCTGCAGTCATCTGAAAGCCAGGCGGAATAGTCGTGGTAAGAGGTGTACCAAGAGAACGTCGACCTTGGATGTCTGATGGGCGAACTGTTTGCGCATCTGACTGTGCCGAGAGCGTCAACACCCTTGAATCCTCAGAACGTAGTGTTGCATCCGATTCCGTAGGATGAAGTAATCGTTGCTCGTCAACAGAGGAGATATTGCTATCTTTTGGCTCAACTCTTTGTTCGGTTACATCTACATTTTCGGCTTGTTTGAAAGGAGCCAGAGGTTCAACGTCCGTTACATCAACAGGCACATGCGGCTCTACAGCATTTTCGGCTTGTCTCGCAGGATCCATAGGTTCAGCGTCCGTTGCATCAACAGGCGCATGTGACTCTACAGCATTTTCGTTCGTAGGTTGGGCCTCAGAGACAGACGGAGAGTGAAAGCCGGTGGATGTAGCAGGACGGACAACGCCCGGAGAAGTAACGACAGGGGAAGTATTAGCATGACCCGTGGTGTCCCAAGGAGGATAATGCCTCGACAGACGGGAAGGTGAGTTACTAGAGGATGCGCCTTGTGATGAATCATCTGTATCCATTGGTTTGCATGAGTCTTCCATCCGAAGTCCGACAACAGCATGGGACAAGTTGGGGGGTTTCCTGAGGACGTCCATTGAGCGAGTCTGTCTAGGACAACCAAGCCCAGTCTCCATAGGCGGTGAAGCCATAGCGTCCTTCGATTTTGAAGAGGCAAATCTGCCTCGCAAATTGAACTTTCTGAAAAATTGCACTGCCCTTGTCTACAAGGTCCCGACAAGCTATTAGCTGCCAGTAGACTCGAGTCTCGATTCATGATAGAACACACCTGAAAGGGTTGTGGGCGTACTTGCACCATCGACACGGTTCGATGACGCTCATCCATCTTTTTGGGTGGGCGATGGTGGTGAAAGTCTAAGGAAAAGAAAGAGCCGAGGCGCTATCTCACAGCACGTTTCCAGTATGCCTGCACTCTTTTGCAGGACGGAACAAAACCAGTTTAGCTAAAATCCGGTGTTCGCGTACAAACCTGGTTAGTCTATAAGCAGATCACGAAATGGGCTGGCAGGTGAACACGACACGATGTCGGGCTTGTTCAAGCTTGCGCACAACGGTAAGTGGGAATATCGCGACCGTCAAAGATGTTCAGCAGCCAAAATTACGACGAAACATGGACGTTTGTAAGAGAGGGCAATGAAAAGTCCAAGATGGAGCCGGCCCACGAGCGGCTTTTCTATACTTATGACATCGAAGTATTCAATTCCATCATCACGTGTGGTGCGATTGGCGGTGCGGCCTATGTCTGGAGCCACTGTACCATATTTATCACAGGAGTTGCTCAAATACACAAAGCCTATCCCACCATGACCTTCAAACACCACCATATTCAATCTATCGTATCCTCTGACCCACAAAACCCAAGTGTACTGTAACAGCCATGCCTTGCTGCGCTGCGGGAAACGTGGCCAAAGTGATGAACCCCACAACACACAGTTCCGAATCTCCCAACCAATGCGTGTCATATCCACGGTTTTCGCTACGCGGACTCGGATGCAATGCGAGTGTATTATGACAGGGCCTGTCATTGGTTGTCGGATGCCACCGATCACCCAACTACTCGACATCCTCTCTTGATGGTTGGGTTACACGCAGTACCGATACAATTCATACAGAGATATCTGTAAGCATTGACTGGAAAACCTGCAGAGGCTTCAGCAATCTTTCTGCGAGCATCGTGATTCTATAGAAGAACACACCTGATTGTAGGACTTATCGGATGTTTGTAGATTACACACAGCCGCCATCACCCGCAAAGCTACGGCAAAAAAAACGGCAACAATACATGTGCCGACAATGGCATCTCGATCGGTTTAGACTGCAAACTAGACGCTCACTGACGTCAATAACGAATCATAGCGCCGGCCGTTAAGGGGCATACGACTGCTGCAGCATCAGGGGGCCTCTGGACAAGTCAAAGTAGACGATGACCAGCCAGGTCGTCGAGGGCGTCGAGGGTTCCGCAGTAGCGGCAGTACCGCTCGAGGAATGGTTACCACCACGGTGATCACTCTCGGAGAATTCCCAGAATCGGCGAACGAATCCCTCGGATTACCACGATGATGATTCCTTTCTATGTTTGTAAAAGACCCTCTATCTCTCGAGCTGTCGAACTTAGAGGTGAGTCAGACGTACACAAAAATGACCAGTCCATGCAGTAACTAACCGACTGGCCAAGGCAGCCCGCAACCATTAGGAACTAATCCGATTATGGAATGGAAGTCTTCTACAATATTGACAGTGCGAAATTTACAAAGAGTTGCCACAACGTCAGCGCGAGCCGGTGTCTCGAAAAACTTTAAAGAGTGGTACGAGTTGGCAGGTGCCAGTGGCTTCGAGGATTGTGTTAATTGCATGTGGTCCTTCGAGATTGATCGATCGAGAGTAACGCGATAACAGCTTCGGATCGAAAATCAGAAAATGCCACTCAGCTCACAGCGTTTCAAAACTGCGTGGTCGATGCATGCCCCTCGTTTGTCGATGACGGCGGCACCAAAGCAATGGGAAAGGGGTTTATATCTTGTACCTTGCGAACGAAAGTGTGGTACTCGCAAAGAGATCTAAGTCTGCATTCACCCCGGTGTGAGAGCAATATCCCAACTTGAAACCAAAGCTCTGGGACAAATCAAATATGCAACAGAGCTGATAGACAGCTGACTTTGCACGTTGCGTATACTGTGGAATTTCTCGGTCAGCATGAGAATGCTGAGGTGATGGCTGAATGAACTGGAAAGCGAGGTGAGAACAACACACCTATTCCAGGTGAAACTAGCGACCACAAAATAAGTGACTACAGATCGAATTTGCTTGACATTGGGCAACGACAACATGGCCGCCGGATACCGACTGTACCTTCGAACTGGGTGACGAAGCATGCTTGCTATACAATTCTCGATCACACGCTAATCCCCTAACTTTAGAACTAGGTCAGAATAGGAAGTCAAAGATCCCAGCAGAAATAAATCCTGGTGATAGATTATCCAAGGGTACATTCCTAGGCTTCGAAAAATGGTCACAACTCAACGAAGTAGCTGGGATGGTACTCAACGTGGGAATATAAATCAAATATCAGAACGAGAGCGTTTGGCAAAGTCGCAACAAAGTAATGGAGTGTCCTTTTATTTTGCGTACATTACCACAATCTGTGAAATTTGTCCTCAGGTTTGTTGGATATTTTAGAATCGTTTGATGAAGGTAAATAACTTACAGATATACTTCATGCAACAAATGGTACCAGTAGCTGAGAGGAAGCGTCTTAAGATAATGTTGTCAAATCCAGGGCTGAGGAGAAAGAGCGTTGAACGTACTAGATTCACCACAGTGCGACCCAAGCCAAGCCTTTGCCAGCCCCGCTGTCCAAAAAATGAGTTGAAATAGTCTTTTATCAGGAAAAAGGATAAACGCCAATTCCAGACCGAGAAAAAAACCATCTTTTCTCCCCGTGTTGTAAAACATCACGACTCGAGAGTTTGTAGGCCCTAACTTTGCGAGATAAGGTCTAGCTGGCTGGATCAGAGTGAAATCCATAGGGCTAGCGAGACCCTCTAAATGCTTGTATATCTTGTATATCCTCTTGCTGCGAGGGTGTAAAAATGTGTGTTCTTTGCATTTGATGTGTATTCGGGACTAAAACTGCACATACGGTCAATGTGACTTTCACAAAATGGGGAACAGTGCTTCCAGGAAGCGGTCCTAGGTGGGAAGGTGAAAGTGACAAGATTAGTTATCACTGTGCTGAAAAAGGAGTCAAAGTCAAGTTTGATATTCCATGTATGCGATTTTATTCTTGTCGCTACTCTTCATGTTGACCACCGTAGTGAGATGAACGGAAAGCGCATTAAACAAGATATATTTTTCCGTAGCTAGTAGACCGACGTCGCAATGAGCCAGCTACTGAGAGGCACCGGTAATAGTAGCGGTCGTGTTCTACCGCTAAAATGGTAACTTCTGGCTCTTCGACGTGCGAGGCGGCTTGAGAGGATGTGGACGTCTCCGTTTGTAATGCTTGTGGATCAGGATGTAAGTAAAGCCTATGTTAAAAGTATTCAAGACGCCACTTACCTGTTTGAACCTCGTAATCCGCTTCCCCATGTCGCGCATAAGCATGGCCTTGCGCTTCGTCTTGCCCTCCAGCACGCGCTCCCATTTGTGCCCTTTGAACATACGCTTCTTACCCGCATACAGCCTGTTCCCGATATCTGCTCCTGGAACAACACGTTCTTTCACCTGTCCTTCCCACTCAACTGGCTTCGACCACGGCTGGGGACGGACAGAAACGGGCAGGGAGTGTTGTCGCGCTACAGTCGCCTCTAGTACGGACAGCTTGGGACCTGGAGGAATGAGAGCGAGCGTGTTGGTCTGCTTCGCTTTTTTCACCAAGTCGGCTTGCTGACGGAGGGAGTATTTGGGTGGAATCCATCGCCCTGTGTTGGGGTTGCGGTGAGGCAGGAAAGGATTTGAGCGAGTTACAGCATTAGGAAGCGATGGTTTAGGTGTAGACTGAGATGGAGAGATGTTTCGTGGAGAAATAGCCTTCAGTTCTTTTATTCTAAATTTTTTGACGGCTTGGAGAGCCATGGCTGCTCTTTTACTCTGACTGAGCACAAGACGAAGACTGGCGGTGGCTGCAGTCTCGGAAATGACCGCGGCGTGTCGCTGACTAAGGTTAGGGTCCTCAGTCAATGTCTTTTCATAGTTAGAATGAAGATTACTATTCAGCATGGTAGATATTTTAGATATTCGTTAGATGACATGTAAATGCGTGATGCAAACGAAGTAGCTATAGAGCGAGAGCAAAAAAAAAAAAGTCAAACGAAGGTAGATTTAACAATGAGAATGTGCAAGTCCGTAACTGAGAGCTTATACTAAGAAAAAATGCCACGATGCTCGAGTCCATCCATAGATCCGAAGGTAGTTAGTCCATCATCACAGATATCAATCCTTTTAACTTAAGAGGTAGTAGAACGTGCCTTCCAAAATCTCCATTTCATCTTCTTCGCTTTGACCATTTTCTCGTTCTCCTCGTCCAAACAACCCTTCACGCCAGTAAATGTCGAGACAAACGATGACTTGCGACGAGCTTCTATACCCTCACTATCACTTTCAGACTCGTCCGAGTTGGGAGGAGTAGGAAGACCATTGGAGATGCGCACTACGGAGTGTCGATGAACCTTTTCTGGCGAGGTGGGAAGAGGTGTAGCAACGCGCAAGATAGAACGATCATCATACACCTGCGCCGGGTTCCAATTGACTCCACTGTCGCGCTTGCGCTCACGACCAGAAAACGTCGGGCTGGGCTGGGTAAGCGAAGTAGCTGAAAGGGGTCGACTGTCCGACGATGTAAAGGCAAAGTCCATAGCACTGCTTATCCATGCACGCTGCGGTTGGTCCATTTCGAGCGTGTTCATCGGTTGGTCCAGAGAGCCGCTTAAGACAAGGTCCGCAATTGACCATTCAGCAACGTCATCCCCAGAGCACGACGACCAAGACGACGACGAAGGAGAATAGTGGACCATATCACGGAGAGCCCCCACGGGCATGATAAAAGACGATGCCCGTTCAAGGGCATCGCATTGGGAGCCATCCATGGACGTAGGCTGAGAGAAAGAGAGCTGAAAAGATTCCATACTGTTTATAAGCTTCTCTTGAGCGAAGGAAGCTTGTTCGGTGAGAGGAAGCAAGTGCACGAGGTGAGCCTTCAACGACGAAGGGGTAGAGAAGGCTGATGTTAAACTCGTTGACAGTGAATCTCGACTTCCATAAGCTGGGGTGGGAGGCGAAGTATACGTTGAACTTCTTCGGAGCAATGAACGCCTACGCGATTGGGCATTCAGGGATTTGGTAGAGAAGTTGGGCGACACAGGTTTAGCAGCAACAAGGTAGGGGCGACTGATAGTAGTAATCAGAATCGACTGCTTCAGAAGAGACTTGTCGCTCAGGTTTTGAGGCAAGAAATTGAGGATGACATCAAAGGGGCGCTGCATAGGGTCCACAACCGGAAACGAAGAGGAGTGTTTGTGTGACAGTATCTTTGGTGACGAGACTATAGATGAGCGATATGATGAGTTCGAGCTCCTCAGTATCTCTGGAGAGGACAGGGGAGATGGTGGGGAACTCTGTGGAAAGGTAGCGCGGAAGAGGTTGCAGGGGACGGTTGCAACAGGATCAAGACCATTTTCACTCTCCGAGAGTTCGCGGACACCTGACCCACCCTGCTTTCTCCATATACGTCCAATGCGCTCAGCACATTCGAGCAAATTGACGAGGCGCACGGCCCCCGTGCTCTCGACGGCGAGAGGGGTAGTGAGATGTAAGACGCAAACAGCTGGGCGAACAGAGGCAGGAATGACGGGAGGTTGGTGAGTAGCCAATATCAATAAAGACGAAGCTAATTGTTGAGAGTTCACTATGGAACCCAGATCCCTCAAAGAAGGAGCTACGCTCAGTCAGTCGCTGATATTGAGGAGACATGACTAATGAAGGACTTACCACCGAGCACAAGTATGACCTCTCGACGAATTTCACTGATGCATGCAAGAACGGTCTCTATCTTCAATGTCCATGGCTCCCGGATGGTATTGAGCTTGCTGAAAGGGTCGAGGGGTAACTTTGGGCGGAATACCTCAGAAACGAGAGGGTTATGATTCCGGGACCGAGAGGGGAGCCTTGAAGAGGATGCCATTGGAAGAGGGACAACAGCAAAACGAGCACGCCTGCCAAATTGTGCTATATGTAGTAAAAGAAAAGTCAATGCATTTGCACAAAGGAACGAACAAGCAAAAAGATAGATACACACGATAGATCTGTCGCCATCTCCGTGGTGTAACCGCTTTCAGTCGGCAACAAATCTAGTCTATTTCCATATCAGGAAAGTAGTATTCATCTTACGGGCCATATCTGGAAGGAACTCCGTTCGGCTCGGCTCGGATGGCCAAGCGTTGCCCTATCAAACTCCACTCCCGGGCGGCCCCCGGGCGGCTTGTTGAGGGCTCGTCTCTGCGGATTCACGGCATACCAAGACTATAGAACCTGCCATTGCATCATGATGCTGTCGACCTCTTGTGCTGTGTTGGCAGATAACGAATGCAGGACCTTTGATACTTACGAGAAACATCAAGCCTTGGAAGTGGTTCTCTCCAAGACAATCCTCGTGCAATCAGCAACCTTACCTTGCCTGAACTTCCAACGTAACAGAAGTACACTTAAAAATAAGTAGTCCGTATGTTAGCTTGTTCTGTTCAATTAAAATTTTTTAGGCTCTCGTGCTTTCGTCTTCCGAAAAGCTATTAGCAAATAGTGGGAACATATTTTCCCCTTCTGATTCCTCGGTGACTCATAGCACACCACTTTTTCGTCAGTTTACTATTCGCAGCTTTGGAGAATGTCATGGGGCCAACCTCGAGTAGATAGCAAAAACCAGAGTCAATGAAACCGCCTTGCGAGCTCAGCGTGTTCCATTTGCCAAGATAGTCTTATATATATAGTTCGATAGTAGCTCACTACATCTAGTAATGGGGCACCAATCCTCGTGTTAGCCACACATTCAATTGTCCGAAGTAGAGATTGATAGAACACACTTTCAGGGGCAGAAGCATGGTCATACTGTGGGACATAACATTGACCGTGTGTGGCTTACTATTTCATATCAGAGTGCTAGGTGCACAAAGCTCCCTGCTTTAAAGATAGTAGTTAGATCATATCGTTGACTAGTAGATCATGCTGCAAAGGGTAAGGGTTTTTTTTTTTTCAGCATCGCGATTGTTCTGCACAGTCCCTCACAAGGCCTCGCGGATTCTCTCCATGATCATCCAGGCTTCATCTCCTAATTGGGTACGGGCGGATAATAACGGGTAATTAGGGGCAGCACACGGCGAACAAAAGAGCCGCGGCGCGTCGCATATCTGAGAATGCGGATCCTAACCAGAAAACGGAGATGTGCTACGAAACACTGAGTTATGCATATTCTAGGAGTGTGGTGTGGAGTTGGGAGGCAGAAATAGACAGGGACAGGAACAACTGGAGGAATGGCTGAACTTGGTGGTGAGCGCAAAGAGTCGTTGAAATTGTGATATTTTAGAACAAGAACGAGGTACACGCCCTGGACAAATATGAAAAAGCCAGAGCAAGCCTCGGCAGGCTCGCATGAGGTCAGAGGTACTTTGGAGGATTGGCACATTGCTAATGAACTCCAGGACTTTGGTGGTCAACCTCCCAGGTAAGGGAATTCAAAGATAGGCAAATGATGGCCCCAGCTGCTGAGCTTGTTCGCGACGATTTCAGGGTTACTTGACACTGATGCCAACCTGGAAGGAATTGGTAGGGACATCATGCTCGTCCCCTCATGTACTCATTGGGTCGTACATATTTTTCGAATCTCCAGAACAGGGTCAAAGAGAGGTGTACAGCTCCCATTCGCTTCAACTTGGGAACAAAAATGCTGTCAAAAGAGGATGAGTGAGAAGATGACGCAAGATCAAATAGAGAACGTGCGTAAGAAAGAAGAAAGCTATCGCTCCAATCCCAGAGAAGCTATCTTGCAGATAAAAAGACTTGGAGGATACGGCCGATCAAGCTCTGTTTACCCATCACAAATTTTACAACCGGGAGTACGTTGAATAATAAATAACTGGGGAGGTTGCCGATTTGACGCCTGGTTTTACCTAACACATTGACTGCAGAAAGGAATCAGAGTGAAGTCACAATGGGTTGTTAAAGCCATCAGATTACTGCAGATAAGATAGGTACCTACCATCGATATGGGACAGATAACCGATACTAATGTCGCCGTCATGACGGTTGACCGGTGACGTTGATCGCCTTGACAGGCAATCAAAAGCCTTTTAGGAGAGCTGAAGAAAAGGGGCTTGGCCAGGTTCGATTACAGCAACTCTTGAAGCTTGAATGGGGATAGCCGTGTTAGGCGAGCACTGCTGCATGCTTCGATCGTACTGCGACTTCGCAAAGAATGGGGATAAGGACTACCACAAATGGCTGCCAAAGTGTCGCCGAATAACCACGCTCAGGTTGAAGGCGGTGGATTCCTTACATCATTAGAAGAGCTTGACGAAGTGGGAGAACACGTTTCACCTGAATACATCTTGCACGTCAGCGCAACCCTGCCTAGTCAACCGTTGCGCATACAGGGTGTCAGAAAATGATCCTGGGAGGCATGTGCTGGTTTACTTGTTGCCTAGCCTGAAAAGTGACACAGTAAACCAGCCGCATCACAGGAGATGAATGGAGAAAGTAGAATGCGCCGTCGCCAGTGTCGTGATTACAGTTCTTCGGCTCTTGCTGTACCTGTGTACGAATAAGGATGTCTCGCCACCGCCGGCGGACTACATGCATATTATCTTGGAAGAGGTAGAGTTCAACGCATTTATCCGTGAGGGATAGACATTTAATTAACCATCAAATTTTTGCAGTATCCAGCTTAAAGTCCACATGAGTCATCGCACCAACTTTCTACTTGTCTGCTGGCCAAAAATACGAGCGACACCAGGCGAAAATATGTGCCAAGGTTCTGCGTTGAACTTCAGGGTTTTCTGAGAAGGCTCCCACGATGTCGAGTCCGGAAGATGGGCAGTATCGCCTATTTACAAGATATCGATCGACTATCATCAATACATTGAATTAGGTCAGCAAGGGAGACTAAGTATCGCCCTGCGCGTGAGCCCCAGTCGGAAACGACAAAATATATACCGAATCACATCGAATTTCGTCGGATATTCAATGTAATTCGATATATATCTTAAAACTACCGTAATCCTAGATTATTTTCGAATGTAAAAGGTTCATATCTAACCACAGCGGTAGTACAGAAATCATTTGATTTAGTTAGATGGCTCTTTATAATCTGCTTCACAAATATACAGAATATTTGAATCACAGCGAATCAAACTGAATTCAAAACTATACTAATTACATTGAATTAAAACAAATGGTAGCGAATATGAATGATATGTAGCAATGAAAGCAAATGAGAGGGGGGACATAACATATACATATAAGCCATCTGGCTCCCTGCAAACAATTACCCTCATCAATACACCAAAATGGCCCTTTTGGCACTGCTATTTCGCTTTGAAAGCCTTAGCTGGAGGTTTCTAGGTAGATAGTTAGACACAATGCCTCAGAAACAACTGTGTACGCACATTGCAGCCTCAGAGGTGACCTTCTGTTTGAAGTATCAGTTGGAAAGAGGCCATAAACAAAAGCCTACCTCATTAAATGCGCTTCGAAAGGAAGGGCTATTGATTTGGCCTCGAGTCTTTGACTTTCCCGCGGCCACTTGTACTAGCACAAACAATATATTAGCGGTAAAGAAAGGACATCTGAAAGATACTTACTTACCTTGGTCTTCACTTTAAGTTAATCGTGTTGCTTCTCACAGTTTTGCACTATCCATCAAAATCCCTTGTTAAGTGAGTGCAGACCTGTCCGATACATGGGAAATACCAAAGTTAGTAAAGATTGTGGTCGAGATGGTGGTACAGAACAGAGGAAGGAAATCGAACATGGTGCAAAATGTGACCAAATATATGGGCACGTGATTGTGCAAGCAGTGAATGCATGATTGCACTGCACAGTGGTGCATGTGTGCATGAATGTGCGACACTATATTGCATTGCTTTGTGTACAATTGCACGAGATCACACGCAATTGCAGCATTCTGTTGTTTCAAGCCACGTCTCAAAAACCGTGAGAATACTTTATGATTAGATTAGATTCGATGTAAATGGTCTGATTCGACAGGATCCTATCTAATTCGGCATATATTTTGTCATTTCCGACTGGGCGTGAGCACTGAGCGAACAACAAAGGACTGTAGCTCCTGCAGAGCCCATCATTCAAGCTCTGGATATGTCTAAAAGTTAATTAATTCTCATTCCTTCTCCAAGTTGTTACATAGAGAAAACTCAGCGCACTGCATACAATCGTAGAACAATGACAAGTTATACCATGGTTCAAATTTCACTTATGAGAATTAATCATTTGCATCAGCTTCTCGGAGCTCATTCCTGACCGTGGTTCAATCCGGCACGGGTATGGGAGCGGGTGGCTGATATCAGAATTCAGAAAGAGTGATGGAACCAACCTAAGAGAACTCACGTAGTTATTCCAACTGACCATTGCGGACTAACTTCAATATCATTGCCCTGTTCATCTTTTGCTTTTGTGATGCTGAATGCAGCCAATATGGATACAATAGCGGCCCATACTGTTGCGTCAGCAATATGACGGCCTATGCAAACTCGTCTTCCAAATCCAAAAACGAAGCTAACGTTATCGTTGTTTAGCTTTCCATCTGGCATAAAGAACCGCTCGGGTTTGAATTCATCTGAGTCTGGATATTTATCTTCATTGTGCGACATCGCCCTGCGAGTTTGTATGTGAGATACGACGGATAACACTAAATTACAATGTGTAAACACAAACCATATATTGGCCATCACTATTGCTCCTACTCGATATTAGTGTGTTAACGGGAGGAGATAGCGAACTCAAACCTTTCGGGATAAAATAACCTCCGAAATGATCGTCATTCATAGTAGCGTGAGAGACTCCTACATATACGCTGTTGGCTGAGAAACAAGCATTCAGATGGACTTTGCTTACCAAGGGGGACTCCAGGGTGCCATCTGAACGTCTCACGAAGAATAGCTTCTATGTAAGGCAACGATGGCCTATCGTTGAAGTCTGGAAGTCTGTTTTGACCTACCACCGAGTCTATCTCCAGCCATGCCTTTCGTTGCACATCAGGATAAAGGAACATCGCAAGCATGAAGATTTTGAGCGCCGAAGCAGTCTAAATTTATTGATGAAGGCAAGATATGAGGATACTTCAAATGCGACTGACCATTTCAGATGCAGCTATGGAAAGTGTACCTGTAAGTAAATGTAAATGTAAACATATGATCGAAAGTGCTTACCCAGGAAAGCGCTGGCGGAAGTATGTTTGATTGCAAGCTCGTAAGAATCATCATCTGCTTTCATTCGGCTAAGCAGATCAGAGACCATCGATGGTTTTGCTGTACCTGCTGCCTATCATAATCTCAGACACAGCTCTTCCACAGAAAATGAAGAGGACACACAATATTTTGCTTTACATACTGGAAGGGAGCTTCAATAACATTAACCGTCAGCTCCTGACATTCGAGGGCTTTACGCTTGAAATCCGCTCCGGGGAACCAAGGAGGAATGTGTCACACTACATGCCAACTTGACAATGAGACAAGATGAATACATATATATCAGCGAAATGCTCACAAAATGGAAATACACTAAGGACCGCAGCTCCCTCGGGTGTTGAGGCTTTGGCGAGCATATTTGCCGTGCGCTCCACAGCCATTACTAAAGGGTCATGGCGGGATGCTGGGTCATATCCATATGCCACTGCCATTATTACAGCTGTAGATAGCCTATGATTCAAACATCAGTTATTTTACACAAAAAGTTCTGTTGCTTCGATTTATTTACATTTGCAAGTGGTCAGAATATTCTCCGGGGGTTTCAAGCAAGTTGGCTAGAAGCTGGTGTACTTTACGCAACTGTGTAGGTCGATAGATCATAGCCGCGTCAGCTCGAAAGGCCTGCTGGAACAACCGCCTATGCAATCGCCATCTGTTGCCATAGTTGAGCAATGCTGAATTGAAACTCCCTCCAAACCTGCATAAATCACAAAAATGACATTCAGATAATGTTTCTCGAGGTGTACAATAAAGCTACGCACAAGGCAATTATAATGAACTGTGGTCTATCAGAGTAGTTATTTGCACGACGCTCAAGGAGATCCTTAGCCACTTTTTCGGAATTGAAAACGATGATTTCTTGGTTGAGTAAACGGGAGTACACGAGATCACCTGGTAAGCATTAGAATAGATAGCTCCCAATAAAGATGTGACGGTTGAAACCGTTTCAGCATACCGTGAACCTTTGCCCAGTCCGCATAAGTGATCCAGGGCTTGTTGGGATTTAAACCAAGCACGTTGCCCAACACAGGCAAAGACCTGGGACCCGACGGCAATAAAACCCTTGCCCTGAGGAAAATTAAGACAAGAGCTAGGACGGGCATATCGAACAGTAGAGGACCAACAGACATGGCGGAAGGGTATACGAAAAGACGGATTGTCCTTTGTAGGTATTCAGCCCAAACGATTCTCGTCGATTGGTTCTCGTTCCACAACACCTTGTTGGCACATTAGTAAAGTAAAAATCCTCATTTTGAATAGAATCATCTAGATTGACAGTTTGGAAGCTAGTGTACAAATCTGAGAATAACATAAAAGAGAGAAGACGACATACCTTTGGTTTGAATAGAATCCGAGTCCCAGTTGGGCACTGGTAAGTGAAAAGCAAAAGCATAAGTTGCACGTGACTAGCGCGTCTGGTTTACTTCACGTGCCATGGTATGTCGTGTTACGTACACGACAGAACTCCTTCTGTGACCACGACAGCCACCAATGCTGGTCTATTGCTGCAAATTTCTTTTGGCCTGTCTTGTATAACCTTTCTTGATGGCAGGAGCCTTTAGTGGCCATCTTGTTAACTCTTATACTCTCATGCAGTCTACTATGGGTCCTTTCGGACAATCTATGGGTCCTCCACCGCCCAGCATAATCACCTCTGGATCAATGTCTTTCGATTCACAAATGCATGGATCGTATATGTCCCATGCATCCTCTTCAACCGACCGGTCTATGATGATAGATTTGACAGATAACTCGGATACAGCTGTCAAAATAGCTACTCTTCAGGCCAAGTTAAATAAAAAGCTGGGACCAGAGTTCATCTCTCAACGACCAGGGCCCGGTGGAGGGCCGAAACTCACGTATGCAGAGGGATGGAAAATCATCAACCTTGCCAATGATGTATTTGGTTTCAATGGATGGAGCTCTAGCGTGGTTAGCCTATCCACCGATTTCGTCGATTACAACGAAGAATCAAGACGATATAATGTTGGTGTTTCAGCAATTGTACGGGTTACCTTAAGAGATGGTGTATTTCATGAAGATGTTGGATATGGCCTGCTTGAAAATTCCAAGAGTAAAGGTGCTGCTCTCGATAAAGTAAGCTGACTCGTCATAGCGCATACATAAGCATAACTTTTTTGTTTTCTAGTGCAAGAAAGAAGCCGTCACAGATGGTCTCAAGCGTTCTCTACGTAACTTTGGGAATCTTCTCGGTAACTGCCTATACGACAAATCATATACACAGGAAATCGTCAAAATCAAAGTGCCGCCGGTGCGTAGTGGACAATAGTGCCATATGTATATTCTAAATTGACCGCTGTTTATCTGTCTGTTAGGCAAAGTTTGACAAAGGCGAATTATACAGACGTCCAGAATTTGACGACCAAAAACCACCTATACAAAAACCAGCTTCAAACGTATCATCAACCTCTACTGCTCCTCTAATCAATGCATCAATATCTCGCCCAAATGAAAAATCCACCATGGAATCGTGCAAAGTAGCCGTGAAAACAGAACAAGAACGCGATGTAAAGCTTTCTTCAGTTCCTCGACACTTGCTTCCAGAATCGCTCCCCAAAGGACCGGTGGCTGCCTCCACGCCTAACGCGAAAGGGAAATCTCCAGCTCATACGACTACAGGCAGTACAGCTCTCAATACCCCCCTATCGAATGATACCCAACACATCAGAAAAATAGGCCTCAATACGCCCCTTGAAACGCCAGCTCAAAAGCCGGCCAATCAAGTACAGGCCCATCATCGTCAACGGCCACAACCTAATGCTCCTGAGACCCCGTTACAACAACAACAGCAAAAAGTGACCTTTGTAGAATCACCGCCACCAAATGAATTGACGGAAGAGGGGACCCCGGTCGATGAGAGCACCATATTATTAGGCATTCAAGCTGAAGACTCTTTCCATTTTTATTCTGATGACGACGCATTCCTGGCTGCGGTAGACCTGGGAGAAGGAGACCTGGGACGACCTATCGTTTTCGAAGAGGGGGTGGGTGAAGTCAGCCTGGATGATGTACCTTCAAACCACAGAGAGGGCGAAACCCCGATCGACTCTGTTGGTGGTTCGCGCGGGGCACCTGCAGCTCAATCTAACAAGGCCCATTATCGTGCGAATACTTCCTCGAGCAACAGCTCAAATTCTAGTGGGCAAAATATGCCTCACAAGCGTCAGACTTCTGGAGCCAGTACATATGAACGAGTCGCGCGTGCACTACAATCATATCAACCATCCGGTGATTCTACATCCTCCACAGTTGCAAATCAGGCCAACCGATCAGACACACCACGGCGGGTCGATTCCTCCTCCAGTTCTGTGGTTAAACCATCAAGTAATGGGAACCGTCCAATGAGTGGTCAAAATACCGTTGGAGTCACCTCGCCCAATGTATCCCATATTGTTGTTCCTTTGGAGAACAATATGAAACGGTCTGCCACCTCACCGAGTGGGCCTGTACAATCTTCTATAATGGTATGGTATTCTACGCGCTTCCTGGTCCTATACTCAATCAGTGTATCCAGAACAATCCCACTGCTCAACCGAGGCCCAGCCATCCCCAGCCTGCACAACATGGGAAGACCTCGTCAAGTAGTTCGGGATTGAAAAGAAATGCCGAAGCAATGCAGTAAGGTCCCCTATATGCGTCGTCTTTCTCTGTTGTGCTCAGCTTTGTCTTGGTAGGGCATCAGGAGGAAGTCGACGACCTCTCCCAGGTATGGGTTTGGCACAACAACCTAATGGAGGGTCATCTCTCAGACGGGAGCCGTTAGCGGCACTTGACATGAGCGTGTCTGGAGACGTCAAACGAGCAAAACGTTGAATATTCAGGGTATGGCTTACTGGTCCATTATCATCGAGCTTTTTCGCCTTCAGGTTTGACTGTTGTTTCGTTGGCTTTTGTGCATAATTTTTGATTCAAGGTGTATCCTTATTCAACCACGTTTTCTAACTGCATTTATTGTACGCAAATGCTTGTTGGCATTATTTTTGGTCGAGCACAAGCTCGGAAATTACAATGGTACTATGTAATATGACCAGAACTCGATACGATACAGTATTGAAATGCCGGAAGTCTACAATTAAATAGGCGTAGTTGTACAACTCCAAAGTACAACATAACGCGAAAAAGCTCTGAAGTGATAGGGGATATCGCAGATACCACTTCACAATATAAGGTATTATTCTAAACGACTAAGGTCCTCTTTGGCACCAAGTAAAACGTCCTATACCAAGTTATTAGTAAAACGCGTGGTGATAAATATGAATAATCTGACCGTCACAAGAGCCTGTCGTGCTTCGTCTTTAATTTCTTTCCACCTTCCTTCATAAGTCCTTAGGAGTTGTTCATATTCCTCCCTTTGACCGGTTGAGCTTGTTCGGATGATGGCTCGCAAGACACAGATACCAGCGACCCATTCTGCCTCATCCTGCTCCCATACTGCATCTCGAACCATCATGTCCGAGAAAGATTGTCCCACCGAATAGCCGACCTCTGAGTTTCCTCGAACGGCAAAGATACCGAGCTCCAAAGCTGCGGCATGGATCTGGGCCCATTGTATATATTCTTTCCGACGCTGACGGTCAGCTGCAATGCGCTCCATCTCATCGGTCATGGAAGAAACACCTGGAGAAGATCCACTAGGGACCCAGACAGATGATTTGCGGATTGCCATCTGAAGAGCACGTGGACCCGATAGAGGACCGGATACACCTGCATGTATAAGGGATGTAGGAAAGTATGAGCAAGCGTCGAGGAAACGGCGAAGCAGGCTGTAGATAGTTTCATTGGTTGAAATGCCACGGGATGCAGACTGAGATGAAGATGATGAAGATACAGCATCAAAGAGAACTTGTACAACGGGTGTGAGCGGGATTGTAGATGGGTAAGATAAAATGTAGTTCTGTATTAAGGATGATAGAGTAGCTGTGTCGACGGCAGGTGTTAGCAGCGCCTCTCGAAGAGTCGCCTTGGTAACATTTAATGAGATACTGGGAGCAGGCGTGCTCATAGATCCAGATGGTTGATATCCGTTGTACTGGATCTGAATAGCTGTCTGCTGTGCCGCCTGAGACGACGGGGCGATGTTCCGTCCATTGGTTTGAGCAGCATACGGAACGGTAGTTGGTGAAGCTAGGTTTGGGTTCCAACTGATGGTATTTTGAGCGGCTAATGCAGCAGCTGAAGGACAGAGAATCAGTTGCAGCGTCCGCAAGACCGATAAGGAATGATCCAAACCTTTCTCTGCTGCTTTCTTTGCTGACCTAGGTCTTCCCTCTAGCTTCCTTCTCGCTCTGCCAACTGTATTTTTATACCAATTATAGATTTGCTTGACACTCGATAAGTCCCAGGAGCAAATATGCCGAGATAAAACCTCACCTCTCGAAACCGGGGTTCAGGCTCCTCTACACCTTCAAATTCGTCTGGAAGACCGAAGTGTGCGATGAATTCATTTGCTCGTTCGAGTGCAAATTTCTTAGCATCTCCTCGAATGGAGCCATGGGAGCGTTTTTCGAATTCTGAGAGGTGGTTACGGAGAAAGAGGAGCTGTTCGTCTGTATAGGCTTTCGGTAACCTGGGTTTGCTCATGCTAGGATCGCTCGACATCGTGAGGGCATCAGTGCATCTCAGCCACAGATCACTGGCACTATGCCAGCATGTCGGGCTTTGCCGACGGATTCGGTCTCATTTCCCAGCTCTCCCCACAGATCGGATTCATGCCGCACCGCAGTTAAAATCCTCAAGGCCTACTGCCCCTGCATAAACGAATGACATTGCATGAAGCGCATCTCCAAGATCTCTATGTAGACATTAAGGGTATATATACTAGAAGATTATACGTCGAACACTTAGTTTTCTGCGGGCTTGCGGCAGACAGCGAGATACATCGGTGTGAACAGCTGTGAAAATGGTTAACATCAGATACCCATGTCAATGAATCCGTACGCATACCTTAGTCTGGCCTCCACGAACCAGTGCATCTGCAGCAGTTTTCAATGATTCGCCAACTTCCCACGTACCCTTGGGTAGAAAACCACAGAATTCAAGCATTCTGATAGCATTGTGGGATACCAGTTTGCCGCTCCAGCTCATTCTCCAAACCGTGAAATAGTCCCAAGCAGTCTGGGCCTTCCAGACATCACCCTCGAGGGGATAATACCATGGAACCTCATCATGACGCTCAGCGAGATCTTCCTCGTGTTCGATCACAAAGCCAACGGTCTTCATGGCTTCCCTGGCCTTGGCAAGAGGTCGCATCTCTGGAATGCCGTTCCCGAATTCGATCTCGTGACCAAGTGCCTTGTGAGATGGAATGGACGGGTCCCATGCATCCGTCATGCACCACTCGTAGACACCAAACTACAGTAACAATGAGCACATGCCAGAGTACATAAGAATGGAAGACATACCACTCCTCCTGGCTTCAGAACTTTCATGATTTCACCGTATACACCCTCCCACGTTGGGGCATGAACCGTGGCTTCGATAGCGTAAACTGAAATTTTCTTCAGGCGAGACCGTATAGCATAATGAGACTCTAGTACATACCAGCATCAAATGAGTTCGGGCCAAATTGTTCAGAGAGCTTCATGAAGTCGCCTTTGACAAAAGTGATATTGTCCTCAAGCCCTGCACGCTTGGTATATTTCCTTGCGCGCTGGATTTGGAAATCATTGTTGTTGAGGCCAACTATGTTGACATCGGCGAAACGGGCAATCTCGCGCGCAGGGCCACCAACACCACATCCAACATCCAAAACCCTCATACCAGGTCGGAGAGACATTTGCGAGGCAAGATAATGCTCATGACGAGCCAAAGAGGCTGCGAAGGCTTCCCCTTTGTAGAAACGTGAGAAATGGAACGACTGTGCCCAGCCATATTCATATAGTTCGGTGGCACCATCGTAGTAACCTGATGTATCGTTAGTTTTTGAGGTAGCAATTTGAGCGCCAAGTCTGTATCATACCATTTATGACGTCCGTGTAGTTCTCAACGCGGTTTTGGTTGTCAGTTTCGCCTTCTTTGTTGACGTCTTTTTGCCAAAACTTCGTGTAATTCTCGACACGATTTTCTTGTCGGCCATCCTGGTATTCAGTAGACATTTTGAGGGTATAGAACTACAAGGCGAAGTCAATATAGATGTCTTCGCAAAATGAAACAAAGTGTATGCAATATACAATGGTAGTAGGAAGAAGTACTCACAGAAAGAAGGAGCTGGAGTGAGGGGAGTGAGTGAAGAAAAGCAAAAAGTACTGTGAAGATACAGAGTATTTGAAGGCCTGCAAAAATCAGGTCATCTTCACGTTCCACTTTTTTTAAAGGCACGTGCTGTCACTCTGTACAGCGTGAGAATTTACCGGTATGCCAGTGAGACCCCGATCGCACCGTCGGGAAAGTCATGTCACCCGTGACTCGTACGGTCCTCATTCTCTGTAGCGAATAGTAGTACTGCACATAATTGTGAGTGTACCGTGCTTGACTTGTACTGAGCATACGGAAAAGCTAATGATTTTATTTCTTTTAGGTATAGCTGGAAAAAGAGCTGCACTCAAATAGTCATATAGTATTTCACTACGTTGTCCTCAGGTTTGTGAACACTGTCATCTGCGTTTTTTGTGATAACGACTGAAGGTCGAAGATTTAGATAGTATGCCATCTTTGATTGTAGAAGACTACTCAAATGATGATGCGGAAAACTTGGAATCTAGGATAGATCAAGCCGACGTTCCTATTCCGCTCGATCAGTTTACAGAAGAGAAGCGGCTTTTGCGGAAGCTCGACAGGCGGATCCTACCTATAACGTGTCTTCTCTATTTGTTCGCATGTAAGTCTTAATATCCTACTTCAACCAGGGATATTGCTCCGATGAGCTTGATCTGAGCCCTATTTATCATGCAGACTTGGATCGATCCAACTTGGGCAATGCGCGTCTGCAAGGACTACCGGAAGACGTCCTCGGTGGCGATCCTACAGGAGAACTCTTCGCTACGGTGTATTCAGCATTCTTCATTACTTATGTAATGAGTCCTTTCGCTGTCAGGTCGAACTAGATCTAATTTAATGAGCTGATTTTTAGATTATATGCCAAGTTCCTGGTGGTATATTGTCGAAATATAATAACCCGCGCATATGGATAGGCAGTGCTGCTATTGCTTGGGGTCTATGCTCTACATTAATGGTTAGAGCAGTGTTTTTTCTCATCCGTCGATATTTTTTTCAAGCATATAGGCAGGCGACAGCCCAGAATTTTGCCGGACTGGTAGTGGCGCGTTTGGGACTAGGAGTTTTTGAAGCTGGCTTTGGACCTGCTATCGTTGTATATTATTGTAGGCGTAAAGATCCTTTTCACCTGTATAGCGACTGATAAAATTATATTTAGCTTTTTACTATACAAAAGCAGAATATGGCACGCGGTTGGCTTATTGGCTTGGCTTTGCTGCTGTTGCAGGTGCCTTTGGTGGTCTAATAGCTTTTGGTATCCAGCATTCACAGCCCATCATCGCTCAGTGGAGGCTTCTGTTCATCATCGAGGTTAGTCTCAGCAGTTCACTGATATGGTCAGTCGTCTTACCTTTCGCTAACCAATCTCTAGGGTGCACCAACTATCTTACTTGGGATCTTATGTCTATTCATCCTTCCAGATCGGCCGGACTCGACTAGTTTTCTCACTGAGTCGGAACGTAAGCTAGCTCTGGACAGAATGTCGAGGGGTACTAGTGGCGACACCGGGCACACTATCAATCGAAGTAAGCGATCAATCTCTGACTCCGATACCCTGGATATATTCACCTGTCATTAGGACACATCATTGCCGCCTTTCTTGACTGGAGGGTAAGTATCAAGCTCATCCTATTGCCCGTCTTAGCTTATCTTTTCCCAGGTATATGTGGCAGGAGTTATCTATTTTGGACTTAACTGTGCTTTAGCGTCAATTTCAGCATTTCTACCAACTATAATTAAAACATTAGGTCATTGTAAGTCAAATTCTGCATTATGTGCGTTGGGCGCATCTTTTCTCAATTGTTTCCTCACGACAGCAAATGCCGTGGCACAGCTTCTGACTGTGCCTCCGTATGCATCCGCAGGAATTGCTATGGTACTTCTGTCCTACTCATCTGACAGAATGCAGAGTAGAGGTATCTTCACCGCAGCTTCCTGTTTGATTGGAGTCATCGGATATATGTGCGTTAACCGGTTTATTTTCAACGATCCTGAAACATATCAACCGCTCTGCCAGTTTACTTTTAGCTATTCCGAACAATCAACATATTCGGTATTTCGCCACCTTTTGTATCACAAGTGGAACTTATACAAGCATTGGCCTTGTTAACGCCTGGTGTGCGTCACGTCGCTTTTTTGTGTTTTTGTTTTTGCCGCTTCATTAATATTGCGGTAATGAAAGTTGTACATAACCTTGGTTCGGAGACCAAGAGGGCGACCGGCGTCCCGATCTACGGAGCAATTGGTCAGATTGGAAGCATTCTTGGATCTCACATCTATCCCTTGAGCGAAGGGCCAACCTATACGTGCGTGCTTCATCGAAAACCAATTACCGACGTTCTGATATAATATTGTATAACCAGCAAAGGATTTTCTAGTATGTGGCACCCAAAACCCAAATTTGCACTGATAGCATGGAGCTTTTTCAGTTACATGTGGACTAGAGCTCTTGGCTGCTCTTTGCGCCATTCTCTTAAGCGTCAGTAATTTCATCGCTATTTTTTGAAATTTACAAATTGGAAATTTGCTCCCGGGGTTGATCTCCTGTTCAGGTATCATTTCGATGGGACAACCAACGTAGGGATAAACTCTACGGCAAACCTGACCCTGATGCCAAAGTAGATACCTCGGAATTAGCAGACAAGGCGCGTGGCTTTCTCTGTTATCTATTGTCTCCTAGATCGTCGTTGCTGTGAATGACTAACACGGCGTAACACATCCCTTTATCTAGGCTCCATCTTTTCGTTATGTACCTTAGCTCGAGCGGTTTGGTCCGTTCGAAGTCTTCCTGACATACCCGAGATTTAGGGGCAAGTTCGATACGACTCCCAAAAAATATCAAACCATATCCTGATTCTGCTTAACGTACGTTATGTCATAAAATTAAGGTGCTCTTGATACGTGTCCTCCGATCGTTCGCCTGTATCATCACAACCATGAAGACATAAACTTCGCTTTCAACTAAGATTAGAAGTTGTCCGACGGGACTGGACCTTGACGAAGACGATACTTATGTGCATTGATTGCTTCCTTAACATTCTTTAGGCCGTCCCGAGAAGAAAACACCATATTTTTGTGTGCAGGTGAATAAGATTGGTAAAGAAAAAGGAGTAATATGGTTGTCTCAGTAACTGGAAAGCGATCAAGACACAAAATCGATCAGAAATGGGTCGTAAAAGTCGTTAACAAATAAGATTGGGACATCGAGTTGTAAAATGTTACCGGAATATAATGGTGAAGGCCAGCAGAAAAATCAAATGAAAAGAGGGTAAAGTCAAGATAGATGAAGAATTAGCAAATGTGAAACTTCCGAGAATGTATTCCTCTATTCCTCCTAGTATGTGTGCCGTCAAGGACTCCAACTAAAATGAGAAGGACGTAAAAGCTCAAAGTACCGAACGCAAGAGAATAGAAAATGGGAAGGCAATTACTTGCTACCAGTCTGAGCAGTCTGGAGCAGAAGAGCCTTCTCCTTGAGAACAGATGGATAACTATTCATGAGGTGCGCCAAGGCACGGAGATCGTCTTGATCCAGAAGAGCGATGGTAAGCTTGGGCTATATGCATATGTATTATTTTCAAATGAAGATAAAAGGAATAAAAGATAACGCACAGCTCCCTTGATACCAAATGACTTGATCGTCCGCCATCTATTACATCATGGGGAATATGAATGAGATATATTCAAACCATAACGAAAAGCATTTCACGTACAGTTTATCACCCAACTGCTGCTTCTGGACCTGAATTGGCTTGTCGAGTAAACTGTCTACAAACTCGTCGGTGGTTTTTACAACCAATGGATCAGCTTTGGGCAAAGGCAGCCCAGTCGCAGATGAAGAGTTGGCTAGCTTGACAATTTCAGCAGCAGGCAAACGCGCAAGCGATGCAATAGTATGCGAAGGTGCACCAGGCGTGGCTGGAACAGGTGAAGAAGCAGCGGAAGGGCCACGAGAAGACAGAGCAGGTGTCTGAGGTGAATCCTGAACAGATGAAATGACTTTCTTAGCCTGAGGCGTTACGGGTGCTTGAGGCGCGGGTGCGGGAGCTGATTGCACTGATTGGGTTTCGATCTTCTGAGGCTCATCAACTTCATCACTTTCCAAGACCATCTTGGCATCAGCGATTTTTGCTCTAAGCACTTCAACGTTGAAAAGACACATAGCACGCTCCCGTTTAGGTAGACTCATCAGAAGCTCAGTGAGTTCGCCCTGGCGAGACGACTCGAGTTTGCTCACAGCTGCCGCCATGCGATCTTTTTCAGAGGTTGGTGGAACCGACCCGGAAGGCGACGAAGTACGAGGAGGTGTAGACAACGACGCAGAAATAGATATAGGAGTAGAAGGATGTTCCGGAGCAGAGGCAGTTGCGTTAAGGGCATTAGGATCGAGAAGGCGAGAATCCTGTGAATTTGAAGGCGAAGGTGATTTTGCAGGAGGTGATGGTGACTTTGACGTCTTTAGAGACTTTCTCGCATTTTGAATCTGATCAGTAAATTTGGCGGGGTCTTGGAAACCTGACACGACCTCGCTGAGAGACAGACTAACAAGAGATTCAACGACAGTGTCGATATCTCCAGCAGGGACCGAGTCTGTTGCCTTGATCCGTCGACTTAACTCGCCCGTCAGTACTTCCTTTCGAACGACCGGTGACAATGCCGCAAGATCGTCATAACGCATCGGCAAATTAAGAGTTCCAGTGAGAGCAGCCTACAACAAATACGTGAGCCTCCATGCCATGCAGAAAGAGATGAGCTGACATTGTAATAGCTCCCAGATCCTCTTCTTCCCCTCCCGGGTCCGTCGAGATGACTGATAACAGGGGAACCCAATGCTGAAGAAACATGACGTGGGCTGGACCAACCAACATAACTTTCCCCACCTTCGCTTGCAGTAGGGCTTGTTGCTCCACTGGCGCTTCTGGGGTGACCATTGTGACCAAAGCGCTGCGCCAGCTTTTCCTGCCGCAATTGTTTCGGTTCATGAAGCCGGACAACTAACTGCTTAGAACCGAAGACCATGCCATTCATCGCATGCATAGCAGCCGAAGCTGTTAATCAAGACGCTGTCATCAACCGCAGTTTGACACAAACAACGCATAGCATGATGAGTACCTTGATCAGGCGTCTGGAAAGAAACAAAACCGAAACCACGACTGTCCCCATTCTCGTTCCGCATGACGCGAGCACTATTGGTGGGTCACTATATGCGATTGTCAAAGCCACAGTATCCGTACCTTACAATCTGCCCGAACTAAGAAAGGAGGCTCATCAGAAACAACGACCAGATTGATAACTCGACAATCTTACCTGACGGAAGTGCGCAAATAAACCATTGGAATCTATTTCTGGATCCAGATTCTATACAGAACACCTTATTGAGTCGTTCCTAGCCATATGACCATGGAACATACTTTGCAGAAAAGATTGCACGGATCAATGAGGCCACTGTGACTGTTTGAGCCAGGGCCACTCATCGGAGCGAGTTGAACCTGCTGGCCAGGACCGTGGACAAATACAGGCGAACTCCTCATAGGGAAAGGACTCGCACGAGGCGGGGAGTACTGATACCCCGGGTTAGAAATACCTCGTAGATCACATCAGAAAGCACATACCTGCGTTGGGTAAGGGAAAACGGACCCCGAAGGAACGAAGGTCGGAGCATTGGCGCTAAACTCGGATACGTTGCCACTCGCTCGCCTGGCTTGGTATACTTGCACAGCTATATTTTGGCCTTCCACTTCAGCGCAATGCATAGCTTCTTCTGCCATTCGTGCATCCTCTTCACGCCAGAACTCGACGACACCAGTATCGCTACCGAATCCAGTTTGCGTGCGTACAGACGCAAGTGCACCGTAGGTCCTAAAAATGTCGTATAACTGGAAATCGGAGTAGCCGACGGGTAAATGCTTCACTAGCCGAGGAGACGCAGAAGGAGGAGGTAAGGGGGTCGGTGGATTTGTTGGAGTATAAGGAGATAAGACCAAGAGTACGGGTGGCTGAAGACCAAGAATTGGACGCGATTGCAGAGTGGCAAGTGCTTTTTCAGCTGAAAGAAGAAAGAGACGGTATTAGTGGGATATACAATGAGTCCTAACACACAGAATCGACCTTTCTCAAGGTATTTAAACTCGATGGTGCCCGACAGCGGGCGGTTGCTGCCATCACGCGTGATATTAAGTCTGAAAGGCGCACAAGCTTGGAACGCCAGAGCAAGATTTTCATCCATAACAAAAGGGGGGAGATTAGAAATGTACAGAAGAGGTTCATGAAGGTAAGGATGAGGCTGGAGTTCTCTCTCTTGTGGAGGGGGTGGGGCGTATCCAGAAGCCATCGTGATTATCAGAAATCGATGGCAAGAACTTTGAAGACTAAAGTAAGACTTGAGCTTAATGCTGAGATGGATGTTCAAGTAAAGAAACGTACAAGAGAAAAAGAAAAACAGAACGACCTTTTCGTGCGGTGAACGCCTCGAGCGAAACAGCAGGCCACAGTGAAAAAATCGGAGCCGTGGTAAACAGACTCCCATTATGTCAGCAGCCAGCCCTTTCCTTACCCTTTTGGGCATCTCTCCGCCATCGTCCACAACAGCCATCATGGTACTAATACGACGAGACCAGTAAATTCACAACATAATTTTACAGCGAAATTCAATGCTCACAGTAGTATTACTTTCTCATTCCGTTCTTCGTGATCTCTCTTCGTGCTGACATTCACAGCTTGCACATTCGCTTCGTGGACAGACATCGACAGAGTTGTCGTGATAGTATCATGCAAGGCCTCAGGCTTCATAGCCAGGGCAGTGATACCTTGTATGTTGCTTTATTGTATGCTTGCTACCGCCCCGTGGCATCCCTTCAGACGTACGTTGTTGATGACTTGACCCTCGGATAATGACACTGACTTCATTCCAGTAATTCAGTTTGTTTCTTAAAATTCTCTTCGGATAAAATTGTTAGCTCACTTGTTGACCGCCGTGTCAAATGAACTGTTATTCGCGTTTCCTGTCGTGGTTTTCGAGCATCCCTTGTTGGGAATCAGCCTACTGTGAGCCCGTCAGTTGTCATCGGAGTTTTTTGCAGTACCTGCTGACACTATTCTCCACTGCCACGAATAATCATGTATTGTATTATCAGATTCTACTTCCCACTGATCGAGGGTATCTCAAGGTTGTAAAATTCATGGGATGGATGAAGCGCCCTTACACTGCCTACTTACCCCTGATGAACTGCCTTTGCGCGCCAGTATAAACGTTCAAGCCGATCTGATCACTTCGCTGATGCGTTGCTGTTACTGCCACGGTCTTATCTCTGCTAATGACTATGAGACCTGTCTCGTCAGGTCTTTTTGGGAAATTTTCATGTATGTAGTTTCGAGATCGTTCTCACCTTTGCTTGTTGGACTGCCAGCGGTTGGTTCCCAGAAGGTTCATCTTGCGATGGACTGACCATATGAGCACGTCGCCGCAGGTAGAAATAGTAATTCGATGCTCCACACCTTGTGATGCTGACGGTCAACTGTAAATCGCCCTGGAAGGATCTTCCCGTTGTCCCCGACTTGCGATCCAAGTTATCGGGTCAATGGATCATTACTCTGAAGACCGCCAAAGAGAGCGTCCAATTTCGTTGAAGTCCAGCAGGAATCAACGGCATGTCCCCTTATCTCCATCGCCGTTTCATCATTTACATAGTTTATGATCTCACCTACAGTCCTACCGTTTTTGGTGGTCCTGGTGTACATGGACTTCTCATTCACGCGATGATTATTTTTAGGATCTGTCCGTTATAGCGTATCTGTCTAGGCTATTTCCTATCTTGGTAGCTTTCCGCGTTCAGTATTTTCCCCTGGCTGTTTGCCCGTGGTTGCATTGAGCAGTCCGCATCTCGACCTCGTCGCGACTACCAGACGGCTAAAGGAGCCGGTCATCGCAAGAATCTTTCAATCTCGCCTACCATTCTTTGACAGATACGGTCACCGATAAATCTCCTTCGAACACCAGAATATCCAGGGGCCATTCGACGGACAATAGATTGTAGTCCGAAAACCAGCTCCTGCGTATTACTCGTCGCCATCAGTGACCGCTTTGTATCGGACTCGTCGCGAATACAATAACGTACATGCTAAGCTAACAGTTTCTGTATAGGTGAACACTGTTACTCAGTGCTATGCTAGAGGCTACTGATTCGATTTCATCCCTTTCGATGTTTACTTGCAAGATCTTGTGCATTCCCGGCGACATCGGTACCACGTTGAAGCATCGGCCCCTGGAATGCTGATAAATCCAGATCTGTGTAGAGATCGTGAGTCTGTAGTAGAAGTCTTTGCATTTCCTCCACTGATATTCCTTCCCGGGTCTTTCGTATCCGCAACCGCAACTCGAAAACCTAAGTTCGCATCATGCTATTAAAAGATCTTTACGTCACGCGATACGGTACGTACCCCGGCGGTTTCTCGTGGTGAGCTTCCACAGATAAAAATAAAGCGAAAATTATTACAAGGAAGTGGATACCCTTTAATGGGGAAGTACCAGTGAGTTCAAGTCTTTGCCACTTAGCTCCCATCTCGTTACGGATATGTTCGGTTAATGCAAGTTCCTAGATTATCGGGATTCTTTGAGACAAAAATACTCCTCAGCAACTGTTATGGTTTACTTTTGCTTTTCCAATGAACCTTCATCCTTCAACCGAAATCCCTAGCGCTCCTGAAAATGGCATAACTTTCCCTGCATTCCAGCGCAATGTGATCTTCGTGGACTAGCCGCTTGAACGCCTTTGTAGCCAATGATGATACGTCTAAAAATGTCATCGATATGGTGCTATCTTTGAAACACTCCTCCTCCCGAAAATCAAGAGGTTATGTGCCATAATTATGCATTGTGCAGGACTTCTCTTGCTATGTTTAGTGTGTACACGCGTACTGTATAACACCTCGAAGGGGAAGCAAAAAAAAGTTGCGTCTTGTATCACCATTGTTTAATTAGTATTTTAAGTTAACGCCTTTTTGAGAGAGAAAGGCCACTCCACATACGCACAAATTATTATGGCTGCTGGAGAAGATTCGAGGGTGCTAGGTAAATATACACATACCTTTCTAATATTATTCCACCGCTAAGTAAGACTCGGCGAGCGTGTTGATGAGGTTGTTACCCGTATCGCAAAATCGGAAGAGCTACTACATCTTCTCAGGAAGTGACAGCTATAATTCAACGGCGTCCCATCTCCTCGCAGTCCCTCACGATGTAAGAAAAGAGGTGCGGACACCCAGAAGTCACCGACGGTTATTTTGACACAATTCGGAGATGATAAGTGCTCCCTATCTGAGATGATACCAACGTGTGCCGCCCGCGGTACGCTACATGATGAATGCAACTAAGGACTTTCGCAGAGCGATGTGAAATGACGTGGATACGCACGGAATCGTGGAAGCTTTCGAAAAGAGTTCCGAGGACAAAGCAATATTGAGGCGGTAAGGTCGTCTTTCAACGTTCCCGATAGGAGGCGCGTCAACAAATAGCCTTCACTTCAGCAATAATAAACCAGTACATGCGGTACGGAGAACTATGCCCCTGAAAAATACACATTGGTATTCAGGCTTGACCATATGTGTCAGACTCGGCGCCAAATACCATGGCTGATCGGACCAACAGTTTCCATTCAATCGGTCAAATGCTGGTAAACTTTGGGCTTGCATATTTTCCGAGTTACGAAGAGGACCATGTGCTCACTGCATCCAGCGCCACTAGATGCCTATGTTGTGTTCACATTCAGCGCCACTGTAGCATTGTCACTGATGGTAGTGTGTTCATCGGTATGTATTGTTGCTTTTGCATATTACGTCCATTCCTGAACGGACTGCAGTGACAGCATGGCTCTGAAGCATCATGATGGATTGTTATGTATGGTTTGGGAAGCAGGTGGCTTGATCCGTAGAGAACAAAAGTGCTAGGCCTTTAATGAGGTAGAATATGCATTCGGGCTTGATAGGGAAGTGTGTGCTTGCTAGTAGGTTCAAATACAATGATATCTGGGAGGAGCGCCTGTAGATGTGGGGTATTTGCAACGATTGGTTTGGAGGTGAATAACCTCATCCCCAAATATATCGAATAACTAGACCAGATCAAGTCATCGATCATTGAGCCACATCAGTTGGGTGAGCCCGGATCTAACACATGATGCTTGCCACATCATGATAGTTCCAAGTTTATGCCGCGGCTGGAATGACAACGTCAACATGTGTTGTGAGGATGTAGTAGCGTACAGGTACAGCAAGAGGTCGACATTTTGTGACAGGGCCAAGTGAAACCAAGCAATTCTATTGAATATTAAAATTCCGGGTTCAGGGGTGCAGACGGGGATCTCCTGGCGATATAGAGGCTTGAAAGCATTGCAGTCCCGTTCATGTATAAGTGAGAGCGACCAACTGATAGGATGTAGATTTGCTCACGAGCCAATGGTTTGGAATCGCCTCGCGTTTGGACACGGGTACTACTGACACGGTTCACTCAAGAAAAGAACAGCTAAAAAAAGATAATTAAAATTAGGTAGAAGCGAGCGGAAAGAGCAGCCCTGGAGTGTTATTCTCCGCGAAGATAATCAGCAAATACGAACCACGATCGAAGTGGTAATGCCTGAGATTCAGATCACTTACACCATCCCCAGTTGGTCTTTCTGCTGTGACGTTGAATCACGATGCGGCATCGGCACTTATCCCGTGGCACTCAACTAGCATCGGACTCCATCTCCTTGAGAAAGGCATGATGCATGCATATGCGGGTGGGATTTCCTCGTTTCGTAACCAATGAATACACACTCACCATATCACACATTTCCAATGCCTTGGGCCAAACCTTGGCCAAAGACGTCTCGTAAGCGGCCTTCGCATTCTATGGCAGCGCTCCCCTCGCAAGTTGCTCCGTTTCAGGTTCGTGAACGTAACGGATCCAAAAAAATAATCCGAGACATATAAAAGCCTGCTACTCTACTTCATTATGTCTCCAGTACACTCTCAGCAACCAGTCTACTCATCTTTTGTTAAATATGCGTTCTTGGTGTATTATTTCGTCGACTTTGGCCTTCGTTTCTGCCGTTATCGCTGCTCCAGCTTCCACAGGAGTGGCCTCGGCTCCAGCGAGCACCCCAACAGTCCCTTATGCTAGCGATGATCCTAATTATCCTCTGTGGAACGAAACGACTGAAACCACCCCAGAGCCCATTCGTGGCTCACTTGGAGCAACCATAATTGCTCAGCAGAATGTAGAACTCGACAGACAGAACACAGACTCCTTGGCACCTCCCACTACCGATAACGGCGAGGTGTATGTCCTGTCGATCCTATCTCGTGTTGCTGTATATCGCTAACCTTTTGTGGATAGCCCGAACTTCAAGTGGCCTATGTCCTTGAGTCACAATCGCCTTGCAACTGGTGGGTGGGCACGACAACAGAATGGTGAGTAGCCTATTCCCTCGCTTATTGAAATTCTCGTTAATATTGATGATTCACCTTGCAGTAAATGACATGCCTATTGCGACTGAGCTGGCTGGTGCGTGCAATGCACAATTTTCATCAGCTAATGATCTGACCGCTTATCCGATGTGACCAGGTGTGGACATGCGGTTGGAGGCAGGTGCAATTCGGTCAGTTCATTTCCAACTAGAGTAGTCGGCTCTTATATTAAACTATCATGTTGCAGTGAACTTCACTGGCACAGCGCTGGAGAGGTAAACATTCAGCTTTTGCTGTATCATTATCCCTTACTGACGTCATTCCAATACTAGTGGGCTTATGTACTGAAAGTGCGTTTACTATGAGCTAATGTGTGTGATCTATAAACTAATCATTTACAGGGCGACCTTCGTGTCAGTACTGTGACTCCGGAAGGTCAAGTTTACCTAGGAGATGTGGTATGCATAAATTCTCTTAGCTTTTGCTTCTCGACATCTTATTTGTCACAGTCCGCAGGAGATCTCTGGTTCTTCCCAGCGGGTAACCCCCACAGGTGCGAGTAGTATGTGGTATGTCACCGTCTAAGCACTGATAGAAATGTCAACAGCATTCAAGCAAAGAACACCACTGCTGAAGGAGCAGAGTTTTTGTTGATATTTGACAGCGGAACTTTCAGCGAGGACAATACCTTCCTTCTTACGGACTGGATGGCGCACATCCCCAAGGAAGTGATAGCCAAGAACTTCCAGGTACCTATGGAAGCCTTCGACCACATCCCTTCCAGAGAGCTCTATATCTTCCCTGGTGCGTCCATGATCTAAATGTGGTTGATTATTATTACTGGGTGTCTGATTTTGTTCGTTCTTAGGAACTCCCCCCCCTGCGAACATTGAGCAAGATATGGTGGTGCCCAATGACACGCCTCTCGCCTATACATTCCCGTTCTCGCAGGTCAATGCAACCCAAGCACCAGGTGGTACCTACAAAGTGGCGGACACAAGGACTTTCCCTGCTGCGACCACCATTTGTGCTGCTGAGGTCACTGTCGAGGTCGGCGGAATGAGGTGAGCTAGAACTGTTCAACCCCAACGACAATGTTACTGATAACCTTTTCTGCATTTTTAGGGAGCTTCATGTAAGTAATCTTGATTGCTTTGGAATATAGTTATGCCGTTTCTTACCTGGAATCATGTAGTGGCACCCTACTCAGCCTGAGTGGACTTACTTCATGTACGTTTTACTCCTTTATACTCGAGATTTAAATCTTACAAAATGTTACAGCACTGGAGAAGCCCGTATCACAGCTTTTGCTTCGCTGTCTAATGCACAGACGACTGACTTTCAAGTGAGTTTGTCTCCAGAAGTGTCCTATCATCACTGATTGAGGTTGCTCAACAATTAGGCGGGCGATGTTGCTTATATTCCTGCTACATATGGTACTTTCACTCGTCTTGCTATCATAGTATTCTGTTGACATCATTGTTATCAAGGACATTACATCGAAAACACCGGAAACACAACTCTTAAATTCCTAGAAATCTTTAAATCTGGTATGTGCAACTCGTTTTGTATTTGATTGCGACTGATTCACCGTCATGACACCTTAGCTATTTTCCAAGATATTTCTTTAAATCAATGGCTTGCGCTTACGCCTCCTGAACTTGTCAAGGCTCATCTTGACTTGGACGACGAAACGATCTCGAAACTCTCGAAAGTGAAGCAAGAAGTCGTCGGCCCTAGCAAAAGTATGCAGTAGAGGCAGCCACGACCATGTTTTTTTTTATTATTTCTCCACGCTTACGATTACGACTATCATCTCATCTAATGACTTTCAGTACTTTGTAACAGTTTATGGACGTCTAGAGATGTCTCTTGTGCATTCCTGGGGAAACGGGTTGTGGACTATAATGAATACAATCAATGTACAGCCGTGGAGTAGATCTCAATGAAATTATTATGCTTGCTATTATTTTTTTTTTCAACGCACACAATGGATGTATTTTGAGTTTACACAATTACAGTCGGAGTGTCGTAATGAATTTATATACGACCCTGTGCTCAATTGAGTGTGTATCGAGATTTGGAGACGCCCGTTTTTTCGTCATTTCACACGCTCGAACCTGGGCCCCGAGTCAAGCTGAAGGCGGCGAACAGGCGCAGATAAACAGTGCTCGTAACATGCCTTCGTGCGACTTAATTACCGCAGTAATGGCGCCCAAATCGGATGCCGCACGATACTAGTACGGTTCACATTGGCAGGGACAAGCCTTGTCGAGCGACGGCGACTCATTTTAATTTTATGAATTTGCGAGAGAGGTAGATTCTAACCCACACTCGTGTAACACGCGCTGGACACGATGAAGGTTGTATTAACAATACGATTTTAACCCTTTCTAGTCTGCGGCATGCGGGAAGTTGCCTTGTGTTTGGTGCAAGGATAATATGTAAAATCATACGAGGCAAGGAGCATTGCAGATAAGATCCGGAAGGTAACAGCCGTTTTCACTAATGATCCGAGCCCAAGTTAGCTCCAAACGCGCTCGAATGGATCACAGAGGCAGCCGCTGATACGACGGGTATAGTCCCAGCGCAGCAGGATCTCATGAGACTGTTGATGCCATGGTTGACCTCGTAGCAGAGCACGGATAAACGTTGCGAGAAGGATAGATATTTTGAGATCGAGGAGCTGTCAGGATTGATATCTCTGCCGTCGGTCAATTCAAGGGTAAAGTAAATAAACGGGAAGGCGGCAACAAGTTTGCTTGGGGGCTGACCTGACTTTTGGAAAAGTAAGAATTCGAGTTCCTACTGGACGAAGTAATCTAAATATCATAGTCAGCTTCGACTTTATCAGATAATAAATTTTTTGATCGATAAAATCTCATCTCAGCGTTCAGCACCAATAACATTGGAAGAAACTCTGATGAGACATTGTGCCATAATTGTGAAGAAGTATGACCGTGAACCAAAGTCATTAGATAACGCTGTAGTCTGCTATCGTGCACGATGACTCGCATGCCTGAGATCATGTCAACACAATGGTTGCCTTTTTGGGACTGCGATGGGGCTGAAACTCACAGCACAGTCGGCCGAACTCCATTATATCACCAGATCCTTTGTAGGTGTTCAGCAAGGTTCCAAGCTTCTCACATATGCTTCCTCTTCACAGCCACTACGATCATCGAGTGAACACGATCGGTCTGTGAATGATTCGTGAGCAAGTTACCAAGGTATATCTTCCCACTGACAGCCAATGCGAGATTCGTTGTATTGTACCACTGTACAGGAGTCTTCCTGCTTATCTGATACCGACAAGAAGTCTTCCATTGTATGTGCATGAGAACACCGATCCCCAACCGCGCGGTCGCCGCAAAAATTGTACCTTGAAAATAGAAGGTCGAGCATACGTCGACATGTCGATAATCTGTCCAGTGTGTCAGCACAAGATGCTGCGCCTTGTCTTGAGAAACGCTCTTCCGCCTATGTTTTACCGGACTTCACGCTCCTCCCTTTACACTTTCTGCATCTGTCTCTTGTGAATTTTTCTGATGGTGAGCGCGACCGTGGAGAATGAGAATAAAGCGGATCCCCGCTAGTCCGCGTCTGGTCCAGGTCATGTGAAACTCACGTGAGCGGCCTTGCGCGTTGGAGGCGATCCCGACTTGGAAACACAGAAAACCCTCACCACACCTGCCAGCTCAAGCCGTGACACCTGCAAGTAATATCCATCTTTGCATCTGGAGTTTCATTCTCACATTGAGTTTGATTGTGATTTCTGTCAATCTAGACAGGTCTCCAATATTGACCATGGAAGCTGAGAATACTGACCACAACGATGTGTTCACCGAGGAACCTCCGATCGTGGACTGCGACGTCTTGGAAGCTGCGAAGGAAAATATACAGCCTTTGGCAGCTGGACGTCGTGTAACTACTCTTTCTGTCATTCTATCCACGCCACACGCCCAGCGCGAAGCCCAGCTTCTTTCTGTTCGAAAACGTCTTCGTGTAAATGTGCAGATTGCTCTTGAAGATGACGACGACAATCCGCTAGAGGCTTACTGTCGATTTGTCTATTGGACCCTGGAAAACTATCCTCAGGGTCAGAGTGCAGAGTCTGGTCTACTAGAGCTCATCGAGGAAGCAACAAGGGTGCTGAAAGACGACCGTGGTGGCAGATGGAGAGGTGATATCAAGTACCTCAAGCTATGGGTACTATACGCAAGTTACGTCGAAAGACCCGCAGTCATCTACCAATTTTTACTTGCAAACGACATTGGCACGGATCATGCACTTCTCTACGAAGAGCACGCAGCTGTCCTCGAAAGGGCAGTACGGTAAGCCAGGGTGTCTTATGCATTACAGTATCCTCACATTTTCTTGCTTATCAGACGAAGTGATGCGGACAACGCGTATCTTCTTGGTATTGCGAGGAAAGCTGAACCTCTCGATCGTTTGAAGGGTAAACACCGCGAGTTCCAGAAACGAATGATGACATCCACTGCAGCCCCTCCTCCTACCCGTGATGTGCCTCCTGCCGCTCCGAGGACAGTTCTCAGGACCTCCTCTGTTTCCTCGGCGCGAGCATCGTCATCACAGGGTGACGTTTTTGCCTCTACTCAGCCGACGAGGCCGACACCCAACGGACGCCTCCAAGTCTTCGTAGACCCCTCAGGTTCCGACTTGCAAGAAGCTCCTGACACTCCCACACCGTGGTCAGATGTTGGTACTCGAAAAACTCGCGTTAAAGAAAATGTTCCAGAAGTCAGAAAGGCAGGAGGGACTACCCTAAAGCAGGCCGGACGATCTCGACGAGTTGTTTCAGCTTCTGGCTCCGCTACCTCGAGGATTGTACCATTCAGGGATCCTGGACCAGGGCAAGGCGTGGAAGTCAACGAGATGCTCCCGCCTCCCGTTCCCATATCAAAGCACAAGGACAATACACCGAAGACACCCGCGAGGAACAGTTCCATTGTTCCGTTCGTTGATGGTACTGGTGGGGCAGATGGAGGCGTTCCTTCTACTCCTAAATTTACACCGTTCCGAGACGAGGTGAGTAATTGGACCCCATGCATCTAGCCTTCACGTTTCCCTGATGGGCTTGAATAATTCAGGCTGATATTGACATCCCTGCAACGCCCACCTTGTCTGCGCCTGAGACAATCATGAGACCAAAAAGTGCTGGCGCAAAAGGATCTGTTGTGCTGTCTGAGGCCGAGGCATTGAGAAAGGACCCTTTGAAGAACTACGACGTCGGAGATCGACTGCAATCGCCAGTAGATGGGTGAGAAGGCTCCAGTTCACTCACGGCATTTTTGTAGGGGATTTTGCTATCTATATTCGACCTCAGAAGTTTTGGTCTACCCATACTCCATTCAATTTGATATTCTTCTTATTCTTGAAATGGTAATTGGGATTAATTTTGTTCTTTGCCTCGGCTACAGGATTCAGCCCGCGGGGGATTAGGAAGCACTTGATTGTTCGCACCCGCTCATCTTTGTCAACTTTGCCTCTGGCGGGCATTATCTAGCTATGACTATGACACATACTTCAATAACCTGTACTGTCGTACTGTGTTTTACAATCTTTAGTGGTACCGGCAACGCCCGGACCAAGGTAGTTACGCCTAGATCTCTATGTTTGCTTGGACGCATTCTGTTAGACAACATCATCGACTGGTGCACTGCAAATATTCGGTATACTGTCAAGATATTATCTGCTCATTATCTGTACTGCATCTACCAGAATCAGGATCAACTCTAACTACGTCTCAAGATATATAACCGCAGTAGCTACTACGCCGCAGTACTAGTTAACCGGCATCGATATAACTCGGTGCAAACTCACCCTTTCTCTTTCTAAAGATCAAGCAGAAAACATGTCATTTGAGAGAGCAGCTCTGTATCCGTGCAACCCAGCTACCACGCGTGGTTCCTCGACGAAGCTTAGTGCAAGCAAAGACAAGGTCGTCTACACTAATGGGAAGGCCGTGATCGTAAGTCTGAAGCTCATTATTCAAATCATGGATTTTCTGACATTGTGATATGATAGATACGTGATTTAAACGTTAGTCTGACACCTGGAATTACTTAAGATCTTAGCCATTTCTGAGAGCTTACCACAGGATTCTGCACTGTCTGTGGTGTATTCAGGACACGTGCAGAACACTACCGTAGCTCGCATCTCACCTTCTGGTTATTACTGTGCCTCTGCAGACATAACGGGAACTGGTGAGTTCTCTAGGTTCATTCATTGTATGCTTAATGTTGACTTGGATGTTATAGTAAAGATATGGGACACCGTCGGTGAAGATCAGACACTCAAAGGAGAATATAAGGTCATATCTGGACGCGTGTTAGTATTGCGTTATAATATGTAGAATCAGATCGACGATCGTGTTGACGAGATGAACCTGTTACAGGAATGACTTGGAATGGGATGGCGAAAGTAAGAGGATCATAGCTGTGGGAGACGGAAAAGAAAGGTATGCTCACATCATTTCGCATCTTCACAGCATCACTTCTTGGCTATTAATGCCTAATAAGGTTTGGACATGCTTTCCTTATGGATACCGGTACAACCTCTGGAGAAATCTCAGGTCATTCCAAAGTAAGTATCACTTTTCATGGTCATGTTTGCGTGTCCTTCCGAGATGTAACCGAGATGAAACATTTCAAAGGCTATCAACGCGGTTTCCATAAGGCATCAACGGCCTTTCAGAGCTGCCACAGCAGCTGATGACTCTCTGATCGTATTTCATCAAGGTATATATACACATACACACCTAAAGTATAATTTAAACTTAAACTGAGCTTTTCAGGGGCCCCATACAAGTATGACAAGGTTAGATCGTCTCAGATAAAGAAATTCCAAACAGCATACACACAACCTTTTGTAGACTATCAAAACACATACCAAGTATGTACAAGACGTGCGGTATGCACCGTCTGGAGACCATTTTGCAAGTGTGGGATCAGACTTCAAAATCTTCCTTTATGATGGCAAGACGGGTGATACAGTCGCAGAGATTACTGGTGACGGACACAAAGGAAGTATTGTAAGTGCGCATATACTCCTCCCGGAATTCCGCCTCAATAATGGCACTATATAATTCCTAGATGGCCTGTTCGTGGAGCCCAGACAGCAAATCAATCCTCACATCCTCCGCTGACCGCACTGTCAAACTTTGTATGTCGAAGTTCCTATTGTCTCCGTCAAGGCTGCTTAAGATCTTTCGTAGGGGATGTTGAAACACGCAAAGCCATTACAACCTGGAACCTCGGCACTGAAATAGGTCATCAACAAATGGGAAATACCTGGAGTGGTGCAGAAAATCTTGTTTCACTTTCCATGTCTGGCGATTTGAATATATTCGATCGCAGGGTTGGGGACAAACCTTCAAGGATCCTTGAGGTGTGTTTCTCAGATCAACCTTGGCCACTATATTTGCATGTCACTCAGCTTCACAAACTACTCTTGGTTTTTGCCACCCCTAGGGCCCTCAAAAAGCAATCACGGCAGCAGCTACGGTGTCTGCTAGCACTTTCCTCGCTGGTACAGCCGATGGGCGTATTATCTCTTATGAGGCGGCCTCAGGCGATACGAAATTAATTTCTGGTCAGACTCATACAAGTCTTGTATCAGGAATGGTAGCAGAAGGTGGAAAAGTATTTACCACTGGATTTGATGACTGCGTTCGCGAGATCGAAGGCGGGAAGTTCACGTATGTCTGTAGCTCTTTTATTTTGAATTTTAGATATTCAAGTCCAGCGTCTATTCCCCCAGCCCAGCATCCTCTGCTACATTAGCACAACCCAAGACGTTGGCTATTGCGCACGACAGGACAATTTTCGTCGCGGAGACGAACACGGTAGAAGCAGTGCGGGATAACCAGCGCATATTTGATTTGAAACCTGCGTATGTCCCGAGTTCTGTTGCTGCCGGAGGCTCGATTGTAGCTGTTGGTGGTGAAGTACGTACATTAAGTATTTTTATCATCTTTGTAAACTCATGTTATTTCGGGTGCATATCAAATTGCTTATTTGCAGGATCACAAAGTGCATGTATACGACTGGGATGGCAAAGCTTTAAAAGAAGCTGCTGTACTTGATGGCAACAAGGGCACGATTCATGCTGTAGCGGTTTCCGCTGACGGGAGTTTGCTGGCCGCCGGTGACGTACGTGAAATGCAATCCCTCAGCACTTGGTAGTCACTGACGGTTGTTCTATCATCCTGATAATGCAATCAGTCTTCTGGCAAGATAGTATTGTATGACGTCAAGGACCGCACGGTGAGGTTTCCCTTCATTCTTCCATTAGAATATCCAAACTAATAGGCGGAACACCGCAGCCCATAACTTCTCGCTGGAGTTTTCACACTGCGCGGATCACCTCTCTGGCGTTCCTCCCTTCCCCATCAGGCACTCAACCAACACACCTTGCGTCTAGTTCGCTCGACACGAATGTGTATGTCTGGAGCGTGGCGAAGCCGATGAAGTACACCACAATTAGAGGTGCTGGTCCTGGTGGTGTAAATGTTGTGACATGGCTTGGGGAGGCTCAAGGGGGTAAAGGGAAGTTGGTCAGCGCAGGTGCAGATTGTTGTGTCCGGATCTGGGAAGTCACATTACAGTAACTGAGTGAAGATGTTCATGATGAATAGAGTGCTCGGTGCCAATGGAGTACTATGGCCTATAGGATGCATCCCTCAGATTGGTTTTAGGGTGCAGCGTAATCGGAAGAAATGAATGTAGCCATGGTGTATATTTCAATCAGACGGTTACAGTTGGGACGCTAATGCTAATAATAGTCCTCCAGGAACTGCACATCACCTGGTAGCATTAGGGGGTGGCGTTAGCGATGGTTATACCTTTAATTGTGCGGATGCAAATGTGCCAGTGAGTGCGTTGGGTATCGTCCAAATGCCGCCAACCTTCAGCGACATTACTATCTCAAAATTAGGGTGCAACGTGACGTTTATTACGAAGTGCATCTTACAGAGTAGAATAACATTCTTCTGTACAACTTGAAGGCATAAGTGCGGGGAAGGGCGCCGGAGGAAATCGGAAACCGAGACTCCTTGAATTCCCAAAGAAGTAGGAGGACCTCAGCCACCAAGGTTAACATGTGGGTGATCGGGGTCTAAGTATCATTCTAGGGGCCCCACTGATCGCTTTGCGGAAGCGGAAGCAAAGGACCTGTCAATACTTATTGACAGTTCAACAGTTCATATGACCCCGCTTATACGGTCCAAAGACATCCCGTCCTGGACTTCATTTTCCTGGTTCAGAGTGTTTATCTTCAGCTTGGGCTCTCTCCTATACCGTCACCATGTCTGTCGAAGGAAAGCCAGCGTTGGCTGATGAAAAGGAGCAGCAAGGAGTCGTAGATCCCGCACAAACCTACCATTCCACCTTCATCCAGTCTGAAGACGAAAAAAAGCTCGTGCGCAAGCTTGATTACCGCATCTTGCCCATTACATGTCTTCTTTATCTTTTTGCATGCAAGTACTACTCGTCGCGTATACCATCATCATTTACTGACAGCAATAACCCTTCAGATTTGGATAGAACGAATTAATGCACGTCTTCAAGGGTTACCCCAGGATGCCCTCGGAGGTGACCCGACTGGTGTGCTGTTCGCCTGGGTGAATTCGGTTTTCTTCTTCTCCTACGTATGTCCTTTGACAGCATTTCCTGTACACACCTTGATGCCCTTCTATCCGCGTCCCAGATCATTTTTCAAGTACCTGCGACGGTCATTTCCAAGCTTTATCCTCCGTCTTACTGGATGGCTGGTGCAGCGATTGGATGGGGATTGTGCTCGACTTTGATGGTATGCCATCCATGCATGGCGTTGGTATTACTGCATAAGGCTGACGAGGTCGTTCGCAGGCTGCTGGGTTCGATTACGGCGGGCTCGTGACCGCGAGAGTCGGCTTGGGAGTCTTCGAAGCTGCTTTCGGTCCGGCCATCCCTCTCTACTTCTGTTCGTACTTATTGTGCTTGTATATTCTAAACTCTATTAACGGGATTCGATCATGTAGCCTTTTTTTATACAAAGGCTGAGATGGGTCTACGGATGGCATATTGGTTTGGGTTTGCAGCTGTAGCAGGTGCATTCGGAGGCCTAGTAGCATTTGGTGTCCAGCATGCCCATTCATCCGTTCAAAACTGGAGGCTTCTTTTCATCATTGAGGTAAGGTCTTACACTTGTATCGAAAGAGATTTAGGCAATTTTCCGTAAGTAAAACCTGTTCCATAGGGCATACCCGCTATCATATTGGGAATCGTTTGTCTCTTCTTTCTTCCCAATCGTCCTGAATCTACTGGATTTTTCACCGAAAGTGAGCGAGAGCTTGCAGTCGAAAGGATGAACAGAAGTACAAGTGGTGATGTCGGTGCTGTAATTAATAAAAGTATGTGGAAGTTGGCTTCGTCTAATTCTGTATCTCACATCTGGCGCATTTCAGAACACGTCACTGCTGGACTCTTGGATTGGAGGGTGTGTTCCCCTGTCTAATCAGGTATCCTGTGTGTGGCAGTTCTCATTCCTTCAACCCAATAGGTTCACGTTGGGGGTGTCATATATTTCGGCGTCAATAACGCCCTGGCATCGTTAGCCGCCTTTTTACCAACAATTATCCAAACTTTTGGTTACAGTAAGTTGATTCCTACTCTTATGAACACTAGAGGGGCTTTACTCACTTTCTATTTACGCATTACTAGCAAATGCTATTGCACAGCTACTTACAGTGCCACCTTACGCCGTGGCTGCCGTGGTGTTGACGTTGACTTCGTATACCTCTGACAGGATACAAAATAGGGGATTGTTTGTCGCAGCTTCATGTGCTGTTGGTGCTATTGGGTACCTGCTCCTTCTTACCGTACCCTACAACGTCCACGTTCGGTACTTTGCCGTATTTTGCATCACGAGTGGGACCTACACTGCTATTGGTGTGATAATCGCATGGTGTAAGTTTCCTTGCATTTGCCTTATTATTTTCCTCATCAAAGAGCATGTATTCAGACGCGCATAACCTCGGTTCTGAGACGAAAAAGGCAACTGGAATACCGATGTTTATGGCTATCGGACAGTGTGGTAGTATCCTCGGGTCTCATATCTTCCCTACGACCGATGGTCCGAGATACATGTAAGTTTTTTCCCGCCGTACATCGTCAGGATCTTACATACTGAATGCTTCTGATACCCCCGTCACTGAATAGCACTGGCTTCGCCGGTAAGTACTGCATTTGTTTAACCTAATAAGGTATTGCGTTAAGCCTCATTTACTCAGTTTCGTGTGGCCTCGAGTTCTTCGCCATGTTATGTGCTCTGATTCTTTATGTGAGCTTCTCCCATTGTCTCTTCTTATCCCTTTATATAATTGCGTAATCCATCATAGTTCTCGTACAAATGGGACAATCACTGCAGAGACAAATTGTACGGTGTCCCAGAGGAAGACGCTCGTGTCGATACATCGGACCTTGCTGATAAAGTTCGTTCCTCGATTGGTGTGGCAATTGCATTCGCTCATGAGATATTATGTGACAACAGGCACCAGCATTCCGCTATATACCCTGAAGTACCATGCCACATCAGAAATTTCAAGGGGACATCATTTCAAACAACATACTTCTTTCGAACCACTCGACGAGCGTTATTGATCTTTGTGTCAAAATGAAATCAACGTGTTGTATGCGCATAGTAACTCTTTCTGGGTTTATTCCAGCCGTGTGATCTAGCAACCATTAGGATGTCGGGGTGGTGGATGAATCGAATGAATTTGCTCTAATGCAACTCATTTCTGTGTCAAGTCGTGCTAACTAGCCTAACTCCCCCTTCGGCGAAATCTACACCTATTTTACCTTTCACCCCGTTAAACCAATCTCTTGCACCCAGAAGGGCGCGGTCTTGCTGTTTGATCTGAGCGACACTCAAATACGTGTCCTGAGCACATTGTATAAGAAGAGTGCGTGAGGGAGCGTGATAATGTGCGATTGCAAGCGGAGGCAAAGGCACAGATGGAGAGGACTTTGGATCATAGACCGAAAGCGCGTGGAGCTGTATAGATTTCCCAGAAGGGAGATACGTTGTCAGTGGTTTCTGTACAGCGTGGACAAGACACAACCGGTGAATATTTGGCCTGAGCTAGTTATAGGTCCAAACTGACCTGATGTCCGATTGCTCTATCTCGACGTATAATCTCTTCTGCCGTCATGCAGGTAAAGTCAACAAGTGCATCGTCGGCTGTGATCGCTGGCGCACGAGGCGACAAGGCAGCAACCGCTGGATCTTGGGGTGTACGTGTTGCCTACGAAAGTAACGGCTTCTGCGAACGCTGGGTTGTTCACACAAGGAAAAAACTCACTGTACCGCTTAGCATCTCTCGCAATACGGACACGAGGAGTGCACCACCTCTGTGCGCCAGAATATCACGCAGTGAAGCAAAATCTGCATTCTCAGAAACGGCCTGTTATATTGGAAAATAAGAACGAATGATAAATAGATGCAATGATATCAATGATACAAACTTACCACGTCGTCCTGTTTCCATATTCCACCAGCGTCGATTCCATTTTTTCTTTCCATCATCTCAATCACGCATACACCCGTCCTTTTCTCGCCTCGGATGAGTGCATGTTGGATAGGTGCCGCGCCCCGGTACGCAGGTAGAAGAGAAGGGTGCACATTAAGGCATTGACCAGAAGGGAAGAGACGTAGTAATGACGAAGGAAGTATGCGCCCAAATGAAGCAGTAATCAAAAGATGATTAGAGGGAGGTGATAATGGGAGTTCGGGTTGACGCAGAAATGGTGAAGAGGGCTGGGAATCGTTAGATATGAATATTTGCGATAGACAACGGGACGTACCACCCAATGTTTGAATGCGGCTTTCTCGCGTGGAATGGTGTGCACTGGAAGTCCAAGGGATTGACCCAGGGTTTTCAGTGGTGCTAAGGATGGACTATAAGCAAGCAGTCATGTAAATGCCAAACGACTCACAGACAGATAGTTCAGCACCTCGCCGACCTCTCTTTACGTCTGGATTGGTGACAATGTGTATACTGCGCCAGACATCTGGATGCATACAACTACTGTCAGAATTGCGCTCTTCGTGTTATGTTTTCTTCAGACTGAAAAACGAAAACCTACCTCGTGCTGAATGCAAATGATCCAATGTTCTGCAAGAAAAGTCGTCGCGTCCAAAATACAAAATATCAAACGGTTGCCGATGTTCAGTACCGCGTCTACCACCTTCGCTGTGGAATAATCGAGCATGTCGCTGTCCTTGTACTTGAATAGTGCTCTTCGCTGGCCATTCGAGTCTACGCGCAATCCGTGTTTGCGTGTGGTGGAAATAAGTTTTTGGAGAAATTGTCGAGGCTGCTAAGCTGCACCAGACTGTAACTCGGTGTGGCCGGAAGAGAACCATGTACATGTGGACACCGTCACGACAATAGAAAACAAGCTCAGTCAAAAGCTCAGCGCTCAGCCATTCGAGCTTCAAGCTTCAAATACCGGATCTGACAGTGCTACACATCTATTTCGAATCCACGATAATACGCTTTATACGATAGGAACAGTCACCTCAATAAAACAACTGAAAATGTACATGTATAGCACAGAAAAGGACTATTCTAAGTGCTTTTAGCAAACAAATGTATAGTAACATAGCATCACAAACACCACGTTCAGCAAAAAACAGAACGATACCCTGAGAATTGTAGAAAACCATTACACCATCTCGACATCCTCGACTGCTTCAGCGCCCTTTTCATCAGCACCACCTACATTAACATCGGGTGTACCATCGCCCATGAAAGCGTCCAGCTCCTGATCAAGTTCCTCCGCCGTCTTCGGCTTCGTACGGGCCTTCGTCTTAGCCGCGGGTGCTACCTTGGGTGCACTGGCCTTGGGTGCCGATGGACGGGCCCTAGCACGCGTGCGTATAGGACCAAGACTGAATCGTTATATACAATAATATGTGATTGGCCGATGCGCACGAATACCGCACGAATAGTACGGGAGCTTACCCGCCTTGCTGCTGCTTTTCGCCACCAGATCCTAGGCGCTCGGCCAAGGAAGGCCGTTCGATCCTGTTGAGAAGCGATGACGTCTTGGAACCGGGCATGCTGACAGAACGAGGGCGGCGAGGTGGGGCAGCCGTGTCGAACGCTATCTCCATTGACTGACCTGTTATCATTGCGATAGTAAATTAGCCAACGATCTTTATAAGGAGCCTTCAAGCATTAGCAAGAACCTTTTGCTGCCATTCCATGGAACTGCTTCTTTGCTCGTATTGCCTCGGTAGACGTCTCGAACGAGACGTACGCAACACCGGATGAGCGGCCGCTGCGATCGTACTTAAGAAAGCAAAGTGATATTTCAATTGGTATTCCATTTTCAGTGCATTCATGAAGGATAGCATGGATCATGAGACGAGACGCAGTAGACGCAAGGTGACCGGTGCATCAAGGTGAACGAAGGGACAGGCGGGGTGTGCATTCGGAATCATCGTACCCTGATTAGAGGCTCGCGCACGAGCGTGCCTATCTGCCCAAATATGGACTGCGGGAATTCAAGGAATCAAAACGTGTGCGCAACTTTTCGATGATGAGTCAAGTACGCACCACCAGATCTTTAGGCGTAATCTCATAATGCAAGTTAGACACGACGAGCTTGGTGTTTGCACTTGTTGGAATTGCCGCAGCCAAAGACGAAAGAGGGGCCCTATCGTGAAGCCAAGGACCATCTGAATTGCGAGGCCGCTGTAGTGATAGGATGAGTGCCATTATTGCGATAAAACACGTTGGAGAGGTTTGAGGAAGGATGACTCACAGAGTATGGCTTCTGGTTTCTATCGGATCTTATTGGGGCCATTGATGCAGAAAGAGAAAAAAACAAGCAGAGTAGGAAAAAAAGAAGTAAGAGGTGTCGAGGTCTGGGTTCAAGGAAGTCTAGGTTTATTAGACTGAGATGACAGCTAATACGCAACTATGAATTAACAAAATAAATTGCAGATATAATATGGATACTTGCAGTTTGGTACCACAGTTATGCTGAGACGGCCCTTGTTCGTGGTGGTTAGCGCGCAACACTTGCAGTGGCGGGTGGGGGAGGAAAATAATCCACTACAGAGTCACGTGGTATGCTGTATAATAACCGAAAACGCATATTATTCTAAACTTGTTTCCAAACCGCCATTTAAATTATGCGCTAGTTAGCATCTTATCTGACACCACTGATTGGAGGGAATACGCCACTGGTCGTTAGATGAGGACTCCTTGGAACGCGCCCAGAGAACACCACCGTTTTTCGGTTACAGTCAGTACCAATATTAACTTTTAGCCTGACTGGATCGCTAACCATCACAAGGCTTCATGGAATGGAAAGCATAGCATACATGCTCATGATACCCCGTGACCCCTTGCTAGAGCCTTTTTGAAACGAGTAACAAATTAGGTTCGTATGAAGTATATTTGACAGTGGACTGCGGACGCGGTTCCTGCGTATATATCGCGAAACAATACTTCTGTGAGTCTAAGGCACCACCGCCGACGTCGACATACTCTCTACGCTCGTCTCTCGGTTATATGATGGTAGATTTATACGTTTTAACGGTTGTTAGCACGGTCATAACTCTGTGTTTGGTCACGCTTCAATCGCGACGAAGGACAAGAATGCCCTTACCTCCGGGCCCCCGCCCCATTCCTTTCCTAGGAAACACCTTGTCTATCGACAAGTATCAACCTTGGTTGACATGTACGGGGTGGAGAAAGCAGTACGGTAAGCTTCATGTATTGCTCTTCACAAGTCCTTGTGGTTATAACTCTCCCCTTGGTCTTTCAAGGCGAACTAGTCCATGTTAATCTCATTGGTCAGACAGCCATCACCATTGATTCCTCGAGCTTGGCGCATCGACTTCTGGACCAGCGTTCTCGGAAGTATTCAATTCGCCCTGTGTTTGCATTAGCTAAATTGTAAAAAGTTTGAAATACTGCTCTTCTTATCCTATCGCTGATATATATTCAAGGTTTGGATGGGATTTTTCCACGACAACTATGCCTTACGGAGAACGATTGAGGCGTCATCGGCGGATCTACCACCAGGAATTTCGTGCAGAAGCAATAACTCCTTACCACCAACTATTCCGTCGCAAGGCGCATGAACTGCTATGCAATTTACTTTACTTGAAACTTCCAATGAATACCACCAGCATTGCGAAGCGTCAGAATTTATACGTTCTGACAATAGCACGGACGGCTCAGACCCATTTGTAACTCTCATTAGTGATGCAATGCGGTTGATTGTCCAGTCTGCATCCTCTGAACGGGCTGCCTTAGTGGCTGCCATACCCATATGTACGTAGTCATTACTTTTACCCTGTTGTGCCACTTGGAGTAACAAATATGTAGTGTTAATGCAGTAGCGCGCATTCCTCCGTGGTTCCCTGGCGCAGGTTTTATACGTCGTGCCCAGCGGTCCCAGAAGCTCGCTCGTGAGATGCAGGACAGTCCGTTTGCCTTGTCGGAGTCATTTTTAGCAAGTCTTCTCTTTGCAGCGTGATGAAAATGGAATAACATTGCCTACAGGTCGCAGGGGACGGTGATATCGCTTGCTTAGTTCATAATCAAATGAAAAGGATGAAGGAGAGAGGTATTCTGGTCGGGGAGGAATCTGTTATCAAAGAGGTCTCATCCACGACCTTTGCAGGCAAGCTAGTGATTCTTGTGATGGCTCCCTGCTGATCAAATAAATCTTGTTTTTATCAGGTGGAGTTGAAACCGTAGGCTTAAGTTTGTATGAAAACCCACGCGCAGGATGTTTACCATGTTTGTTTTTTTAGACTGCTTCGAAATTACTGATGTTTTTGCTCGCTATGGCACTCAATCCTACAATTCAAGTTCGCGCTCAAGCAGAGATTGATAGCATTATCGGTAGTGAGACGTTGTGGTGGTACCCCGTTGTGCCTCTAGGTCGGTAACTGCTCCCTTCTTTATCTCGCCTTTTCCATCCCAATTAGCTCCTAATTGGTGCTGATGTGCCGTTTTGCAATGAAATTTACAGGCACACCACATTCTACTGTAGAAGATGACATCTACGAAGGCTATCACGTTCCAACAGATATATTTACTTGTATAAGATTTACGAAAGCTCCTTCAATGATTTCCAGGGACAATGGTAATTTCTAACATATGGTAAGCCCCCCTTCCCGAACATTTGAGCTGTATGTCAATGACGCCATAACGACAGGGCAATGACATACGACGAGACACAATATTCAGATCCAGAGTCTTTCGACCCTTCTCGTTTTGTGACATCAGAAAGACAGCTCAATGATGACTCCACAGTTGTAGGATTTGGGTTTGGGCGGCGCATCTGCCCGGGACGTCATGTTGCAGCTACTGTGGTATGGATGATGATTGTGTCTGTATTGGCCGTATTTAAGGTTGAGAAGATGAGAGATGATGAAGTGAATGAAGTGGAAATCGTGCCGGAGTTCTGGTTTGGTCCATCTATGTCAGTTTTTCTCCACTCACCACACTTGATATCTTCCTCATGTTGCCCAACAGCCATCCATTAATACATTTTCCTTGTCAGTTTAGGCCACGCTCCATAAAAATGGAGGGCTTGATTAAACTAGCCGCCTCCGCGTAAATATTATGTGCAAACAGTGAATGCCAGACCTCTCAGAGTGTTCTTTTTTGGTGATCCCTGATCTGTCGTCTGTCTGGATCTTGTGTCTGCCTTGGATATTTGAGTCATCTGTCCGGGCTGGGATCTGGGTGAAATAGCTTTCAGTGCTATTTAGCGTCCTACTGAGGGCCCGTCTTAGAATTTCCCGGGGTAACGAACATTCCCCATGATGGCATGAGTATTGCGATGTTATAAGCCCAAGGACATTTTGGCGACTTGAATGTCATAGATAGGAGGCAAGCTCCCCAATAAAACCAAACGCGCAGATACATTAGCGGAAATTGAGAGATATAGTCTCGACAAAAAAAGTATTTATCTGCGGGTATCCCAAAATGAACAATAGTCCGTACAGCTGTTTTTACAGCTGTGCATCCAGCCATGACACCAAAAAGTTCGATGTGTCGACTCGCACGCACTTAGAACACATGTACAGCTAAGGCGAACATAATCGAAATCGCAACGAGGAAACCTTGCACGCCTCCGAGACCGGCGCCAATCATGGCGCCGCCGTTGAGTTCCGTGGTTGTGTTGGAAAAGGTAATGGAGGGGGTATCGAGGGTGGCGTTAGGTCCGTAGACGTAACCCGTGTCGCTTGCATTGGGTGCAACGGGATCATTACATTCCACAGAAACGGATTGGAAGAGAGCATAGAAGTGGCCTGACGGGGTTGATTGTCAGTTTTTTTTTCTTCTCATGCGGCGTACGTCCCGCTAATGTAAAAGTGAGAAAGAGAACTTACCGGCTGAAACATAATCGGGGTCGTTCCAGTTGATCATGCCTAAGGAAGTCAATAGTGTATAAGAAACAAGATACAAGTCGCAAGCGGAGACCCTTACCTCCTGCCCATTCGACGGTCCCTTCGGGCTCAGAAGATATACCAGCAGGCCAAATACTATAGAAAAGTAAAGTAAAGTCAAAGAGATGTCATATTAGACGAAGATGTGCAAACCTCAGCTGAATTCGGCTAGGCGTGTTCGGGTATTGACTAACGCCAGTGGAGTTATCTACACAGTCGGAAGCCATGATAGTACGCGTAACATTTCCGTCAACGAGGAAAGTAAGAGAGCTGGGTGACCAGTCGACCTAATGAGACAAGTTGCAGGTCTGTGTAGGAAATAAGACACGATGATGAATTATGCGTACGGTGTAATCGTGGAAGTTATCGTAAGTATCCGACAAACCAGTCTCGGTGACACCAGCTGTCTGCGGAGCTAAATATTCATGAGGTCCAGACAATCTTTGTGGATTATACTGATTAGACACTTACGGATGACACCTTGCCAGAAATAATTAGTCTGCCCTGTAGTGGTTTGATTGCCAGGAAATTCCCAGTCAATCTCATCTTTGATGCTACTCATGGTGATAGCGGCCGTGACAACTCCTGCCCATCGACCAGTCTTGACTACAGTGTGGTAAATCAGGATCCACCGATGACACCATCAGCACAATCAAACAAGGACCAGTTTAGTAAGTGTGAAGACGACGGGAAGAGGAATTGCAGCTGACGTCTAGTGGTGATCTTGCCGTAATGAACATATCTGGTTGACGACATTAAAGTGCCACCCCCGTTTTCGGTCAAAAGCAAGGCAAGGGCAGCCTCTCCAGAGGAGGTGGTGTTCATAATGGTGCCTTCCTCGACGACCCAGTCTGTGGAAGGAAATTGAGCAAACAACATAAAAATAAACTACTTTGATTGGCGCAACCACGTACCATATTCGGAGGCGTTACCTTCAAAGTAAGTGTAGTTTGTAAGAATGCGCGAAGTGTCTACGAGAGTATACTACAGATCATAGAACGGATGGTAAAGAATCAGCGTGAGATAAGAGACTGAGGATGGACAAAAATAAACGATATCTAGCGACTGAACTACGCTAGGAGTGTGACTAGTGAAACGTTAAGAAGCACTCACATTAGCGCTTTCACATATGGGGTTTGGTTTACAAGAGTCCAGAGAATTAGAGTAGAGGGGATTGCATCCTCCAAGGCAATACTAGAACTGAGATGAGATTGCGTAGTCGAATCGGTGGTTCGTTTCAGCGACACTCACATATCCACTGCCACAGAATCCGTATTCACCTGAGGTAGGGGAACAATAAGCGATCACGAACGTGAAGATGCATAAAATAAATACACACTGCAGCAGGGAGCCGTGGAAGGGCAGAGGCTAGTCTGGTTGCTGTTGCGATGAAACGTCAGTATGATAGATCTCGAGAGTGCTTGCACAGGACTGACCAGGTTTGAGCTGAAACCGACGTCAAGACGGCTAGAAGGGGCACCAGGAGAGCCAGTGAGGAATGCATTGTCGAGGTTTGGAAGAAAGCCCAAAGAACGAGAGTAAAAGAAAGAGCGTGTCAAGGGATAGAAGAGGACTCTTGAGAACGGATTGAAACAACGTGGACGCAGAGAACAGCAAAAAAAGATGATCCTGCAGGAAATTATAGATTCATTTGTCTCATCAACGCGCTTCGCCCTCTGCCGTTACTCTGCCGTACTCAGCGTGTCCTATTTTTGGACGTTCTTCCCACCCCGGGCTGTTGCTTTTGCTGACAAATACTTGACATACCCATTCGGACACATCAGTTCCCACGATACCTCATCGGACCCATAATACCAAACAACGCGTATTCTAAAGATCTTTGCGCGTGCGCGTGGTTTGTGTCGTCGTCGACGCCAGTCATTGCCGTTTTCTGTTTAACATGGCTCCTCAGACTCAGAAAACGCCCGCTAAACAAAGATCAAACGAGAATATGAAACAAAAGAGTCTCTTTTCTTGGCTGGGAAAATCAGCACCCAGTGAAGGGAAAGCCACATCCCACGTAAATGTACCCAACCGTTCAATTTCTCAAGCAACTCGGACTCCCGAATCGAAAGCTTCATCAGCGAAAATGATTCTAGCCTCTTCAGCAGTGACTAGTTCCAGGTCATCACATGGAAGTAGTATCCATGAAACACCGCCCACGAGCGACCCTATTGACGTGGATATGCTCTCTGAAGACGAAGAGGAGGTTGAACCAAAACCTGTAAGTGCACGCGTTTCTGCATACAAAACTACGTGAAACACCGTATAATGCATCTGTTGCGTTATCAGACTCGCAAGCGCAAGGTTATCATTGATGACTCCGAGGACGAAGAAGAAACTAAAATTGCAGCCACGAAGAAAGTCGCAAAATCTACTTATAGGACATCATCGCCAGATATCAATAAGTCGTCTTCTTCTCGGAGTGAGTATATATATATATATATACGAGCTCGGCATGTGTGCTAAATCTGCTTCAACAGGCCGTGCAAAGAAACCTCGCATATGTGTTATGCCATCAGACGATGAAGATGGAGATGAAGAGCTGTCCTCCTTTTCGTCCCGGCTCCTAAAATACAAAAAGTCTCCCATCAAGTGTGAGTTATATATGTTTGTTTTGATCACATCTATTTATTGCTTAACGTTTATAAAAAGCTCGCAAATCCCAATCTAGCTCTGTCGCTGATGACGACGATTTCATTGTCCCATCTGACGAGGACGAGGTACCCGAGCGTTCCTCTTCTCGCGCTTCTGCCCGAAGTGTTACATCACGTCGTTCCTCTAAGTCCGCATCCTCTGAGGTCGATACTGAATTAGAAGACGAAGAGGACGGGTCAAAGAAAACAAAGGCTAAGAGACCGCAATTAAAGAATAACACGGGTGGAAGTAGTGCAGGTGGAAGTAATTTGTTTCTTACAGCAGCGGAGCAAAGGGCCCAGGAGAAGAAGACCGAAAAGAAATCTGCCGAGGATCCTTTCAGTTTCTTAGTGGACGTTAGAGATGTAAGTATTTTTATTTCATTTGTTACTGGACATTATCAAATTCTGACGATTCATACTAACAGAAAGATGGCGTTAAGCCTGGAGAGCCTGGTTATGATCCTAGGACCCTGTATATCCCAAAGAAGGCTTGGGCCGATTTTACACCATTCGAAAAACAGGTACATGGCTTTTCGTGCTATTCTTTAATATATCTGACCAGGCTTGTTCATCTATCCACTATGTCACGTAGTTCTGGGAGGTATGTAGATATATCCACTATCTGGGAAAGTTCTGGTGATATATGTGTCGAATTTCTCAGATCAAGCAAAATCATTTTGATACAGTGTGTATTTATTAACATCATGCCTTTTCTATATCTCTAACGCTCAGCGCAGATCTTATTCTTTCAAAAAGGGTGACTATTTCTTCGCTTCTGTACCAATCTATGACTTAGAGTAATTGTACATTATTTAGCAAATTCCTGGAGGTATGTTTCGTTTATGATTTTATGTATTATCAATTACTTATATACTCGCAAGTTGTATGAAGACGACGCTCGTGTTGGTCACACAGAGTTTGATCTGAAACTCACACAACGAGTAAAGATGTCCATGGTAAGTCCGTTAGCACGTTAAATTTTAGATTTTTGGTTATAAGCTACAAACCCATATAGGTAGGCGTTCCAGAAATGTCCTTCAACTTTTGGGCTGCGTAAGTATATGCGTATCTGGATTATATGAGGGTTTATGTACTGAATGTCTGTCTATTCACATTGTATATAGGAAATTCCTCGGGAAAGGCAAGCGTGTCGATACAAATGCTATGCCATTCTGACAATCCCTTTCAGGCTACAAAGTTGGTCGTGTCGATCAGGCAGAAACTGCGTTAGGTGCAGAAATGCGCATGGCTGCCGACAAAACTAAAGGCAAACCCAGCGCAGACAAAGGAAAAGAGAAGATCGTTCGACGGTATGTTGCCTTTACTTCCCATTCTCACCTCTCACCTTGATCGCTGAGCATATCCGCAGAGAGCTGAACAAAGTATATACTAATGGTACCCTAGTGGATGAGGATTTGCTTACAGATGAGCAAGCGGGACACTGCATCTCAATTCGTGAGGACACGTCGGACGTGAAGAAAGGTAGTTCCTTTGGATTATGCGTTCTGGATAGTGCTACATCGCAATTCGACTTGAGCGCATTTGATGATGATGTTTGCATGACCAAACTGGAGACTATGATGAGGCAACTGCGCCCTGAAGAAGTTATATTCACAAAGGTAAGGATAATACTCTCATTCTGCTAGCACAATACCGCATATTCAGAGTTATTATAGGGTAATTTGTCTGTACCCACTTCTCGTCTACTCAAAGCTATCTTACCTGCGGCTTGTCTGTGGACAAGCTTACGAGACGTCGAAGGATTTCCATATGATCAAACCATCAAAGAGCTGAACAATATGTTTGCGGGAGATGAGGATGAGGACGTGGATGGCGAAGAGGCGCTAAACAGTGCTGTACCCGAAGGTATCAAGGATATGGCGGGATGTAGAGATGCCATCGAAGCTCTTGGTGCTACATTGTGGTAGGTTTTTGGGTGATAGCGAAAGTTCAGCTTGCATATTTCATATAGGTATCTGCGACAGCTCAATATCGACAAGGATTTATTCAGCATGAAGAACTTCAATGTGTACGACCCTTTGAAGAAGGGCCAAAATCTGGTGCTCGATGGCCAGACATTGGCGCACATAGAGGTATGAAACTTACGTTTGGTATTACGGATTTTCAGAGATTTTATGCTATTTAGGTATTTGTGAATGACGAGGGTACGGATGAAGGGACTCTGCACAAATTACTGGGTAGATGCATCACTCCTTTCGGTAAGTATTGTTCGAATCGTGTCATTCGTTTCTCAGTCATGTCCCTAGGCAAACGGTTGTTCCGGATCTGGCTCTGTGTACCACTGCGAAACGTAACTGATATCAATGCAAGGTAGTCAATTCAGCCTATATATGTTGACTCGTACTTACTACCAAGTCCTATCAAAAGGCTCGACGCGGTGGAAGCTCTCATGGATCATGAAACCTTCGAAGAAACTTTCACAGACCTTGCAAAAGGATTGCCTGATCTCGAACGCATCGTCTCTCGTATTCATGCTAAGAACTGTAAAATCAAAGATTTCATGAAGGTTCTTGCTGTATGTCGAAACTAGTCTTGTCACTCGCCTTGGGTCCTTATTACAGTTGCTGTTATAGGCTTTCCGAAAGCTCAACATGGGACTTGGGAAACTCACAGACAGCTCTGAGACGTTCGAGTCTAAAACTATTACCAGTCTCCTTAGGTCTGCGCCTGATCTGACTCCTCACATAAAAAATGTGGAAAGTCGATTTATTGTCGACAAAGGTGGGATGCATTCTTCGCTACGGCGTTTATCAGCTAAACTGAATTTTATCTATCAATAGACACTGACAATCTGTTGCCGGTAGAAGGGAAGGATGATGTCTATGATGAGGTCATGGCAGAAATCACGGAGCTTGAGGAGACGCTCGACTCTCAACTGAGAAAGTTCGAAAAGAAACTAGGGTAAGAAAAGATGTCTAAGTTTTTCTAATTCTAACTGAATACTTTCTCGCAGCATTACATTAACATGGTGGCACAGCGCACAGGGCAATAAGGTGAACGCTTAATCACTAGCGCCGCAAATGCACCACACTAAAATAAGTTTCAGGAAATATATTTAGTACAAACTAAGGTCGGTCAAAAGAACATTCCAGATGACTGGACCAAAAGTGGAGGGACTAAGGTACGCGTATGTGCAACGGTAATTCCATCACTCGCTCATTATATCTTTCAGGCTGCGGCGCGCTGGCTTGTGCCTTCCCTTCAATCCACTATTCGCAAGCTCAAAGAAGCCCGAGAGAATCGGAACACGGCCATCAAGGAGTTCAAGAATCGCCTTTACGCCGAATTTGACGCTGATCGAGGAGTGTGGTTGCGAGCTGTCCGGGTCCTTGCTGAGCTAGATTGTCTGTTCAGTCTGGCCAAATCATCCCGTGCACTTGGGGAACCGTTATGTAGGCCAGAATTTGTTGAGGGCGATGCGGCTTGGATAGACTTCAAGGAGCTTCGACACCCGGCACTTTCGGGATTGCGTGAAGATTTCATTCCGAACGATGTTCGCCTGGGAGGGGAAATGAGCAGAGTCGCCTTACTAACTGGTGAGTGATGGCATAGCTACTTCTGTACACGTATAAACTTCTTAGTTGCTATGTAGGGCCGAACATGGGGTAAGTCCTTCGCTTTGAGCTTTGAGCCTGATGTTATTGATCTTGTTCCCTAAACTTAGTGGTAAATCTACGGTGCGTGGACCTCTGAACCGTATTTTTATTATCACTCATGTCCCATCACAGGCTATGCGTATGACGGCTACTGGCGTGGTGCGCTCACTTTTCTTGGGTCGACTTATATTATCTTTACTGAGTACCGTTTAGATCATGGCTCAACTTGGCATGTTCGTTCCCGCCAAGTCTGCTCGGTAAGCAATTGAACCCTACCCATTTTATTGTCGCTTGACATGGAATGGTCCAGGTTGTGTCCGGTGGATACTATCCTGACTCGAATGGGAGCATATGACAATATGTTCTCAAATGCCAGCACGTTCAAAGTTGAGCTAGATGAATGGTGCGCACTCCGAAGGAAATTGTTAGCAAACATTTTCTAAGTGATAACTCATAGCTGCAAGATTTTGCGCGATGCGACACCAAAGTCCTTCGTTATTTTGGACGGTACGTAATGTCGCGTTTCCTTTGTCCAGTACGGCAAGTGACATTAGTATAGAGTTGGGAAGAGGTACTTCAACATATGTAAGTATATTAGGTTTGCTATGGCAAAGGATTGTTCCTGATTTCTTATTTCTGTAGGATGGCATGGCTATAGCTGGAGTATGTTCAATCGGTGACCTGTTTCTGATCCACCGACTAACTCTTCGGTTGCAATACAGGCTGTCCTTCACCAACTTGCTACACATACTCTACCCCTAGCCTTTTTTGCAACTCACTATGGGACGCTTACTAGTGATTTTGCATATCATCCTAACGTAAGGAACATGCACATGGCCACTCTGCTCGATGACGAAAAATGCGAGGTAAAGAATTCCCCATACTTTAAATAGTTCTCATGCTAAAATTAGGGTCTTTTTAGCTTGTATTTCTGTACAAACTTGTAGAAGGCATTGCAGAGTCATCTTTCGGCACTCACGTCGCTAGTCTTGCTGGAGTGCCGACAGAAGTTGTCAAGCGCGCCGAAGTTGTGTCTGAAGACTTTGCGAAGAAATTCAAGGCTAGATTGGAGGGTAAACAGAAAGCATCTGCCTCGCTGAGGCTACCACACGTTGTCCAGGCAGATTTCGTTTACCTTCTTAACTTGGCTTCTGGGAAGGAAAGGATCCCAGATGATGCCTTCATGCAAAGGCAGCTATTGAAGGGGCTGAAAGATTCTGTGAGTCGGTGCGTTAGTTCCTAATACTGCTCTGAATCTGCTTTGCTTTCGTCCATACCTATCAATGTTGTCGAGCATGATAAATAGTACTCACCTAATAATGATATTTCATCGTGACTTTACTCACGTGATGTGACGACTCGTACCTCACTCTATCAGATTTCATATGCGATTCTGAAATTACAGGTGTACACCTTCATCTATGTGTGGTGGTCTTATCTTGTTCCGTGATTAGTGGGACATCCATTTACATCATTCAAGGCCGAAAGGGATCCTTCACTTTGAAATTTGCGACTGTTGTGTAACCCGATCATTGTGACGATGCAGCGTGAACACGAGGTTGAAAATCTGGAAGATATCATGTCCGATTCTATCGAGATGTTCGGAGGTGAAACTTTAGAAGATAACGGAACCATCCAGTACGGACCTTTAGTTCTGGGCGTAGCTCCAAAGGCGAGTTCCGAGTCACGCCATGCTTAACTCCTTGCCGCTCATTCGGTGCAACTTCTATAGGAAGGAAAAGTAAGTCTCCTATTCATTAGATAGAGCCCTTTCTTGGTCTATCATTGTCGCTGTCTCAGCCCATCTGACAAAGCGGCCATCAAGGCCAACACGTTGTTAGCAGACCATTTGTTTTCCCCCGCGCTCCTTCTCGCGGAGCAAGTTGAAAGAGGTTTGATACCTGTGCAAGGCCAGAAAGGTGAGTTTCAAGGGTTGTACCATATGGATAGTTTCCTCAACGAAAAATCCTAGTCCTTGAGATTGGAGCTGGGTGTGCTCTTCCCTCATTACTCATGGCCACACTGCCAGAACCTCCGTGTCTAGTGACTGTTTCTGATTACCCAGACGAAATCATTCTAGGAAACCTGAAGAGAAATGTAGACAAGAACCGGCCGCAATTCCAATCCAACTGCACAGTTCGATGCATTGGTTATGAATGGGGTAAAGATCCAGGACCACTACTGTGAGTCAAATTGGATTCAAAAAGCCATATTTAATGATGATATCTTCCTTCTCTTATACTATACTCTTTAAGGGCATTACTTCCACCACATGACAACCTGGGATACGATATAATGATTTTGTCTGACCTACTCCATTTTAACAACTCTCACGAAGCACTCATCACCGCCATCACCTCCTTCCTCGTTACATCCGCTACATCACGGGTTTATGTAGCGGCGGGAAAATACACCGCAGCAGATGTATGCAGCGGGTTTTTGCGGATGAGCACGTTGATGGGATTAATCTGGGAAGAAGGCGCGGACCCAAGCAATGCAAACCCTGTCACTTGGTTAGGAGAAATGCAGGTTAGCGGTCTCGATAAGGGACAGCTTGCTGATCGCAAGGGAATGTGCCGATGGTGGATCGGCAGGTGGTCCGAAAGCCACCTGGATGTATGGAGCCCTCGCTGATATGGTGTTCTTTGTCATTGGTAGTCTGGGAACAATGTTCAGCCCGATGAGTCTGAACAAAGTATCTGCCTCGATATTGATGATGCGATGAACCTGCCTGTTTTCTTCTAGTCCATTTCAAGTTGTTTATCATGATGAACGTAACATCATTGTGGCGTTACGCTGTGGTCTTGCAAGGCTAAGGTGCCAGAAGTTAATGCCACTGTAAATCGCTCTCTCCCACACACAAAGCTGTCTCCGGACATGCCATCCTGGCGGGAGCTGTGACGAGCGAAGTTGACGTCCGCTGCGCGTTGTGAAATTCCATATAAGTTTTACTTCCGTCAGCGGAATACGTGACTGTCGGTTGTTTGAGTTCCTGGAAAAGCCATCAATCGTGCTAGCCTGTTCTTGTGAAACTGAAACTGAAGATAACCTTGGGCTCACCAACCGCTTTGATCAGCAATATTGGTAATTCAACCGATGGGGTTCGAGCATATGCATTTATTGATGGAAAGGGCCAGTTATCCAAGGTCCAATCAGTCAAAAGCATGATGATCAAATATTCCATCTGGTGCCGCCCATTGGTATGAGGAACGGTCGACTCGGACGAGATGCGAATAGTGCGCGAACAAGGCAGTAACGCAGTGTTATATTGTGATATAGCAGTAATACTCATCATTTTCATTTGGAGTTGATTGTCCCATTTTTACGTGTTACCCACCATAACTGGTTTCTTCCATACGCTGGCAGCACAGCACGGCGTGATGTTTCTCTACGTAAATTAACACTCTCGTTACCACTGTTAGTGACGTTTTAAGTTTCAGCGGTTTAACAGTCATGCGCCGGAATGAACAGCATCGCTTCACATCACTCAGGTCATTCGTCCCTCCCTCGTGATATAGCTCGATGGGCATTGAGCTCCGTGCCAGCCCAACGGTGCCACTGATCATTCGTCTGAACTGCCTCGCAACTCTGTAAAGACGATTCTTCCGAGAAATACACGTCACGGTCAAATACAGCAGCGGAGTATTATTCATCCAAAAACCTGATACGCAGATATTACACCTTTGCAGTGTACCCATGAAAACCAACTTGAAGTAGTACTAAGTCAACGTACCAAAAAGAAAGAGAAATCAAAGACGTTATAATAATTGCAGCAAAGGCTCCAAGGACCTCCCACCTATACTCTGAAAGGCATCAACACACACAAGTGTCAGCCCACACCCACTGCAAGGCCACCCACTACCAACGCTAGCATCCCATTCTCACCGGACGGTGATATGAATAAGCCAAGCCCCGGCGTGCCCTTGTCATGTGTTCCCTCGACCCTCAACCTTCTGAACTTCATCGGTGGGGTTACGACCAACATAACTTGAGCCTAAATCCAAATACCCAGATACAAAGGAAAGAAACTGCGGCGACGTCAAATGATAGACTGAAAGTTTGTTTGAAGCGAGGGGCGTTGGCATCCGTGTGCTATGACCGCAACAGATGCAACGCAGCCTTCAAGAGCCACCTCCCCGGTGCCAACCTCGGTGACTATAACACTTTGCGCAACAGCAACCTTTGGTGTGGTTGGGAGAGCAGGAGGTGGAATTGGGGGCGGTGGTAGAGCGGAAGTCGCCGTGTTCCAGGAGTAGCGGTGGAAACTTTTCTTCTTACGAACGCTGGCTTGGTAGGCGGCACGCATTACAGCAGTAGAATCATTTAAGCCATTACTACCGAGGCTGGCGATGCTGACTGGGCGCTGACTAGAAACTGAATGCTCAGACTGTGGTGACAAAAGACAAGACCCAACTGAGTCACTAGGTGAAATCGGTGAAGACAATGAGGTTGGTACAGAAGGCAGCGAATCACATTGAGCTCCCTGTGCATCAATAAGCTGTGAATCCGAATCGGAAGAGGAAGTGGAACGCTCTGAAGGAGTGTATGTCGATGACCAATCAAGCGGTACTAGTCGATCGTCTTGATGATTCATAAAGAATGTGGGTAGAGCCATGGGAAATGCGGATAAGAAGGTCTCCGGAGATTGGGAAATAGTTACAGGGCCATCTACGTCTGGCGAGGGGCCCGACTCGCCATTAGCAGTAAATTCGGAGCGGCGGCCTTCCCAGAAACGCAGATTGCTAGTGCATTGCCGTGCAAACTTGGCCATACCTTTGATTAATTGTAAAATCAAGAAGAACCTCGTGACGTGACATGTACTAACCAGGTAACACTTGCGCAGTAAGGTCCAGGAGAGGTTTCGCAAAGTTCTCGATGAAAAATATTTGAGATTTTGCTTTGTCAAGAGGGGTATCAGAAGGTTGTAAGGAAACAGGGAGGTGAAAATGTTTCTCGAGCTTCGCCTGTGAAGCCCATTCTTCCATGAGAGCGCTTGCCCAGTAGTGCGAGACTCCAAGAGGGCGGCCCTGTAAGGGTGTACCAGTCAGTAACTGTGAACGAGACATGAAAATGAATGCGTACTGGATTGCTGATATCCGCGCATTTAATGATAGCTTGGCAAAGCAGAAGCCTTCGTTCACAGACAGTGGTACAGGATCCTCGCGCAAGTAACTCAAAGTGTTGCATGAACTCGGCATGCACGCTCATATCTGTCGCAAGAATTATCCCAGAAAGCAACTTACGGAACCACGCAATTGTATCCGCATGATCCAGTAAAAACCCTAGGCCATGGTGTCGCATTGCCTGAGTAAGCAATGCATAATGCATCTGCTCTAGAGCAGATTTGTCGTCGTAAACAGCGGAAAGAGGAGTATGGGCCTTTTTCTAATACGCATATAATGTCAGTGTATGTTATAGAGAAATAAAAAGCATTTTACCATAAATACATTCGTCAAACCCGGATGACCAACGTCATGTCCGATAGCAGCGACGTATAGTGCGAAGAGCTCAATGTTACGTAGTTCATGAGAAAGGGAGTTAGTATTTTGAGTCTTGTCCCGCTGCCACATACGATCGTCGCCGTCCAGTAAAATGGATACTGGAGGTACGACACCCTCTGCACAGAGGAAGGAGTGGGATGCTTGTAATACATCCAATGCATGTTGATAGTTGTGATAAGAGTTCTGTCCACGGTATATATGACGGAGATGCTGTAAAAAGCCCGAGAGTTCGTCTGATATATGGTTGGAGAATGAATTTGATAAGTCAGTATATGAAGGTAACGAAATATGAGTGTCGACTGACTTAGGGAAACACCTGTATCCTCTTTCATGCCTTGAATGCGAAAGAGGGTTTCAAATAAGATTAGGGTACATGACAGGACTTCTTCATCCGGAAGTCTGTGTGGTTCGAAGTGCCAATTATCCAGAGATTTGATCAGACGACATCTTGTCTCTGGGAGAGTAACGAACGGCAGCCTGGCACAGATGTAAGCTAAGGCTATGATAAGCAATAATAGGTCAACAGACAGTTGGTTACTATGATGGTTGACAAGTATCTGTGTATGGGTGTACATGTCGCTCAGAAGTTCCGCATATCTGCACGAATTGATGGATATTGGGCTGAACAACAAGGATGAAGAATGACATACCGGGTTCCACCAGCCTCCTTCTCTTCCCATCCACCCCACCCTTGGCCCAAGCCCTGATTTTCGAGCGCGAGAGCGAGTCCCCCCACGTCCACACTCCTCCGCCTGCCGTGGGCGAGATCGTCGCTGACGAACATTTGGGAGACGAATTCTGCAGCGGTTGACGAATGAAAAAGAGGTGCTCGACGATGTCTGCAACGACGAGCAAGGGTATATGATAGAGCTGGGTTTACCGAGGACAGTCTTGGGGACGTTTGGGATGCCTCGCTCGCGTGGGGAAAGCGTGGTGGTCGCTGACAGAGTTTTTGACACTCGACAGCCCTCGTGGCTCCTCGTGGCTCCCGCGTGCGCAAGCCTAACTGCCGCTTTCCACGGTCCGGCGCGGGTACCTTCCTCGTTCCTCGTCATTGTACCAAGATCAACAAAGACTCGGAGTGGCTCGAAAGTTGGACTTGAAGGTGTCCACACTGAATCACGGTTGTGTCTCTCAAAGGAAAAGTCTGTGTGCTTGCTTTGCCCATCGTCAGCAGCAACCCCATCTGAAAATATAATCAACATCCTCTTACCTGAACATTGATCCCGCTTGAAAAAATCCAGGGCTGCACCTTGTAGGGCCGGTCATCTTTGGAAAAGAAATATTTCGTTCCTACGGTGAAGTCGACTGTGCATAACGAGGACATGGAATGAGGCTGTAAGTATCACATTTGTACCTCCTTCTCAGTTTTCATCATGTATGCTTCTCGTCACAGGTTGTTACCGCAGTTGATACCTTTATCGAAGGCGAAGTTCGTCATTCAAAGAACCCGCTAGTATGATGGTGTGGTGTAATTCTATTACGGCACGACGGACTGCTGTCAGCCTGCGAGCAATTTTACGTCTCACGTAGCGCATAAATTCTTCCACCTGCATACCCGGAACTCCAATGTCACGAGCCACAAATGAAATCAATTAAATCCTCGAGTCCTACCGACACGGACTCACTGCTACTGTGGTCCTGTGGGCTATTAAAATTAAGCTCCCGTGCATCCCACTATAGAATGCCTTCACCGTGCGTCCTTGATAGCCGTGAAGGAAGTATACAAGACACTCCATTTTTCAGTGCCATAAATTCAAGTCATGTGGAACTTTTCACAGTGTCGTGACGCACCCTGTTTCTGAATTGCAACATGCTGTCCCAAACTATCGATATATGTTCACGCGTTTGCGGTGACTCTCGTGATTCTGTCAACCATATCAGCGGACGCTCGGCTCTACTTATCTACTCAGGCCCGAAAGTGTTCCTCTTCATGGGAGCGGCTCACAGGTAAGTTCTGGCCAGGCCCGTTGTGAATTTGGAACACAGCATATAATATAAAAATCGTCGGTGCTCGAAAAATTTGCACGACAAGTGGCAAAATTGTTATCAGTTTACACCACAATTCTGGCGCACTCTAATTCTTTGATATTTTAACGATTAGGATACGGCTGGGCAAACTTCCACATTACCGATTATTTCATCCGTATCCCGTCACATCCTTGTTTATCCTCGGTTGGTCATTTGACCCGGCTGGAAAGGTGCGTGCAGACCAATCAAATTGAGTTCCGCTCTGAAACTCAGTTACCTACCTCACACAGTGTCTGGTGACGCCGAGCTTCACCTTCCAGAGGACCCACAAATTCCCTTTCCTCGACGTGGCCACCAAAATGTTCAGTTTGAGCCGACAACTTGTCCAGTCTCTACACCTGCTACTCACGGCTTCGCATACTTGACTTTTCGAAGCATCTCAGTCGCTCTAGGGAGACTGTATCAGATGAGCATCATGGGCGCTTTCAGTCCACGCTGACCGTGATATTCGCAAGAATGGAACTGACGGACACAACGGACTCCGTCCCATTAACTTGGCGTTTCTGGCGTGCGTGCATAATGTATGTTTGCATTTATCCTTCTCTGGTCATGCGGATGGCAGCTGATACCCAGCGCCAACGTCCAAACCGAATGCCACAGTCACACCATCACAGACGACAGCATCGTGGGCCTTACCTGGGCTCTGGCTCAGACAGCATTCTCCGCCGTCTTCACTGATAGGGCGTAAGGTTTTGCGAATTACTTACACCCCCCTTCTACTTTAAGTTCATCTCAACTGTCCGCAGAAATCGTACAATTCCTCTCTCGATATCTGGATCTGACATGCGTTTGAACAATATTGTCAAGTGGCCAATCATAGACCAGTTAAATAACTCGCGGTTTTTCCGTGGGATAGGGTTGGATTGTTTGGACTAGCGGACGACCATGAGTAAGTGTTTGTCGGTCCATAAATATGGTGCTCCGTGGAGCTCACTGATCAAGCATGTTGATGCTGGTTTCACAGGTTTTAACATGCAGCTTGTAGATGGATCAATCAGGTCACATCTGACGAAATGGTCCTGCGCATGGATGATGCTTTCATCCAGTGTCATCCAGTGGTGTCCCTCAAATATATCCTTTATTGTCGGTATTCGAGGACCGATACCCTTCTTGCGCGATCAGACCCTTACACGACAGCGAAACGTGGATCTCTCAGTGGCCAAAGTCTGGGTGACTGCATGAGAACAATCATTCTATCGCCGGCACCTTCAATTCGTACCATTGCCTCAAGGTCATCCGGGTACAAAACTTTTATTTAGCTCACAGCAATCATCGTCTCGGGGGAAAGTACAAAGGCAGACTGGTTGATCGAATCATGATTGTCGTAACGGGCTTTTGCCAGGCTCAGCACCGCATTTCTCCATTTCTTTCACGGCCGGTCAGCTCGTATGACTCATATTGTTTCAAGTGCACCAGCTCATTACCCGCGAAACTAACCAAACATCGTAGGTACGTCCCATGGAAATAACAAGTCCCCTTGTTCATTCAAATTTCACGCCCTCGATCCTTTTACTCAAGTCGAGGCCTTTCGCCGGGGCGCGGGTGATTGGAGTGGCGATAGGCAAGAATATAATTTGTCTGACGGGTACGGTGCCATTATCAAATTTCCATTTACTTTTCACATAATTTCAATCGACTAATAAGAAAGGGGGGGAGGGACAGCCGATCAACAAAGGAACGAGTTGCGAACAAAAGAATACCCGCAATTCAAAATCGGCGACCAACTGCAGCACCTTCGAATTGCGTCCGACCGGGAAATATCCTTCGATTCTTCAGAGATCGGGTGCGGATGAATGCACTAGTTTGTCAGGTGGGTGGCCCAGACAAAGAGAACCAGTATATGGACATAACCGAATTCGGTATGTGTCATCTTGTCCCTGCGTAAATTTACTACGTTACCACGTTCCCAGCTCAAAATTACTTATTTCTTTGAGGAATCGTGGCCATGCTGAACCATTATAGCGATCGCTGCGCGATCTCATTCGATTCTTGCTTTATTACTATAATCATTATCAGGGAACGCTGTGAAGGCCCGCTAACATACGTAATTTGCAATCAGTTGTACACGCCGGGTTCTGATCGATTATCACAAGCCATCGTCGAAAGCAAAAGCCTCATCACTTGGGTTATGCTCCCATTTCAGCGTAAAATAAATCGCGTGCATGATAATTATGATAAGCAAGATTGATATCTCAATATCGGCGTCAATTCTGCAGCTTTTAAATGGAGGCATCCCCGAATCATTGTATCAAGATAAGCCCAAGAAAAATCATAGTCCCAAGAAGTACGTGCGGCGAACGCAGAATCGAAGGATGGCGCGAATAAAGAAGGCGAGATGTGAATACACTCGTAATTATTTTGTGAGATATGAGTATATAGAATGCAGGTGGAATATATGCGTGCGTGATGTCATAAGACGTACTGATTGACAAAGAAACGAGAAATTTGAACCAGAGGTATATGCGCAGACTTTTTACGTAGTGTTACAGAAATCCAACCAAATTCAGATGTCATAGTCCGTATTTGGGCCCCCCGTGTACAACACAGGTGCCCCAATTCTCCAATCCAACAAAAAAGCAGAAGCTGAGAGCAAAACAACAAAATGCTGATGACGACGAAGCGAGAGGACAAAGATGACGATATCGAGGACATGATAGCCGCTGACGTGAGTATAGACGTCACGGTGAATGAGTTATTTTGGTTGTCGGCATGAGTTTTCGTTATATCGGCTCTCGATAGAGACGGTTTGTATACGCATTACCACATTACGGTGGGAATCACAAGAGGAAGGGCGCTTGAAGGTTCGTCGGAACTGACCATCGACGTATAATCGATGTAGATGACCCGTCGGAACCAGTGCTGGCAACGTCAATAGCGCTCGTGTTGGAAGTCACGAAAGCATGATTGCATGTGCCTGCTCCAACGGCGAAGTTATATGCGTTGTTGGCGGGATACTGATGTATATAAACAAAATGGACGAAGACGTCAGTTCGACCGTCTAAGCGCAGATAGACGCATATATATGTCTTAATGACGCATATATGCACATGGCAAGACGAACAAATGACTTACACCAGAAATATTGTTGCGTGGCCAAGACGGTTCTGATGGAAGACGACGTTGTTCACGCTTATCGAATCCCGATGACGTTGACGAGCACGACGGAGATTGTGGTATATGCGGAGCTGCCGTATGCGTGAGTTACTGAGGAGGGAAGATAAGATGAAGAGGTATACCAAGGTGGTGCGAGTGTTGGCGGATATGCGGCTGATGTCCATTGGAGTAATCTAGCTCGTCCAGCGAGAGAGTAGGCGAAGTAAATGTATTAACAGGATCTGACATCCAACTCTGTGGATGTGATTCAAGCTGAGGCTGGTCGAATTCTGCCTGGCAGTCCGCCCACTGCGAAGGCGAGTCCCGCTGAGATTCATCGTTAGCGCTGGGCGAGAAGTCAGCGAAGCGGTCATTTGGTGGAGTAGGGCTGGCAGTGCTTGTGTCGCTATTTCCGCCTACATCGAGCTGAAACTCGAATACGAGTGGCTCATCCAGCAAGGGGCCTGCTTCCTCGCCAGTCCAAGGTGCGGATGCCCCACCGCCACCCTCGTGCATGGAGAACGGGTTAAGTCTGAATACGCCCATCATGCGGCGCATCTCCTTTGAGGCTTGCGTTGCCCGTAGAGGTACTTCAGTTGGCGGGGCGGCACTGAAACCAGGAGAGGACGAGTTGAATTCCATCACAAAGCAGGATTCACCATCATCAGTGGGTTCTAGCTTGACAGGCGCAGAAGGAGAGCGCACAGATCGATTACTGCTTGGGCTGGTAATACTTCTAGGTGGAGGTGACGTGAGGGCGGAGTCTAGAACGTGGTCTGTGTCATCGAGGGTGTAGAGATCTGTGCTCCAGCTCGAATCGTCGTACTTGAGAGGATTGGCCGCAGATGGATGCTGCCTCAGGGAAGAACGCGAATATGGCGTGCTGGATGATAAGCGCATCTGGGGAGACGATGGCAAGACGATTGTGCGCTGAGAAGACTCTGGGTAGTCTGAGGGCACTGTATAACAGGTTCCTGCAGAACGATATGGCGGGGACATGATGGTGTCATCAGACCAAGGGGGTTGGAGAGTGGCGTCCCAAGGAGAGGGATTGTGCGGCTGATAGTCACTGGGCGGGTTGTGAGGAGATCTAGAGACATATTGCTGCCATGCAGGGGGAAGAGGGGGAGGAAGTTGGTGGGATGAGGAGGAGGGATAGGTTGATCTCTCGCTGGGTTGAAATCGACGGTCGGCAAGCATTGGATAATGATCTAAGGACATGGGGGGCGCGCCTGATCGGGGACCTTGGAGCGGAAGTAAATATGGACAACGTGCGGTGACAGCCGGTTGGGGAAAGAGGGCGGGGAGGAGAGGACGGAGTCTGTGAACAGAAAGTGGTGGGGAGAGAGAGACTGTGAGGAAGGGAGGGAGAAGGGAGAAACAAAGGAGGTATTTGAATGGAGGGGGAGATGGTAGAGAACAATATATCGAAGAAATGATACAGCAAAGAAGAAGAAAGTTTTCGCCATCTGGATTGATTTCATGTGGGTGATGTAAACAGCTGGGCTCGATGAAATGGCACGGACACTGCTGAGCCACTACCGAGGATCTCAAGACTGCTTTCATCAGCTGCATCTGCTGGCCGGATCGAGCTCCCCACTCACCGGAGCACACCTATTTTCATTCCACGAATATACCATATACTCGCTTTATTATTTGCCAATATCCCATTTCACCCAGTGACAGTCCATGGGCGCCTCACTCTCCTCCGTCCTTGCCGCACCCGAGCCTGTTTTTCATATCAGAGTCACTTTCCAATTTACTCACTATTGGAGCCACTTTGTGACCAAATCTCTCCTGCACCTCGACATTTGATCCTTCCAGTTGCACGTATTCAAAATTGTGTCCGTTGTGGTTCCAATCAACTAACATCTTTTTGCCTTATATGGCAGTCGTCTCGATGAGATCCGCAAAACCGTCGCCACCCCTGTCAAAGAGCCCGCTCGGCAGCGGTCTTTGCCGCACTCTCGTCCTTTGTTTTTTCCCCGGTATATTCAGTACCTCTCTTCCAGAATCCGGCCGGTAACTACAGGTAAGCATTTTCTGCTCTTTTCCACCTAGCTCAAACAGGAACCGGACCTGAGCATGGCCCTTGAAACTCTATATGTCCTAATCTGACGTGATATCCATGGATCTCTCGACCGGCGGATTCGACCCCTTCTTCAGCTAGTCCATCCAAGTTTGCGTTTCCCTTAGGCCCCCATCGACTCATCCTTCCCGCTTCATTTCGATCCGAAACGAGGCCTCCATACTCTTCCAAATGCCCCATCACATGTTTTGCCTCAGACCATATCCCACTCCACTTCTATCGGATTTACCTTTCATTTCATCATCCATCCATTCCTTTTCTTTCACAAATCCAAGCACTTTTCAATACACTTTCTAACTTACTCCAATCATTGTCAACGTATGATTGGAATCCGTCTCCGCCTCGCACTCCCGGGCCTAACCAAATGTAGCCGTGCCAATATCATAAGATCCATGCGCCTTTCAGTACTAGTTGGATACCGTGACTCGCCGCCCATCTCACATGAACTCAGCTGGCTATAGCCACTCAACCCTCATTTTCCAATTACGCACGGTATTCCTACTCGTGATGAGCCACGAGGAGTACCTTCCCAACTCTTGGCTATTTGGACAAGAGCAGCATCAGTTGCTGCAAGATCGATCATCTCCCAGTGAATCCTCGCCGCTGAGCCCACGTTGACGAAAGAACTGCAGATATTTTTCCTTCCAAAACCTTCGTATTATCATACTTTGAGCACGTCATACAGCGTTAGCTTGTTTCAACTACCGCATTCTACTTCATCAATGCTAACCGAGCACACTACAGCTTTTCTCTATTGGTCGGAATGTTCAATCACCCGTTCTACTCCTGTAAAATGAGCAGTACAAGCACTAGGGCGGCATATCGTCGGCGTCAATCTTCCGTATCAAACTTTCAGTATCAATTTGTCTAATTCTCCACTTATCACTCATTTTCTCCTTGTAGTTACTCCAAACCCTTGCCATGTCACAATGTCACAACGTCACAACACATATCTCGATAAACAGTCACAATCAACTTCCATCTCTGCGCGTTCCGTGCCAGTGTTGTCTGATGAAAGCTCGTTCAAATCATGCAATGCTTCTGATCCTCGTCGACTCAAGCGGATAGAGGGCTCACAGATTGCCCTTATCTCCCGCGCCGCATCTAATCTCCAGCTGCGGCGCCATACTCGAAAGAAATCTAAATATGCGATAGCAAGCATTTGCATCAAGCTTATCCGTCCCAGTAGATTGGTCCCCGAGATGAACCAGAACACGACGTACTTTAGGTTTTGCTGTAAGCTCCTGACGTTACTAAGTTGTCGGGCAGGGGTCTGGAAGCGCCACATTTGTGCTTCTACCTTGCCTTGCCCAGAGTCTATTTACAGGTTGTTTTTCGCTAGACAGATACTTTCAAATGAATATTGAGTGTCATTCTTGAGCTGTGGCCAGATCTCTTCTCTATCACGGATCTTCGGCTCTCTGACCGTGCTGTGGGCATTAGATTTTCAAAACTCATCACCCCAAATAAAGTAGGGGTGAAACCGTATCGTCAACTCAACCACAGGGCGGAAGATCGAAGGGGACACTCGGCAGCCGTCTTCCCCGTGGAAGCATGAAGCATGAAAGGACATATCATGACGCGGTGCTAAGGGTCACTTTCATTCGCAGCTCATCATGGGGGCTGATCCTGACCTCGAGCATTGGCTACTGCTGACAGCCGAAGACGTGTTCTTTGGGTACAGCGCCAATGATAAACTCAGGAGAAATGGCGCTATGCCTCGGCGCCCCAAGTCCCACAGAACTATTTCGTGTAGAGGTAAGGACCCCACATTGCCGGTGTGGTGATACAAATCCTTTTTCTTGTTCGTTCTGAACCTGCTGGTGAGTGAGTGATCCCCCTAAAGCCCTTGTAATTGACTCGAGACCGGCAGTATAACTACCATTTGTCGTTCTATGTGGCGTTTTAAAACCACTCACGATCTTATAATCATGGGAATGCCCAGGTTCTAGGTCGACGACCGAAACAACGAGGTTAAGATTATATTGATCAGCTTTCGACATAAGGGTAGAAGCTCAACGGACACTTACAAGGTTTCAGCGTGCATGTCGGGCGCCACCATCGCAATAGTTCATACCATCCTAGTTTGTTACATTGTTCTTGACAGGTAAAACGTGTACCATGACCTATTTATGATCCTTTTAATAATAAGTTCCAGACAAGCAGGTCTAGAGCAAGGTCGGATGGTTAACGCGGCCTTACACGATCAACTTACTAGCAAGTGGGCAACAACAGAGGTATTGCCGTGGTAAAGTGCGTAGAAAGAACCAGCAATTTACTTCCAGCGTTCTTCTCGCCTGGACTACCGCTGTGTACGAAATGTTTGTCATTTGAGGTTATCATAGCTAGTAACGATGTCACTGGAGGCCGAGGATCGAGGGGTCCTAACGTTACTTCTCAACGATCATCCGCAGAAGCATTGCCAACAATACCTATGAACCCTGACTACCAGAAACAAAAAGTGCTGTCTTCCTGGTCGGATCCGTTCGCTTGCTGTGTACGTATAGTCCATTAGGGCCATACACGCTGAATGAGAAAAAGCATGATTATAGATCAGCGGCATCCCTTATAGCAACTTCATACTGGGTGGTGTTAAGCTCGTTTTGGAATTTCGCGTACCATAAGGTAGCGAGTGTACCTGTCGATGATCGTCGTCAGACCCCTCGTGATTGTTCTGGCGTAATTCGGCCACAACCCAAATATCCAATTTCTGGACAGGTCGGGTTTTTCAGGGTACACGCCATTGTTAAAGACGTGTGTATAGACGGCACACGTATTACGGATGCCGGCTTCGAGCTGGAGCTGAAGGATCTTCCAACCGGTTGTATGTGTTCAAGTTCCCAAAGATAATGACAAAAAAACGGCTTTAGAATAGTGCAAAATCTAGATGTCAGTCCCAATCAAGGTACCACTTCTTTGTGCCATGAGTCGGAGCCTCGGAGAGACGCACTCCTTAGGCAACCGTCCAGCAAAACACTAAGGCGAACAAAAAGTTTTTCAGCATTGGGGGAGAAGAGAGCCGGTTGACTGAGACGCTTCGCGCTGGAAGCTTGTCGAATGATGCTGCGGACATCCGCGGGTTATCGTTGTCATCTGTCGATGTCGACGCATTTGGGAGGCCGCCAAGGTCCGACGACGTCGAGGTTTTAGGGGATCAGAAACGTTTGACACCCTGAGATCAGGGATTAGGAGTCGCAGGGGCAACTTCGCAGTACAGCTTTGGGATTTCAAAGTGTCGTGGGGGCATTGCAAAGATGGTAGCATGGCAACATCAGTGTCAGGTTGTAGGCACACGGCCATGTGTATGACCGGAAAATATCGTGCTCGCTGTTATCGATTTCTTCAGGAAATGATTTAATCCGTATGTTTACGAGCTAGCATCGCCGCGGCGAGGGAAGTTCAGCCAACTGTCAAAATACGCCATGATCCGTAAGCTGCACACAGATTACCAGTACCATCAACCACAAGTGATAGACATCGACGCAAGAAGGAGAGGACCAACCAAGCCTTCCGCCGAATGAAGATTGACTTGATACACAAAAATATTAATCTTACCGGTGGAGTAATTTGGATACTATTTTAGGTAAGAAACCTGTCCCAAGCACATGACGACGAAGATAGAGGGAACAAGACGAAGTTTCCTCGATGAAGTTCGGCCTAACTATCCCAATAGTTGAGCCAAGAAAATCGAAGACTGGCTGAATCAGATTGAGACTTGGAGCAGAACTGTAGTTGACGAGTAGCCACTCTTCCGCAGTACCTCTGACATCCTTACCAATTTCAGCAAGTCAGCATATGTAACTCGATATAACGTTGGAGAAAGGCACTGTCCTGAAAGTGGTTTGGTATTGCCGGTACATGCGCGTGAGTCGCCGACGACGGGTCTGCTGACGGTGGGCTAGAATGCTCCGCAAAAAATTTGTCCCAGGCAAGCTTGATTAGAAAGAATGTCACGGCATACTAAACATTTTTTAGATTCAAAATATCCACGGTACACTTCTATGAACTCACTTTATGATTACATTTCAGGTCCTGACACATTTCATATCCTATTTAGTCCCTCGATGTGATGCTCTTCACAGCAACTGTATCAGGAAGGATGCTGTCGTCTGTATGGATTTAGTTTAATAAAGGGGCCAAGATACTCAAATTCCTTCCCAACCATATCAGATAACGAGCCATGTCAAATTAATCCTTGAATGAACTTGCTGAGCACGTAACCCGAACCTCATGAAGTAGTATAGACCAGCGATGATGGCACTGTTATGTGAATCGGTAAAAGTCAGATGCGGCGTTGATTACAGGTAGGCTACAGCCACAGTATATCCAAAACGCCGCATGATTCGGGAGTTGAAGGGTATGTGGTAAGTTCACTATTTGGGAAGTTGGGAATCCCTCCGAGTCTAGAGTGGCCGGTTCTGTAAACAGGTTGCTCATGATTTCAAAAATGGAGCGGCAGAACCAACTAGCTGCATAGATTTGAAGGTATTGGGCGGGACGCCAACCATCACCAATTGAAGTTTGGACTATTTATTCATTGGCTCGAGCGCATAATTCTTTCGACGGCGATACCACTTCGGGCGAGCCCTTATTCATGAGTTTGATACCTATGCATTTGGAGGAGATGGGTGGAGCATAGTAGACTAAACACATTGACTCAGTATTGAGAACCCAAGCATTATTCAACTACGATCTAACAAAAGGGCTTTGACTCAGCTTTCCGTATGGATTTCATTTCCGCAGCAACTTCTCGAGTGCTTTTCCCAAAGGAAGCGGCGAAAGACACAAGCTGAAAGTGAAAGGAGTGTCATTGTACCCATGCAAGACGTAACCGCTCCTGCCGAGCTCTTCATGAATGTAGCGTTCCCAGCTATGGAATGCAATTTTAGAGATAGAAGCACGATATCTTTGTCCCAAGGAAATGCTTAACTTCCTTGACAACCCCTAAAGGCCTAGAACATGCCAAATACACAACCGAGGGCGATGGCCTCATGCCACACAATCATTCGACGCTTAATTTTTGTAGGGACGTTCAGGGTAACGTCTAAAGCCTGGTCCACATTCGGAAGTGCATTGCAAGAGAACACGCTGCATCATATACTCAAGTATCAAGATTGATGGGGACACACTATAACACACCTTCGATATAGGGCTTCCATACTTGGTAAGGTTCCTCTGCTGGTTATCCTAATAGGGCCAAGGATAAAATACGAGACTTAGTCAGGAGGAGACCAGTCACTGTCGTAACTGAAGTTAGTACAGCTAATATATAAAAAAAGGCATCATGGCTTTCACGAACCTGTTCCGAGACCTTGGATCAACTAGAGGAACGAACAGTTATTCTTTGTATAATCCTTGTGTCCTGCTGGTGGTTATTCGTTTCATCGCCTTTGACTTGAAGCTTGGCGTTAACAACTGTACTGTGATGCAACAAGATATACGCATACATCCATCTCTTTCTACTAATTTTGATCGTCTGCCTCAACACATTTTTCGTGGAATACGTTCTGAGTGAGCGAGTGCAGAAGTATTTCTGCCCAAGGAACTTTGAAGAACTGGATCTCACTTTGGCAACAGTCCTTTACCACATTCGATGTCTCTCACCGTATCTCGTGTTATGCAGATTCCGGTGTGTATTCATTGTGGTGTGGGACATATATAATAGATAGGTAAGCAAAGTGGTAAAAGGAGTCGACTGAATAATACCAATTTAATTGTATACTCCTTTTTGATCTTCTGATCTGCTTGCCGCCATGGGGTGCGTGATGGAAATTCCGGCCAGCGACACTTTCAATTCCGGAACGAAATCCAACTTTTACCAGGGTCGTCAACCTTCAAACTGGACGACCACATCTCTTGATCCCTTGAGATAAATCAGCGAGAAGATATATTAGCGGCATTCATATGTTTGTGACCAATTAAAGACTCTATTTTCTTCCAGACGTGGCTGCTCGACTATTCACCTGAGTGCTGTGACTGGTGAGATAAGGGTTACCAGCACACCTAAGTAATTTTTCTAGGGATTTTGAGGAATAGTGCCATTATCGTGAACTTGCCGATGAACCTGAACCAATGAAGTTTTTTTTGGCGACTGAACCGTCTCTTGGAGCGGAGTTCCGGTAACACCCAGAACACTTCCCGCTGTCGCGGAGTAGCAAACGGCGCACATATCCAAGTCAAAAAGTTCGAGACAAGGCAGCATTGTCTGTCTGTTTGTTTGCATGAGACCATCGAGCTTACAATACAATACAGTGGATCAGGTCGCCGATATTGATATTAGTTTATATCTGGTGTACCAGTTTAAACGGGGTCGCTTGCCCCCCCACAACGATATCTTGAACAACAGTAATGGTCTTTTATCGTGCCATCAGAAAAGTAACGCGAGGAGGATATCGGTTTAAATATATGGTAAACTGAATAACTTGATGTATTGCTTTAAAGGATAACCTCTCCTTCTTTCGTCTATCCCCTCTGCGAGAATGAAGGATCCGACAACGTCGTCACTAAGGTTAGGCATTGGGGAAAAGTAGAACCACGGTCTTTGATTCGGAGCGACCAGAAAGTAGATGTTTAACTCAACGAAGCCTGCACTAATCGCTTACCAGATCTATCAACACGTTGGCGAGCATTGGCAAACCTCGTGTTTGGTGCTCAAATGGAAGCATCAGCTCACAGGAATACAAATACAAAGCGTGACGAATCACTCCTAAGTTGTGGTATTGTGCATAATACAGTGTTTGTAATTTCGACCGCGCAGCGATGGAGCTAATATTATGATGGTCTAGGATTATGCCATAGAGGACTAGGCCAAGGAGTCGATAACAATTGCGGCGTGTTCTCATTGTCCTAACACCGTGTTTCGGTCATGGACGATGCATGGACACCTGCCAGTGATTGTGTGCAACGAGCACCATAAGGATACGAGCACCATGACTGTGATGGCATTTGAGGCATGTACGTACATTCATGAAAAAAGGGAGTGAATCGGCGTAGATTTTCGCGTCATGCTTAGTAGCTTCTGGAGGGCAGGGCTCGATTACATAGCATTTCGGCTTCACGATTTCTATTCAATTTACTGTAAATTGAAGTGGTAGGATTCTTGACGTGCACAATCGTAGTAATTATGTGTTATGCAAGTGGAAGAATCGCGGACGAATGACTATAGCCAAGGTTTAAAGACAGATATTTGATATTCGTCAGTCGGTCTGGCTGAAGATTGTAGTGCTCAATGTACATTTCCAAGCATACGGTAGTAAGGGCGGTGACTGCTGCGGTACCACGAAAAGCTGTCACCTGGCTGCTTCCTTACTCAAGCTACATGCTCGACAAACCGTGATTTTCATACAGCCAGGGCTTAAACTGCTATCTGGAATTCCGTCTTAGCACGTTTATTCGCTTGTGAGATTGCAAAAGGGTTGGTCGGGCAACACGGCTACTTTACCACCTTAGGCGTTGCATCATCTCCTCATGCTTGTCGAGGTTCTAAGGCCGAGGGCACAGGAAGCAGAGTAGTGCTGTGTGACGATATAACCAGCATTCGGCACCGTGGCGTATTACACGGCCTTTTTCAGGAAGTGGCAGTCGCCAGCTGGGGATTTTATTAACGCTGGGTCCTATCACCAAAAAAGCGCATATCCTGAAACTCGCTTCATTGTTAGGTTTCTTAATGACCATGCGGTTGCAAACCGCTTTCATTTTAGGATATTGGAGTGACTAAAGGGAAACGATGGAGGCCGCGGAACAACTAGAAGGGAGGCATATCAATGATAAAAACGTCGAAGCTGTTCCCATAGGAGGCCAGAACGCGAGTTACGCCACGTCATTTGAGGAGGTGTGATAGTGGCAGAGTTGCTAATAGGGTACCAAAACGTCGGATTGCTTTTCTGACGGGTGTGTACCGTAATGCAAGATTGCGGATAGGTACGGAGTGAACGGCTCAGAAAAAACCCAGCGGGTATAGCGCTGGAATGATAACCGGATGTTGATAGTGGCCCGACAAACTGCCCAAGTCAACTGATCAGCAGTAGCTCGACAAGGAAAAATGCTCGACACACCGATGCGTTACTGACGCGCAAATGTTATGCCATATGGTATGGCGTTCATTGTCCATCACATTGTCACGCCGCTATCACCGTAGACCCCAGACGGCGCAATGCCATATTATTCCTGTGATAACTGAATTTTATTAGCCTCATTATGCACCCGCAAGGCCGCGTTATTGGAGTACAATTTTCAAGCAAAATGGTAGAACGCAGCGATTAATGTCCGGTATTACCAAGCATTCAATGCAAATTATACATGAAAACTCCTAACGAGGAGCCACTAGATAAACCAGATCATGGCTATGAGAGGGCAGTGAATTAGTAAATTCTACTGCACGTTTGCACACGACTCACTAGTACTATAGCGCTTTTCTGAAATGTATAGGTACTGGAACGATACACCTATTTTCGGGCCGTTTACGACGTGTTAGATGATCACCTGCAGATGTCAAGAATAATAACGTGACACTGAAGCACCACTCGGGCGGGTCATAAATCTCCGTACAATTCAAACTCCCACGGAACTTTACCCCCTGGACCAGAGTCACTGAACCATACCCTCCTCAGACGACAAGTAGCGTATATTTTTAGGTACGATATGTGTGAATAAGCCCCACTAGGCGCATCTGCTCTCCTCGAGGAAGACGGTGAGCCTTGAATATCGCTGGTTGCATAGAGGGAGGCAAGGGACCGAGAGGAATAATGGGGAATAAGAGAAGAGATATTAAGATTGATGATTGTCCACGCAGTGAGAGGTCGAGAAGACGAGATGGGAAATGTTAGTGGCAATAGTAATATTGGCGGAGAAGAATCCATTTTGACTCGAGGTTCTTTCTGCGAAAATAGATCGTAAGTTGAGGAGTTATGGTCATGCCTCTGACAAGGTGGCATAGTTTTAAAGTGGCAGAGAAAAACATGGTGGAGAAAATTTAAAAGCGACCAGAGTGGCAGGGAAACTATTGAAAGCACCTGGAATGTGGAGCAGCGCACAACACCTTCTCGTCCGGCCCTATCGACCAAACCAACTTCGAAAGAGAATTCTCTTCCCATGTTGCGCACTTGAAGGTGAAGCCATTCATGTTTCATGCCAAGATCCGCACTTAGATGACGCACACTTCTGCCATTTGGTGAAGTGGGTGGAGTCCGTATAAAAGTTGTTGGGAGAGAGGGAGACTGGATGTGGAGCACGGTCTGGGATAATGAATAGCCAGAGGTTACCGATTCGTCATGCGCCTCCTGCACAAGGAGCGGTGGAGCAACCAGCATGGCAGGAGGTGAAGGGTGTGGGAGTGATGTATCATCGTTCAACAAGTGCACAAACGAGTCAGACGGAAGGGCACGATCAGTGTGAACCGAGAAAAGGCCTAGCGGGTCGCTTCCAGTCGAAGAAAACAAGGACACCACATTAGGCTGGACAGACTGAGAGAACATGCAAAGAATATAGCTCAAAATCGTGGACCAGAATGCAAAGACGTTCAAGAACTACTACTAGTAGTACCGAAAGATCATCGGCGCGCTAGATTTAGTCAAACCAGTGGCGCAGCATTGCTAACGTAATGCTCGGCTAGTCTGTCAACTGTCATTTACTTCAAGTGACTATAATTTAGTATAAATTTCAATGGCAGCGCTTGCCATCAGTTGAAGTTTACATTCATTCATATTCGTATTGCACCTCGTATTGCAGGTCACCGCCAGTCTGCGAATATTACTATGCTTAGTGGCAGTTGAAAGACATCAAAATTCTTATCAGGTCTTATTTCACATAGCAACGATGGCTTTCTGGCAGTTGAATTGGAAAAAGAGCTATTGCAAGTTATCTGTGCAAGTCGGAGGTCATACGGCAGTCCTGACTTCTAGAAAGATTTCTGATGGCGGCCAACTTACGAGTTACGGACATTAAAACATACGGTATCGGCGACTACTTAGCATCAAATCTGATCCCCCCACAACGCAACCTAGGGAGCGTTATCGCACCGATAGCGTCCTGTTTTTTTTATACCTCCGAACAACATAATTTCCTAGTGGTAATTTAAAACAGTATGACAATCTCATCCATTACAGTAACTTTTGCTTCCGTTGAGTACAGAAAAATAAGCAAAGATTGGTCTCCATGCTGGTCACCAGCAGAAATCAAGAAAATCACTTGCCACTTTTTACTGCTTGCAATCGTGAAGTTCTCCGCAAGAGGAGGTAGTCACTCTTGTCAAGAAGTTCACGATTGCACTCACCACCTCCTCTGGCGCTTCTTGCTGCACCCAGTGTCCCGCATCAGGAACCAAAACGAAACTGCTATCATCTGCACCCAACATAAGCTCTCGCATCTTTTTCTCTGCCCCAGGAACCTGGTAAATATTCCAATCTCTCGACCCCGCGATGAAAGCTGCAGGAACTCCTACTCGACGACCAATGAGTGCACATACTTCATCGGACCATTCGGGCGATGTGGGTGCGACCATGCTTCGGTAGTAGTTCAACCCGCCTTGGAATCCAGTACGCCGATACTCGGTAGCGTATACCGAGATTTCTTCATCAGAAAGCCATCCCTGGCTCGTCAAGTCCACAAATGACGTAGCGATCTGAGCGACAACTTCAGGCATATTTGCATGCAACGGCATGACATAGTACTCTGGAAGGTGTAGCAGGTCTTTCGCAAGCTCTTCGATGGTTACTGATGGGGATGAAGCGTGGGGTAAAGGATGAGGTTTATTCCCCACCCAGCTACCACTTTTTGCATACATATACGCCGAGAAGAAAGCTTCAAGTCCTTCTGGTGGGGCCTGCAGGTCAACGCCTGCGTGCCGGGTAGAGAAGTAGTGCGTGTAGTGCTTGTACGGAGGAGTCAGTCCCGCAAGGGCTGTGGCGATGGACGAAGCTGACGAGCTAACTGTGTCATTGTATCTGGCTCCAGAAGGTGATATCTGGTCAGGTATAGCAGACGAGCCAATACCACCAAGGGTGACCCCGTGAATGGTGCACTCAGAAATACGATGGATTTGATCATATCTGGATAGCTGATAGCAAAATGTCCCGCCACTCGAGAGCCGAAATCGTGTTCTACCAGTAGTGCAACAGACTGGTGTCCCAGGGCATGTACAAGAGCTTTGATGTCTGCTGCGATATTAAGGATATGGAATGGAGCGAAGGGTTCGTGGTAGCTAATCGGACGAATAATTCCACCTTCAAGCTCGTCTGACTGGGACTTCCCTGACGAATCTGGCGGCGCAGAAGTTTCTGGGCGAATAATGGACCTGGCGACGGTTCGCCCAAATCCACGCAGGTCGGGTGCAACGGTATGGTATCCCTCATGTGCATCGGCTAGGGGTCCCATGATTTTTCTCCAAGAATATGCGAGCTCTGGAAAGCCGTGCAAGAGAAGGATCAGTGGATATGTTGTCTGTTCTGTAGTCGCCGTGTGTTTTTCTGGGAATGTTTCAAGAATATGCATTTCGAGATCGTTCAAATTCAAAAGTCTGGAATTAATTCTAGGCGCGAGACCTAGCCATGTTTGCAGTGGCTGCATTCAATTGGGACGAGTGAGGTGTTTATGGACGGCCTAGCTGAGCACTCTGGCTTGGGGATGTGCGAGTGTGCGGCCATGAATCTATACTCAAGAGGTATATATAGCGATGATCCCGCAGTTATGTTAAGGACCTCGGTGATATGCCGGCCATGTGTGCATTCTGCAAGTTGGCCGTGCCTACGTGGGTAGAATTTGTGGATTTCTAGAATTTGAAGGCGACCCAGACTTCAGAAGAGAGCTTTGTCGTAGGAAATTGGCCTCAAAAAGTAACAAAGCCCAAGGTTGCACAATTTTATTGGAAGAAAAAAGAAAAGAGTGTTTCCAGAACAACTCGGGCACTAAAGCTGTTCTTGTTTCGTTTAATTCGTAATACTGTCGGGTGCGCGTCTAGCTTGCGCACCCCTTTCAATAATAAAGGTACCACGATATAGATATAAACTGGGAGTAGTCCATAAGTAATTTATAAAGCTGGCATGATGCATTCAGAATAATCACATTCATTCCTGGACAATAGCTATTGATATTGCATGTACAGTCCAGTGTTGCCGTCTGTATTCGGAGGATCACCGATAGAAGAAAAAGGCAGAAACAACGATATGCATACCAACCACCAGAGAGCCAAATAAATATACCTCGACTCGGGCTTTAGCTATCTTTCTAGACTCGGTTCCTTATATGGTATAAAACCTTCACAAGTGCTGCGACCACCTCACATGGGGCTTCCTGCTGTACCCAATGTCCAGCGCCAGGAATCAGAACAAACCAGTCCTCTATCCCACCGCGCATGACTTGCCGCATGGTCCTCTCAGCTCCAGGCGTCTGATATATGCCCCAATCTTTTGCACCTGCGATGAAAGCTGCAGGAACTTTCACCTGAGACCCAGCGAGCGCTTCTGCTGCAGACGCCCATTTTGTTGGTGGAGCTGAAGATGAAGTCATATTCCGATAATAATTAAGTCCACCCTGAAATCCCGTGCGTCCGTATTCTTGTGTAAAGATGGCAAGTTCTTCATCGGATAGCCAAGGGCAAGGCGATGAAATAGACGACAGTGGAGCAATCTCTGCAATCACTTCAGGCATTGTCATGTGTAATGGCATCACGTAGTAATGTGGAAGAAACGCCAAGTCTCTGGCAAGGGTGTCTACTGATAATGGAGAAGTTGAGGACGTCGAAGATGGCAAAGGATGCGGATCATTCCCAGGCCAATCACCACTCTTTGCATGGAAATATGCACGAAGAAAGGCGTGTAACCCTCCCTGCGATGTGCGCATGTCAGAATTTGCATTACAGGATGAAAAATAATGTGTATAGTGCTTTCGTGGGGGAGCGAGTGCTGCAAGAGCAGCGGAAAGGGGGGTTGAGGGAGGTGGCGCAGATGTTTTATTGTCATCAGCACTGGGGCCACTTCTTGAAGACGTCGAAGGTGACAAAGTACCAATGTTACCGGCGACTCCAGTGAATGGTGCGCTCATAAACACAACAGACTTCACTAATTTTGGGTAAGCAACCGCACAGTGTCCAGCCACAAGCGAGCCAAAGTCATGCCCAACCAGCAAAGCTACGGACCCATAACCCAGAGCTTCGACAAGCGACCGTATATCTGCGACAATGCTAAGAATGTGGAATGGTGCAATAGATATAATCTATTGTACGATTGCCTTCGATGAGGTCGATGGAAGTCATTATATTGGATGACGTTGGATTTTGCGGAGGTGTCAGGGAAGTAGTATTGCTGACTGTTCGTCCGAAGCCACGCATGTCTGGAGCAACAACATGATATCCTTCATGCTTTTCTGAAAGAGACACCATGACCTTTCGCCAAGAGTAAGCAAGTTCGGGGAAGCCATGCAAGAGTAGAATCAAAGGATGTTTGTTAGCTTGATTGGTGTGTTGCGGAGTCCCATGTATCTGCTGCGCGGGAACAACTTCTAAAATATGCATTTGTAGATCATTGACATTCAACAGACGAGACGTGATTTGAGATGTAAGACCTGGCCATGCTGGCGGGGTTAATTCAGGTCGAACTGGCGAAGACATTCTTGGTTATCGGTATTTGGCGGATCCTGTTACCAGCGGGCCCGTCGTTAATCCGACATTATAAATCGGATGTTATCACTAACGCACTCGATGTACCGTAGATACTTGAATGAACTTCACGGTACTCTTGCGATTGCGGTGACTTTACAACGCCGATACATGTGTCCTACGACCATACATGAGCGCTGAGCGTGGGAGGATGTGGTCAGCTGACACAAAATCTGCATATATAATACTGGCACATGCCGTTCTCTTATGCGTCGAATGAGAGATAGAGTTTGGACAGAACAAGTTGGTCGTAAGGCAGCCTCAAGAGAGGTGCTAGGAATCAATCCATCACATGGCTTGTAATCAGCGGAAAAGTGTACTGATAACATATCATAGAACTAAACGTACGGTACCACAATACACATTTGTCGAGATATGACAGTCTCGATCTTTGACACCGACAATATGCTGGGCATATCGCTCATAGGCTATATCTGTCATGGCTCACAAAGTAGATACATAGTAGTATCGCCAACTGTCAACTTATTTCCGTAACGCCACGCACGTTCATATGTTTCATTGTCCACAGAAAACCTGGCAAAGTATACTTCATCCCTTGAACAAAGTAAAACTGAGTACAGAGATAACAATACGAGGCTCGACTCACGAACTCATCCATGAATAAATATAGAGTCATAAACAGCGTTTCAACTTACTCATGAAAAATCACCACCAATCAAATCGTATATTTAGCAAACGTGCTTGCAGCTATGTTTAGTGTTATTGTATAGTTCGAATCGACGAGTTATTACTTGTCAGGCGAACGGTGATATCGTTAGCGTTGCGTATTGTAGCGGTTATCAACACCAGCGTGGGTAAAGGCTACTTGACGCCGTTAGAAAATACGGACCAAGTGAAAAACCGAAAGGAACGTTCCCGAATGACGATCAAATTGACAAGGGGAAGCGATGCGCTGAGACTTGGAAAGCTGTGGCGGTGAAACGCTGGGAGGAGTGCACAGGTAAGTAAATTTACAACACTGCTCGGCCACAATAGCTTGGGCACTCACTATTTCGCATATATAGTTAATAACCTTACACGTCAACAGTGCGTTTTAGAAGATAGTGCGAACGGTGAACCAAGCCCGCGACCGAGAAAAGAAGCGGCAGAAAGCCTTTTATTTTGGCATCCAGACCATCTTCGCTTACCGGTGGATAAGGATGGTTTGAATACCAAACGATAGTCACTGTTAAGTGTAACTGAGAAATAAAATGCAATATTCTGTCATAAACCATGATGAACGAGATGACAGAAGGGACTAAGACATAGTAACAAGGGCTTGGTAGCTTCACGACGAGGAGAAGAAATGCGGCTGTACTTTCCCAGTGACTTTCGAAACCGAGGCCGGTTTTGCTGTGCAGGCGTATCGATTGTGTGTTGTTGTTTGTTTGTACAGGCCCTCAGCCCAAGATGGAGTACTTATAGCTCACTTCTCAATCCTTCATTCCTCTCTCCTACATCTCCCTCCATCGTACATCCCAATCTTCACAAGTATGTATCTCTCGGAGCGCCGCCGTGTTCAGCGGTGTCGACATATGCACGAAATACTTACGATAGTGCACTCCTTTTCATAGACTCTCCAACTCAACACGCTTCTATAATGTGCGGCATTTTTGGTTATTGCTCGTACCTACAAGAGAAAGTGAGTAATTCAGCCTATGCAATTTGTTATGGTATCGCGTATATTTTCATTTCCCCCCACATGTTATATGTGGGCGCATATAACCATGCTCCTTGATAAGGCAGTGCCACATACCTAATTTAGTAATAGGAACCCATTTTTTTTGCCCCTCTTCGTAACATGTATTCTGACTTACACTCACATAGGACCGCAAAGAAGTCCTCGAAGTTCTCTGCAATGGGCTTGCGCGTCAAGAGTATCGTGGATATGATTCGGCTGGTCTTGGTATAGATGGCGATAAGCCAGGCGAAGTCGTTTACTTCAAGGAGGTTGGCAAGGTCGCAGGCTTGCGCAAGCGCATAGCCGAGTCCAACATTGACACTACGAAGTCATTTGTCTCACAGGTGTCTATTGCTCACACTCGGTGGGCCACCCATGGTCCCCCGTCCTACCACAACTGCCATCCTATCCGTTCAGATGTCACAAACGAGTTCATGGTTGTTCATAATGGAATTGCTACCAACGCGGCAGAGCTCCGACAGGTCCTCCAGAAGCGTGGCTACAAGTTTGAGTCGGACACCGACACGGAGGCAGTCGCTATTCTCACTAAATATGTATACGATTCCCAGCCCAACAAGCGTATTACTTTCACAGAACTGATCAAGACCGTATTGAAAGAGCTGGAGGGCTCCTTTGCGTTTGTTTTCAAATCTGTCCATTATCCGAACGAGATTGTCACTGCTCGTCGTGGTTCGCCCCTTCTGATTGGTGTCAAAACAGAAAAGAAACTCAAGGTCGATTTTGTTGACGTCGAACTTGCTGGACCTGAAGCTGAAAATAAAACAGTCGATTCGCGTAAGTATATTATAATGGATTTTCGTCTTGTTTTTGATGTTGGTTTTAGTTGCACCCTCAGGCCCATCCGCCTTACTGGCTCCTCCTACAGGCCCAAAGATCCAGCGTACTCAGTCTCGTGCGTTCATGTCTGAGGATGGCCTTCCCCAACCTATAGAATTCTTTATCGCCTCTGACGCCTCCGCTATTGTTGAGCACACTAAACGCGTCCTTTATCTTGAAGATGATGACATTGCCCATATTGCCGAAGGTCAGCTACATATTCACCGACTCCGTCGTAACGAAGCTGGTGGCCCTCCTACTCCTGCTACACGTAGTATTGAGACACTGGAGATTGAGATCGCTGCGATTATGAAAGGAAAGTTTGACCATTTCATGCAGAAGGAAATCTACGAACAACCCGATTCTGTTGTGAACACGATGCGTGGACGCGTCAATTTCGACTCGAGCCGAATTACTCTTGGTGGATTGCGTGCTTATTTGCCGATCATGCGTCGTGGCCGAAGAATTGTATTCTGTGCGTGCGGAACGAGCTATCATTCCGCTCTTGCTACGCGCGCGATTTTTGAGGAGTTGACCGAAATACCCGTCAGCATCGAGTTGGCTTCTGATTTCTTGGACCGTAAAACCCCGATTTTCAGGGACGATGTTTGTGTGTTCGTGAGTCAGAGTGGAGAGACCGCAGATACGATCTTGGCTCTGAAGTACTGTTTGGAGCGTGGTGCATTATGTGTTGGTGTCGTCAACACCGTAGGCTCAACAATCTCTCGTGAGACCCATTGTGGTGTGCACATTAACGCAGGTCCTGAAGTTGGTGTTGCGTCAACAAAGGTGGGTCACTTGATTATCACCGGTCCGTCGTGTGCTAAACACTAAATACGCAGGCATATACTTCGCAATACATCGCTCTTTTAATGATGGCGCTGCAATTATCCGAGGATCGTATCTCGTTCACCGAGCGCCGCAATCAGATCATCGAGGGTTTGCATGCTTTGCCTGGCCAGATCAAGAAGGTGCTCGAGGGTGACAAAAGTTTACAAGAGTTGGCGACTGGTATCCTTGCTAACTCACGTAGTTTACTTCTTATGGGCAGAGGATATCAGTGCGTGTCGCGAATATCTAATGCGATAGCAGATACTGATTCTGTGCTGCAGGCATGCGACGTGTCTGGAGGGTGCTCTCAAAATCAAGGAAATCAGCTATATGCACTCGGAAGGTATCCTTGCTGGCGAGCTCAAGCATGGGCCCCTCGCTCTTATTGACGAAAACATGCCCGTGATTATCGTGATGACGCGAGACTCCTTGTACCCGAAAGTGCAATCTGCGTTTTCGCAGATCACTGCGCGCAAGGCACAACCGATTGTGATCTGTAACGAAGGCGACGATGGAATTTCCAAGGGAGTCAAGACTATCCGCGTTCCCCAAACTGTTGACTGTCTGCAAGGCTTGTTGAACATCATTCCTTTGCAGTTGTTGAGTTATCACTTAGCTGTAAAGAACGGCTTCGATGTTGACTTCCCAAGGAATTTGTGCGTTCTACTTTCTCTTTACATGCAATGCGAGTTGCTGACTTTATGTTATAATATAGGGCCAAGTCCGTCACGACTGAGTAAATGACAAGTCTCACTCTTCATATTAGGAGATGTTATTCCTTTGAGATGGACGGTCAAAATTACCCTGTACCAGTAACCATGGACTTGATGGACGGTCTCGTTTTTTCCTTTGTATTTCGTGTCATTAGCATACCACCCTTAGCATTGGACTCTTGTTAGCCTCGTTCATTACTACTTCGATATCCCTTACGGTACTATTTACCAGGTCTTCCAACTCTGGAACTGGTACGTTGTTGACGTTGGTGAAGTACTTTAAATGTTTTAATAGAATAAATAGTTTGCATGAACGAGCGTTAGCTGATTCATCGGGCCTAAAGCGTAATAAGCAATAGCAAAGTATGTAAAAGGTATAGTAAAAAGATAACATAATAAATAGATCATTGAGTATCAACACATTTCATCTGCTAATCAATGAGCAGCTGCTCGCCAGGCTAAAATCCCCTTTGACCACCCAACTACTGACCGCTCTGCCTGCCATATCCACCTGTTCCTTGATTATACCCACCCACACCACGCCCCCCTTGCTCCTGACCCGTGCCATAATCCTGCAAAGCGCTTGCATTGGGATTTGAGCCAAGATGCTTGTTATCTGGATGAGCACCTATTCTCAGAGTAAGTATATATAACAGCAGGTAAATGGAAGCTGAAACATGCCATGTGCAACAGCACGTTCACGCCGCATAAGTGCTTCGCGCTCGAGACGCTCTGCTTCTGCAAGCTCCTGACCTTGCAGATTTATCGAATTTGCTTCTCTAAAGGTAGAAAGCGGGAGGTTTAAGGTGCAATTTTACGATTACCCACGTGTAATAACTGCGTACTGTTGTTTCTGCATTCCTTTTGCCTTGAGGGCATTGCTTCCGATCATCGATCCAACAGCATGTTCGACGCGTCCTGTGAAAGCGTGCGAGCCGCCTCCACCGCCACTGCCCTGATTGGCATTTAGCATGTCAGTTGGTGGTATGCCCTGAGCGCCACCTGCGCCTGAGGCACTTGTTCTGCCGGGACCAAGTTGATTAGTCCCTACATTCATATTATCTCCACCACTTGCGCTTTGATAAGGATTTTGACCTGGTAACTACAATATCCAAGTGATTCAGAAGATGAACTGGGGTGAAAGAAATGACAACACGTACGGTATTCCCGCCGGTCGTCCTTGCAAGATTGGGGTTGCTTGAGGGAACTGCTCCTCTGTCCTGAATCTGATCATTTGTTGTGGGTGAATTCTGGTCTCTCTACCACGAGAGATGCCATATTAAATTTCACTACACATTGATGGATTAATGCCTGGAAATACCTTTTTCCCGAGAAGAGGCATTTATTTTGCTTGTAAGTGGTTAAATGTTTCAAGTCTGGAAACAGGAAGTGGACTTTCATCTTATATAACAGCTGAGGAGCATCGTGACGTCTTCGATGACGACGTTCAGACTGCGGAAGCCTAATGGAAACAAGTGTATTATGACCATTCCTAAGGTCACGATAGCTAAACATTTTTGGATGATTGGTGACGTCGAGACAGGCAACGTCAAGTGACCGCACGCCAAAGGTGGAGTGGGTTAGAGGCCGTTGCGTAAATAGAGGTAAACATTATCACGTGCACACCCTCGGCGATCTTGGCAGACTACAGTCACTGGCACGACATATCATGATATGTTGTGTGTGTTGATCAGAACCGTATCGCAAATGTCGTTTCGCTACCGAGCCGTCAGACGAACAGAACCACCGCATAATTTCGATATCCCAAGTGAAACCATGACTGGGCTGGTTCTAAGAATCGTACTCTTTTATGAGTCTGAAACCGTCAACACCAGTATCCACTAGTATGATCTGTCACTGCATGTCATGAACGTTGCGAAGAACATGTTGTGATGCGACTAAAGAAGTTACAGGTAAGAACTGTCCTTATCGAGATCGAGATTGATGAACTTTCGAGTTTATAGCTAACATACTACAATATTATAGGATTTCGCTCAAATCATTGAATAGCGAAGGCTTACTTACCTCTAGGTAAGGCGAAAACGTTCGCTGGTAAAGATTATCGATTTCATGGGAAATAACAAAACCATACGTTGTTCTGCTGTACGTTATGTCTCAGTCATACTCCAAGGCCGCCTTTTGTTTCAACAGGCGAGGTCTCTCAGAGGTCTTCACTAAACCTTCTAGTCCCGTTTTCTGTTGATGTGGTCGACGCGAATGTGGCTCCACCGTAGCGTTTTCTGACTCCGGGCGTGACTACCTTAACCTTGAACCGACAACCCAGCCTCGAAAATTTATAAAGCCAAGTCGGTTCTCCGTCTCTTGTCCTCAGCCAAACTACACTCCATCCCTTCCATCAAACCAAAGCACCAGTTTCTTCCCTCAGAAATCATGTTCGCTAAAGTTGTTCTCGTTTTCACCGCCCTCGCTGCTGTTGTTGCCGCTGGCTCCAGCCAATGCAATGCTGGCCCTGTCCAGTGCTGCAACACCCTCACCAGCGCTAGCAACTCCCAAGCTGCGGGTCTCATTCAACAATTGGGCTTGAGTGGCGTTGGTGCCAATGTCCCCGTCGGAATCAACTGCAACCCTATCACTGGTATTGGTGCTGGCAGCGGCTCGTCTTGGTTGGTTCCCTTACAGTGCTATTAGGCGTACATTGTGCTTACAAAGGTTTATTTTCCCCCAGCAACGCTAACCCTGCCTGCTGCGACAATGTCTACACAAGTAAGATGTTTCTTATACGCTATGATAAATTGAATCTTATGCGCGGTTATTAGATGGGCTTGGCGTCCAGTGCAACCCTATCAATGTCAATCTTTAAGCAGTGGGAATATTCTGCGGAGCGATGATTTAGTTTTTAGGCGTTGTAGTTGAAGGGAGGGGGAGTACGGTGGAGGCTAATACATTCTGGCTGACTCGTAGTATCTCACTTATCACATCACACTATTTTTTTTCTTATTTCCTTTTCATCTTTTAACTTTCTAATTTGGAATTTATCGTTCTTTCTGAGAGTGACGTGCTTGAAATCAAAATTACATCTCTTCTCAACCTGACCTTACATTGGTTTATCAAACCATGAAATCATATAAAATGGCCCTCTGGGGCAGACCTGGACCCGTGGCCACCGCTGACTGCCCATAGGGAGAAGTCTCATTGTACTCTCAAGCTAAATACTCTTGTTCTCAGTAGATGCATAGCCCCTAGTACACACTTTTATTTTATTTTCATTCAATGATTTTATCACGCATAACAGATAGACAGCTCAATTTATGATCAGATCTTCTCCTCATATTACCACACACAAATAAACAAAACTACTGAGCTGAAGGCGCAGCCGCAACCCAACTCTGATGACGTCTGAGCAATTCGGAGATGATGTCCTCCTCTATTTCTTTGGTCCCGCTGGCTGCCAAGGATGGGTCGATTTCTATCCACGACTCGGTGTACTGACCAGCGGAGGTATCAGCCAGAATACCGTCTATTTCAACAGACCCAGTGCCGTCAGGTAAATTCGAGAGAGGGACATGGTTGAAACACGGGGTAGATGCAGGGGAAGAGATCGAGGTAGGAGATAGAGATGAGGGATAAACAAGAACGACGCGATGTTTTCTGTGATGGAGGTCGTTACCGATGACCACTTGGTGACCATAACGCTGGAGAGCCTGTCGTGCCTTTGGGATCAAGAGGGATAAATCTGTTTCCAGCTAATATAAGGAACATGATTTGAGGTGAGATGCGCTGACGGGGAAGTGATAAGCTAATTTACCTTGAAGGATACGATATATCCCTCTCGCGTCCACTCTGCCACCATGGGTTTTAAGACTTTGGGCACTTGATCCATTTCAATATGGAGACTGCCTTTTCCAGATTGTATCTTGTGTTCCGACTGGCAACGACCAAATCGAAAAAGGTGTCGAAAGATGTAAAGATTGCAAATGTGTATTTCGGCGCGCATTCCAAACAATATAGGAAAGGTGCTCACCATTTTTTGCCTTGGCAGAAAAAAGTCACTGACTGCAGCAGCAAGATAATACATTGCATTTCTGCGTAATATCGACATTTCCTGGCTAACTGCACGTAAGAGCCATAGATAATCATTGACGGTTACAAATGTCAGCGTGTGCAATGTGCCTTCTGCGTGTACAGCCTTGTAAGCTGTAAGAACTTGGAGGAGGTCCGGACGCTTTGAAGGCGTGACATTGATCTCGGAAGTTGCGTTCCGTGAAGAGGTGGAGTCAATCTCGAGGAAGTCGAGGAATGGGTTCGTAGAATGCGAATAGTGCCTGCTAAATGGTTGCAGACTGAACTGGCGATGCATGAATATAACTGCATATCCGGCTTTCAGGAAGTATTCCGCTGAAGTCGCTCCTCTAGTTCCTGATAGTAGCAATAAGCGCAGTCAATATCATGATCTGCAGTGGCTACAACGGTAGCGAAATCGTACCGGCACTAAAGTTGTCAAGAAAACGTACACTGAAAAGAAAGGCGGTAAAAAATATGAGCAGGCTGTATAACTTCGCTTGAGTGATGCGTATGACTCGCTCACACGTTGAGCTCTAAAGGAACGGTTGTTCCACCACTCTATGGCAATTAACTACCTTTAGTTTGAGACCTTGGATAAGTAGATAGATACCCTGCTTACTGTGACCAAAACCACTTTTCTCCCTTGCTCGGCCTGCTTCGATATGAACGTTCTCACTCCTATGACATCTGTTTGGAGCGTTGGCGGTGGTGGTTGCGTTGCAAAGTATGATTCTGCAGAGAAAACACTTGGATTGGACATTAATATAGCCGCTGTTGATACTAGTTAGAATGTATGGAAATACTAAGTATCTTTAAGCAACTTTCTCAAGCCTGTGTCGTGTACTATCGATATATCGTACAGTGGTGACAAAGCTTGCTAATCGACGACGACCAAGCAATTAGCCTTATCAGGTAACCAGATTGACAGTGGGTATTCCCGGTCGGAGTCTATACCACGGTGGCCCTTCTATGTCTTTTTACGCTACCATTTGTCAAGGCACTACATGCATGTTAGTTTTTGCAGCTTTGCATGAAAACCGTCAAATCTGCTCTGATAAGATTTCTACTCTACATAATTCTTACTTGGGGTGGTTTTTGCAGTCTGAATTTTGTTGTAAGGCCTTGGAAAATAGCAATGTACTGTAACCAGAGTTTCAATTTAAGAGCTTTCAGTTTCTTTGCAATGCATATTGCATAATTGCCTTTATCTCCACAGGCTTCATGGAAGTGGACACTTACAAAAGAAGCCCTTCACATTGTGACTTCACCGTATGTGACATTAAACATACACAGATGCAGACTTCTTTTGACTTGGACATGTCTCTTGTTGTTCAGTGATTATAGTTGAAGTAGTTGGGATACAAGTATACAAGAAATTTACGGTCTATTCAGGTTTGTTTGTCCACAAAATAAGACATTGCACATACAGTGACTCCAAAAACCCTTTCCATGTTGACTCTGAATGTCATGCATGAAGCATACCATCAAACAGCTTGGGTATTACACTTAGCTTTGCTGGAATTATAAATAGTACATACCCTTGGCTATATAATTGCCCCATAGGTCATGTGATTTGGTTCACATGCTATGGAGATATGGTCAATATAAAACAGCAACACCATGGAAAGGGTTTTTTCACTTTTGAACTGATGACTTGCTAAGGAGTCTCCCTAATCTATTGGGGTATATATACTACTACAGTTTGTTTGTACATGTGTACTATATAGTTGATGAAGGCAGTGGCTGATGATGTCATTGGGCACAACCCGTGTGACCGGCTCCACTGCATGAGATACTTGTAGCTAAAAATAAAGAAACACAGTGCAGCACAAGAAGGTGGAGTCTGTAGTAGTATATAAACCCCAATAGATTAAGGAGACTCCTCAGTGAGTCCTCCTGTTGTTTACCCACAATAAAGTTGGTCCTACCTTAAGGGAGATTATCCTCTTCTCCACTCACCACTCTGCTTGTTCTTATTGTGCACCAGAGTATACAAACTTTGGTTGTTACATTAGGACTCGCTATCATGCACCAAAGTTGATTGGTAGCATGGACAGGTGTCAATAACAAAGCGAATATTCAAAAAGACTCGCCTTTGCACCACACAGGCACAGTGCCACATGGAATAGTAATTAATATTGCCTTTTTCGAACTTGTGGCTGATCAGCACCACCTCTATTAGGCAATCCAGTCACGCTCACCTTTGCTTTTCCATTCGGTACTTTCTGCATTTCGGCATTTCGGCAAATTTTCGCGTTGCCACTGGCTACACATTGCATTGCGCCCTCGCTTTTGTCGTTTCCCTTACTCCCCTTCCTTTGCCTAGCCCCACCATGGGCCCCTTCCTCTCCTTTTTATTCTCACCCGACGGTCGTTTCTGGATCCCCATTCTAATCCACTTATCCGTCACCTCCACCCTCCTCCTCCTCATCTTATTTGCACCCCCACCATTTCTGATGTCACCACTTCCTATCCGCTTCTGTCGCCAATCCGTTGACTACCATGTGCCACTGCTGATATCAGCAAAGCCCCGGCGGCTGGTCCAGATAGGGCAACAGGTCCATCTTCATGACATCGATCTGCCATCATATACTATCAAAACATCGGTCGCTCGTCTTGCCTGGTTGGAGCGTGGGTGGGTAGTTTTTAAGCTGGAGAAGGTTCATCCCCTTGCGTTGCCCATGTTCATTGCTGTCCCATTCACTTGGGTACACTTATCTTTTGTCCATCGTCTTTGCTACAGCTACAGCTATCACACCCTGCCTGGGACTCACTTGTTCCAAATTGGAACTACTCCTCTCCCTCCCTCGTTTGATCAGGTGGTCCAACACAACCAGTCCATTGGTAAGGCCATGGAACTGTCGCATTTGGACTAGGTGGTGGACCGGTGGCTCCAGTTTCTTTTTTTTCAGCAGAACATCCATTTACAGTGCAATTATTTTTGATTTTTGAATCATTTTTATGGACACATATTTTTTAGAATGCCTGACTGACAATAAAGGAACTGTGTTAATACTGATAGTGTTTTGCCTTGCCCTTTTTTTACTGCATCTTCCCATGACATCATGATTTTCCTGCTCTCTTTTTGCTATTGGACTTTACTTTATGGCTGTATAAACCTGTGACATTACTCACAGCATTCATTGTTCTATCCCTTTCTTTTCCTTTTTTTGACAATCTTATCCTGTACTACCTACGCAGGATTCGTCAGCATACATTCCTTCCTTCATGTTCTTTCTCATTCTTTTTGCACGGCTATACTGTGCATAGCCTAATTTTATATAAACCCCTGTATTTTACCTTGTAAAAAGAACAAGAAATCCATTCCAGACTTCTTCTCTAAATTCAAGTTCACTACTCTGCTGCTTGTGATCCAGTGTGGTCACAACACTTCCCACTGCTACCACTGTCCACTGCTGTCATCGTCACTTCCCACTTTTGAAGTCATTGTCATCCTTTTCGATTAGAGTCCTTCTGAGCACTACAGTTTGTGCGTCAGGAGCCTGCTATCACTGGGAACCTCGTCATATTGTCGTTCTCAAACCTACCTTGTGCTACAATTAGCAAGGTAGTGCTCGTCTATACTCGCCACAAAGCCCCTATCTTTCTATATTCCAACTATCCCTCCTCCTCAAAACCCACACCCATACATCTCTGGGTTTGACTTTGAAGGATCCTTATACATACCACCCCACGAACAACCAGAGCACCCACTGTTCTAGGAGGCAAAGCCCATAAACCAGTTCCGTGGAATCTGGGAGGATTGTGTGTTAGTTTGTTTTTGTGTGTGGTTTTCTAACAACAGTTCTCATTATTGACACCGGATAGTTGGGGATTGGATGACATACATAACGGCCTGGACAACAATGCATGGTACAACGTAGCCAGAGAATTAGGAGACTTTGGAGCAGTCTGAACATAAAATGGGGGTAATGTTACGAACTGTGACTCATACGGACTTTATTTCTTCTTTGAGTAGCTACCTACTACTACTCATTACTATTTCCCCCACTGGTTACTCGTTATAGTTTCTCACCCGTTGTCGTTTGTTCAACACAAACACCTACCCTAAAGTAGGACAGTATATATAGCCACTTGTATTGTAGTTAACATCTCCAATACGATTGTACGCTTCAACAGTGCAACTTGGTATCCATATCGAAACCCTTCAGCTACTTCAGAATACGTCTCAAACCCGTTGTCTACGGGCTTATCAGAAACCACTTCCACATCCAGAAACCCTCTTGTTACCAAGCTTGTACATCACAAGCGTAACAGTCAACGCCAAGATCTGTGCACGCATGTTGTGCAACAGAGTGTTGATGTCAGGTTGGCTTTGCGATGACATGTCAACTTGTTTGCTTTGTAATGTAAAGTAAAAAATGTAACTGAGGGTCCCCGCTTGCTATCAGCGGATCAACCTCTTCCCAGCTGAGTATTGGATCTCAATCTCTGACTACACACACTATAGTATTTGAAATGTATGTAAAGTTATAGTAACAAAACCCTGGTCCAAACAGTTGTCAGGGGGTGGTCCGCTTGTTAAGCTGTCAACCCTTCTCCAACTGGCGGAGGCAAATGCCCGGCCTGGACAGAGGTATTCAAAAAGAAGTTTGTGTCTAAATTCTAATCAACAATAGTTCCACACTATTGTTGAGCTACAGTACTCCCCTTAACACTGGGGGCTGTGTATCAACCGTGATTGTCTCTTCTCCCAGAGCACTACGGGGCCGTCACGAAGAGCGCACCATTCTGCTATATGGGATACCCCTAAACAATAACACTATCTCCTTGACCCTGGAGTCCGGGTTTGCACAACGTGCGAGAGAGTAAGAAGAGCGAGTCCTAATGTAACAACCTAGAGTTTGTATACTCTGGCACACAACTAGAACTAACTATAAAGGTAGTGAGGGGAGTGGTTACCCTTAGGATAGGACCAAGTTAGTTGTGGGTAAACAACAGGAGGACTCGCTGAGGAGTTTCCTGGATCCATTGTGGTATATATACTAATACAGAGTGTTTGTACTTATGTACTGTACAGTTGATAAAAGCAGTGGCTGATGATGTCAGAGGGTGCAGCCCATGTGACCAGCCCCACTGCATGAGAGACTTGTATCTAAAATAGAAGGAAGGGCAGCGCTGCGCAAGAAAGGGGAGTTTGAATACAAGGGAAAGTACCGCATGGCACGGAGTGTGAAAACTACAGTAAAAGGTTAAAGTGGAGAATGAAAATAAAAGGAAAGGTCCAAAAATGTGTTATCGTAACACCTTACCCATTGTGCTGGTTGGCTGGGAGTGCTACCCAGTCTCTGATCTGCGATATGAAATGGTATTGATGGTTGAGAAAACCTGTTAAGGCTATGAGAAGTAAAATGGCAAAGGACACTTCTAGCCCTAAAGCCAGAGGTGTAATGGGGAAAGTGTCTGAAAACCAAGACATGGAATGAAAAGGTAGGGAAAAGTGAATGGTCCTTACAATATATACATGTGGTGGCTATATAGTGCTACATAGCAAAAGAGTTTTTCCTGATGGCCTTGTATGATGGCTTTGCTGTTAATTATAAATGCTATACCATGCAGGTGATTATGCAGTGGAAAGATGTGGCTTGCATGTATGGCTGTAATAGTAATACCCAATACAACATCAAAATATAGTTGTATCTGATAGGAGGCTCGTTGAAAAGAGCTCAGTAGCCTAGTGAAAATCACTCAGCCTTTTCTTACAAATGGCTTGCTGGGGGGCTGATAAACCCTTGGTCATATGTGTGCAAATTCACCCTTGGTAAAGGTCAAAAATCACTCATTTTTTACCGTGGAATTTCATCCATTAATTGAGTGACATATGACCAGTCTGCATTTGACAACCACCAAGTGAATTCTGCCATAAAAGGGTTGATAACTAGCCATTTCTAGCACCATATTTCAAGGTTATGAGCCGCTCCAGGTGATTTCCCCCTAAATTCTGGGTATTTTTTACCAAATTATCAAGTTATTTGTGGTGTGATTTTCACCCACTCTGGGTAACATAGTGATGTCAAACGAGCAGGTTAGGCAGCTAATGTAAGGGCCTTGAAGGGGGGTTTTTTGTTGATAGAAATGGGGCCTCAAAGGCTCCCTCTTGTGCAATGGTCTAGGCTTACATATATCAATGGCATTACCAAATTTGGATACTGACCTTGGGATGATCCGCAAAGATTTATTGATAGTCACGTTTGTCTCTGTCCCCTCCTGTAGAGCTCCATAGAACCATTAGAGACTCTTTCACCGATTGCCATGGACTGTTGCAAAACCCTTAATGGATCGACCTAATTCTCCAAACTATTTTTGCTATCCTTATATAGCATTTTTTGCAGGCCCCTCAAACAACTTGGACGACTATTGACTACTCACTGGACCTCGTGGACACCCTCTCTGACGCCCTCATACTGTCTCCTGCCAACACTTTGGATGGCCTTTAGCCCTCTTTATACCCTCTATAGCGGGTGTCAAAAGGGCGTATAGAGGGTGTATAGAGGGCGTATGGATGCTATTGGAAGGGCATATGGAGGGCGTATAGAGGACTGGAGGGTGTTCAAAGGGCGTACAGAGGCTACTGGAAGGGCATATGGAGGGCGTATAGAGGGCTGCAGGATGTCCAGAGAGCTTATGGAGGCTATTGGAAGGGCGTATGGGGGGTGTATGGCGGGGATATAGCACTCTAGGCGCTCTCTGGACAGTCTTCTAGCCTCTATAAGTCCCTTTGAGAGCATTTGGATACCATTTGTAAGGCCCAGTATGTCCACTTCATAGCCTTGATACTCTCTATATGACCTCTGGGCTCTTGTTAGCCTTGCACACACCCTCCATTGTCCCCTCAACAAAGTCAGAGCATCCAAAAATGTCTTACAGTGGGATGAGAAGTAGTTTGTGAGAGTCTTGAGAGAAGTTGTACTCTTCAAACCTCAGCTAGTCGTTCATAGAGGGTTTGTGGACGCTCGTAAACATATAACACATCACATATATTCTGCTTGTAAATCAAAACTTGAATCTACTAGTCATGTTAGCAAAATGGTAACGAAGCAAACATCAGATCATTGGATAGTGACAAGCCTATTACATCTATTACATGCCCACCAAAGAGCCTCAGTACGGATCATTAGAAGGGCTATCCATATTAGGATAGTACTTTTTCTCATGACGCCCATGTGGATTCAAAAAACGGGACATAGCTTGTTCGTACATTGACTTTTGAGCTTCCAGATGAGTGGTCCATGCAAGTTTCACAATACCGGGTGGGAGGAAGCTGTCTGGTTGTCCTTTCAAGGACGGTATGAGTGCGTGGGCGATATCTCTGACTGCAGGAGGCATGCTAGCATACTCATCTCCTGGGGCCTGGTGTGCAGGTAGTGAACTCAGAAGAGTTTGCAGATTGTTTGAAGGGCTGTATTTGTCTGCATGATATGTAACGGGGCCATTGCGCCTTTTTGGCTTGGGTCAAACGGCTGGAGCAGGCGCTTGAACAGGTGCACTGGGGAAGCTGGGTGCAATAGTGGGAGCCTCTGGAATGCGGGTCCTCAAGCCATTATACACTGGGTGGTCGTGGCTGATCATTTGCAGTGGAGTCCTTGGTGCTGGTCTCGTATGTGGCAGGATATTTAGGGTAGGGAGGTCACTGGGACCAAACTTTTTGCAAGCAGGCAGGGAGGGAGGCGGTGGGGTAATCCTTGCCTTTTTCTTTCCTTTAGATTTTAAAGAAATAGGCACAATTTCCTCTTCATCTAACTCAGATTCGCTAATAGCCGCACCATGAAAATGCTTTGCTGATATGTTTTCAAGGTTGGCACTTGCTTGTACGTCTGCCTTCATCTTTACTGCCAGGGGTTTTCCAGTTGCGGCTTTAGCTTTTGTCGACTTCTTTGGCTGCACGACAACATCATCGTCATTGTCGCTCTCCTCACTATCAAACCAGCTTGTCACAGCCTTCCTTTGTAATGCAGCAAGCTTTTGGAGTTGGGTCAAAGGAGGGGTGGGGGTCCTGGATGGGATGGTGAAAATGGACCTAGTTGGAGTTGAAGACTGTTACGATTTGTCTACCTCTATTACGGACTACTCATTTCTCTTTACTCATCGGTTATACCATTGGACCGATGACTCACGTCCCTCACATACACTTCCGCTCCTCTCCCACTTCTATTACTTTGTATAGTACTCAGTCCTCAACGGACAGACCTACCCTAGATAGGACGTAACTCCTATCGCCGACTTACTTCTCTATAAATACGCTTGTAACAGTAGTAGTATTCTCCAATACGATTCTACGCAGTTCACGCTTACAAAGCTAGACTTCCAAGATCAGACTTCCATACGGAAGAAGACCAACAACCGTTGGAATCCCTCTATTCAGAATTACATCCTCGAACTTGTCTTCAGATAAGTCTCTTTGAACAAACTTGATGAACCCTCAGACTTTGTTAAGCACTTTGTGCGTAACAAAAGAATCGTATTCCATTCCAGAAGTCCCACCTATTTAGGTTTGGGAAGAAAAAGCCGACAATACGTCGCAACGACCGAGAACCAGATCTCAGAGAGCAGGAAGAAGCTCAGACGATTTACAGACACAGACAGCAACACCCCCGACATCGTCCAGACCAGGAAGGATAGCAGCACCACCCCCCTTCCCTCAACCAGACGTCACCCGACTCCACACCAGAGAACAGGCAGACGCATTCTACGAAGCCAGAACACGTTGGCTACAGTTCTACGCGGAAAGTCATCCACAACTAATCCCCAGAACACAACACAATCCTCCAGTAACCACAGAAAACATCTACAACAAAGACGACTTCGAAGAATACGCAGCGGAAGGTGAACCAATACCCCTTCCCACACCACAGATACTTCCCACTGCACCCAACCCATCTCCTACCCCACCTACCTACACCATGTCAAACGCTACGACACCCAAACCCACTATGATTGGGAAAATCGACGACTTTGATGGGACCCCAGACAAGGCCCAAAGATGGATATCATCCACTGACTTACACTTTGACGTCAACGACACCATTTATACCTCTGACAAGAAAAAGGTGTACGTGGCTCTCAGCTACATGAAGGACAGAACCACCGCCTCATGGAGTGAAGCCAAGATGACCGAATACAAAGACAAAAACGCCTACCCCACATGGGCAGATTTTATGAAAACATTCACAGCTAGTTTCAGAACAGCAAATGTCAAAGGAACGGCTTCGGCCGCCTTGATGAAAATGAGGATGGAACCAGGAGAAAATGCAGTGGCATTCAACTCGAGGTTTATGCTAGATGCCGGGAAAAGCGGCATCAACAACGAAGCCATGATCATGGTTTATCAAAAAGCAATCTGACCCCCCCTCCTCCGCGGAGCACTCACCGGAAAGGAACTGGTCACCATTGAAGACTGGATGAACACGGTGGCCAACCTAGATGCCAACTGGATCAGTGCCAACGCCATCTCGGAAGGGACATGGGGGGCCAGAAACAAAGAAAGACAGTACGACAAAAATCACAAAGGTGGACCATCCACCAGCGTGAAAAGTCTGACCAAAGACGAAGAAGAAACCAGGAGGAAGGAAGGAAGGTGCTTCATATGCAACGAAAAAGGACACATCGGGAGGAATTGTAGGAACAAAGGAAAAACTCCCGAAAGAAAGGTACGTCAAACCGAAACTGAAGATGACTTCAAGACAGTGGTAGAAGAAGACAGGGTCCAAAACATCATGAGGATGTGGAGGGAGTTGGGAGAAGACCAAAAAGCTGAGGCGATGAAAGAATTAGAAGACGAGGGTTTTTGAAACGACGGACTACCCCGATGTTAGTACCGTCGAAAATGGCAACTGTAACAATAGCAACGATCAATGCCAACTCTTTACGAATCGATTGCTCGTTAAAACAGAAAACCATCGGAACCAAAGCCCTGATAGATTCAGGAGCTACGGACGACTTCATGGACACAAAATTCGCCATTAAAAACCGACTCCCCCTCCAAAAACTCCCGACCCCTATAACGTGTAAAAACGTTGACGGAACCACGAACAAAAACGGAAAAATTACGCATTGCACCTATCAGAGAATAGACGCAGGAGGACAAAACAGGTTTACGAAGTTTCTATTAACCGGACTGGACGGAGAAGACGTATTGCTAGGCTTCCCCTGGTTACGAAAAGTCAACCCGGTCATTAACTGGAAAGACAAAGAATTACCGTACTCAGACAAACATTCAATCAGGACGAACCAAACTACCACGGAAACAAAAATCAGGACAACCACAGTAGACGAGGACGAATACAAAACCATTCACAGATACGTATCCGACCACACACCCTATCCTCGAACCACGATTCGGTTAAAAGTCAACTCGGCAATGGAACACGCACAAATACACGGAGAAAGAAAAAAAGAACATATCCTCCCAGATGAATATAAGGGCTATTCAGACGTCTTTGACAAGAAGAAATCGGAAAGACTCCCCAAGCGACGGGAATATGATCATGTAATCAACATGAAACCGGAATCTGTACCAACAGATTGCAAACTGTACCCACTAGCACCAAAGGAAGATGAAGTGTTAACGGAATTCTTGACGGACAACTACAGAAAGGGATACATCAGGCCAAGCAAGTCGCCACAGGTGTCCCCCTTCTTCTTCATTGGCAAGAAAGACGGATCACTCGACCATGCCAAGATTACAGAAAACTAAACGCATATACCGTAAAAGACCCATATCCACTACCCCTGATACCCGACCTCATCGAAAAATTGAAAGGAGCCACCGTCTTTACTAAACTGGATCTACGTTGGGGATACAACAACGTAAGGATAAAAGAAGGAGACGAATGGAAAGCTGCCTTCAAAACCAGCAAGGGAGTATTCGAACCAACGGTCATGTTTTTCGGCATGTGCAATTCCCCAGCAACATTCCAAAGGCTGATGAACGACAAATTCAAAGACTATATTGATGAAGGCTGGATGATCATATACATGGACGACATCCTCATCTTTGACACCAATGTTGAAAGACTCCGCATCCGGACAAAACAGGTTCTACAAAGGCTACGAGAAAACGACCTATTCCTGAAACTTGAAAAATGTACCTTTGAGGCGGAAACCATCGAGTACTTGGGAATGATTGTTTCCCACAACCAGGTATCCATGGACCCAGCCAAACTCGCAGGAATACGCGATTGGCCAACCCCGAAAGACACCAAAGGCGTACGGAAGTTCTTAGGTTACGGAAACTTCTACAGGAAGTTTATAGGCCATTACTCTGACCTAGCCCGACCCCTAAACGCCTTGCTAGAAAAAGACAAAAAGTGGAACTGGACGAAAATCGAAGATGACACTTTCAAACTATTGAAACAAAGATTCCTCGAATCCCCTGTAACCCAAATCCCCGATTCCTCGAAACCGTCGAAGATAGCAGCTGACGCGAGCAAACACACCACCAGAGCTGTATTAATGCAACCAGACGATCAAGGACAATGCCACACTCCACGAATAACCAATCGCCATTCTACCTCCTCATGGGATACGAACCCCGAGGAATCCCGACTAAACACCGATCCACAAACATCCCATCAGTAGAAAAACGATTATCCGAACTGCTTAGGGCAAGACAGAACGCTCTAAAAGCACACGAACTAGCGAGAAGCAAGATGATGAAACGAACGAACGGAAAGTTCACCAGATTCTCAGAAGGACAAAAGGTGTGGTTAGAAAACACCAACCTGCGGGAAAAAGCCACCGAATACAAGAAGTTCAACATGAAACGCATCGGACCTTTCCGCATCCAAGAAAAGATCTCTCCGGTAAACTACCAATTATCGTTACCTCCCCATTGGAGGATACACAACGTTTTCCACGCATCCCTCCTAACCCCGTATACCGAAACCGACACTCACAGATCGAACTTTATCCGACCACCACCTGACCTTATCAACGAAGAAGAAAAATATGAAGTAGAAAGTATTCTTAGACACAAACCCTGGAAACGCGGACGCCGTTACCTGATCAAATGGCGCCATTACCCTCATTCCGAAAACTCATGGGAACCAGAAGAACACCTGACCAATGCTGCGGAGATACTGGAAGCCTATAAGAGAGACCACAAACTGTGTTTATAACGACTGAGTTGCACTACTGGAAGAAACCAGGCAACTCAACGTCAATCTCTAGCAAGTAGTTGAACAGGTGTATAAAGACGAAATCAAAAGCTAAGGTATGTACATCGTTGAGTGTCTACTTATATATGTAAGAACTCATGTCAGCCATGAGGCGCTGACTGATAGACATGAGGATGTATCGTGTTTAGCTTGGTAAGATGATTTGTAAGTGATCATGTGACTTAGGGTCACATGATGAGATAAGAAGATAAGATAAGAAAAGCTACATGATAAGATAAGGAGAAATGAGTGTCTCTACGTCAGAGTTGGAGATGAAAGGTGAAGTATTAGATGTAAGAGAAGGGGATCGTGACATTACCCCCCCTTTAGGACTTTCGTCCCGAAAGGTTGGTTCAAGTTTGCCATTTTCCCAATTAAATATCCTATGTTTATGGGAAAATTCTGTGAAGTTTTTGAATGGTTGATAATGAAGTAAGAAATTGATTCGTCGTGGAGCGGATGGGAAATGATCATGGAAGTCTTTGACTAATTCTGGCGAGTTTTTGACATTTCGCTCAGGTTCCCATGTTCGTTCTTCTTTTCCATATCCTTTCCAATGTACCAGATATTCTAACTTGCCACGTTTCAATCGTGAGTCAAGTATCTGTTCTACTTCGTATTCTCTTTGTCCGTCAACTTCAGCGGGGGGTGGAGGTTTTGGTTTCTTTTGACCAGGAAAGGTTGGTTCTTTATAGGGGTGGAGGATTTTTTCGTTGAATACTGGATATACGTTTTTCCATTTTCCGGGTAGTTTTAATTTGTAAGCGGCCGGTCCGGTTTTCTTTTCGACTACGAATGGTCCGTGTCGTTTGGATAGTAGATCGGCTTTGATGTGAGTAGCGCCTGGCTTGTGATGTAATGTGAAATGATAATTTGCCAGTTCGCTAACCCATCTTGCTTGTCGTCTATTGAGCTTCTGAGGTTGTTCAAAGTATGTCAGGTTCTGATGATCAGTCCAGATCTCGAACTCTTTCGCGGCGTCCATTAGGTAATGGCGCCATTCCTCCAAAGCCGTCATAATGGCCAATAGTTCTTTATCATATATCTCGTAATTTCTTTCAGTTGGATTGAGAGATTTAGATAGATAAGCTATTGGTTTCCAGACTTCATTCTGTTCTTGAGAGAGTACTGCTCCTAGAGCATAGTCGCTACTATCCGCTTCTACTCGGTATCGACCGTCATTGGTCGGAAGTGCTAATACGGGGGTTGTGCTTATCCTTCTTTTTATCTCTTCGAAGGCTTCTTTTTGTTCTTTTCCCCATGTAAACTCTTCTTTACCGGTCAGTTTAGTAAGCGGTTTCGCTATCGATCCGAATCCTTCGATAAACCTTCTATAGAAGTTAACGAATCCTAAAAAGGCTTGCACATGTTTCTTTGTTTTGCATTCTGGCCAGTCTAGGATTCCCTTCACCTTAATCGGGTCCATGCGGATTTCGTTTTCCGAGATGATTAATCCCAGATATTCTGTTTCTGTTTCTTCGAAATCGCATTTTTCCGGTTTTAGGTATAGATGGTGTTTTCGTAAGATCTGAAGTACACGTTGCGTCATTGCTCGGTGTTCCTCTATTGTTTTTGTGAAGATCATAATATCGTCCAGGTAGATCACTACTTTTCCTTCATCAATTAGGTCTTTGAATATAGAATTCATCATAGTTTGGAATGTAGCTGGTGAATTTGTTAATCCAAAGAACATTACTAACGGTTCGAACAAGCCGCGATTGGTTCTAAATGCAGCCTTGTGTTCGTCTCCTTCCTTGATCCGAATGTTATTATATCCCCATCTTATGTCAAGTTTTGTGAAATACTTGGCGCCTCTGAGCTTGTCTACAAGTTCATTAATCAGAGGTAATGGATATCGGTTTTTTATGGTGATTTCATTTAATTTTCGGTAATCTTGTACAGGTCGGAGTTTGCCGTCTTTCTTTTTGATGAAGAAGAATGGTGAAGCAATCGGAGATTTACTGGGTCTGATGCGTCCCGGGTCTAAGTTCTCTTTTAGGAATGCATCTAACTGTTCTTGTTCTCCTAGTGCTAATGGATAAACCTTACAGTCTATCGTGTGATCGCCTGGTATTAGTTCGATTGCATGGTCCCATTGTCTTCTCTCAGGGAGGGCGTCAAATTCTTTTTTGTCAAAGACATCTTTGAATTCGTGAAGGTATTTTGGTACAATGCCTTCGAATCCACCTGTTTTCTGGTCTTTTCCCGCTGCTTCGGCAAGCTGTTGTGCAGTCGTGCCGTGAGCGCGGATGTGGTGCATGACGTCAGGAATGGATGTGTCTTCAACGTTTAGGAAATTGAATTGGACGATTCTATCCCCCTCTTCAAGATTGACCTCAGGGCAATACGTTTCTAGATCTTCTTCGGGATCAAAGAATCTTACCATCATGTTGCAGTCTGATGGACATCTATTGAAGTCTAATTTTGACATGTTCCAGTCTATCGTGGGATTGTGTTTCTTTAACCATTCATGGCCTAGGAACATCCTGCCAGTTCCAAGATTGGTAACGGCTAGCTGGAGTCTTTCGGCGTGGTCGTTGATCTCCACTAATATTTCTACGAATTCTTTAATACTGCCGTCTCGGTTTAGAGTACCGTCAGCATTGTAGACTGGAATTGGTCTAGGGATTCTATGCCTTTCATATCCCTGTTCTTCAACAAATTTGTTATCTATGCAACTTCCGGTACAGCCGCTGTCTAGTAATGCCTCAATCGTCGTTGATTGATGGGATGCAAGGTTTGTTAGTCTGCAGGTGATGTTCATCTGGTTTCCCTGAGTGCCTCTAATGAATTGCTTAGGCTTCTTCAGTTCTTCCAGTGCTAATACCATTTCGTGAATTGGTAAAGCATTCAGTTCTTTTATCAAATCTGCATTGACTTCCAATCCTCTTTTCCTGTGGGTCCAACTACTGAGAATACCAATAGATCTTTCTTCCTTTTGGTCTCGTAGTCTTTCCGCTATCCAGGCAGCTGTCCATGGTGTTTTTTGATTCTTTTTATCTAGGTTTTTATTAGAGGTGTTCCTGACCTCTTTGGAGCTGGTCGAAGCATCAGTTTCGGTTACGCTACCCAATTGAGTCGTAACATTCTGTGCTTCAGTTGTCTCCTTCGTAGTTGCTGCGCTTTTCGTGGCCCTTTCCCCTTTAGGTACCTCGTGCGCCGCTTCCTGTGCTGCGCTTTTCTCTTTCGAGTGCGCCGCTTCCTTTTTGGGAATCTTTTCAACCTGTTTCCCTTTCAGGTTCTCCTCTTTCATAGATTGTTCCTTTCGTTTTAGATCTTGTGCATCTTTTAATAAAGCAATATCATTTTCATCATTACTGGTATATGTGGCATCAAGATTTTCAATGGGTAGGAAAGTATATCTATTTACAAAGTTCTTTGGCACAGTCTGGCGAGGAGTCGCAGCTGGCCTTCTTAAAAACCCTGGAGCAAGTTAGCTCGTTCTTCTTCCGGCATTGCTTCTAACATTGCTCGGAGATCGAATTTTGGTTTTTGTGGTGTCTGTCCGTTCAGATGGTCTCTGGCTCTATGGCCCTTCTCTCCGCACTTGAAGCAGTGTCCTTCAGTTCGGAACTTCTGTTTGTCTACTTCCATCTCTTTTCCGGCCCCGGTATATAGTGTACCCGTGCCGTCTTTCTTCGCTTCCACCGTCTCGGTCTTCCTCTCCGAAGCACCCTTCTCTTGGTATCTTCCATTGGGTCCCCGGTTCCCCGTACCGGAGCTGCCGTTGGTTGATCCTTTCAACATCCGCTCATTCTCCATTTGGTCTCGCCACAATTGGTCGTTTGTGACGATCCTCGTCTTCCATTCTGTGTATGTCGTGGGAACGTTTCCACTATAAATGATCTGTTTTATAAGTGGACCATTTATGTTATTCCTGATTAGTGTGATCAGGAATTGTTCATTCCGTTTGACATCGTAGCCGGCCCATCTTCTTAACTCTTCGAATTTTACAAAGAACTCTTGGGCCGTTAGAGTTCCTTGTTTTTTGTATATGATTTCATACCTCGCTCTTTCTTCCTCGTGTGTGTCAGTGAAATGGTCTTTGAGGGTCCTCTCAAAGTGAGCCCAGCTCTCTAAGAGGGTGATTTCCCCTGCATCCGACCTTTCCTCTGCGATCTTCCTCCTCTCTACCCACTCTGTTCTTAGGGCCGCTGCTGCCCCTATACTCATATAGGATAAGGCGAAGCTTATCCGGTTCCTTTCTCGGGAGAAGTATGCGGAGTTTGCATTAAAATGGAGTTCTAATGACTCCGAGAAGCTTCGAAACTTCTTCTTGTCTCCGTCGTAAGGTTCCGGCTTTGCTAATGCCGTTTTCCTAAATTCTGCTTCTTGTGCGCGTGGCAGGCCCATTCCTGAAGGCTGCCTCCTTTCGCTCTCTGCGAGCCTTCTGCGCAAGTCTCTTACTTCTTCGTCTTTTGATGAGAATCTCTCTTCCCGTAATTCGTTGTTGTCTGCGATCGCGTTGTTGACCGCCGTTAAGATGAGGTTCTGTAGGTTCTGCATCTGCTGCTGGTTGGTTGCCGGCGATGGTGCGCGCGGCTGAATATGCGGTAATGCGTCCCGCAAATCTGACATGTCGGTGCTCTCGGCCATGTCTGGGGTCTCTCGATATGTGTCGTAAGACATTCAGGGATGATGTGGGGGATGGTGATAGGAATGATAGGGTTGGAGTGATTTGTTCTTGTTTTATAATTGGCCCGGGAAAGGGCAGAATCGGGATCTGGTAGGAATATAGTGATGCAAAGGGCATTCAAAAAAGGTTCCCCAGATGACAAATCTGGATCAACACTTCTTTAATGAAGATCCCTTTCTCTGTCTTTCCTTCTGCTTATGGGTTCCTCTTCTGTCCCCACTAAGCGTGTACGTAAACTATCTATTTATAGTACCAGTGTTCTAATAGTATCGTAATCGAGGTCCGAACGGTTGTCTCGATGATGGCCCGCGTTAACCGCTGTCAGCCCTCTTCCTACTGGCGGAGGCAAGTGCCCGGCCCGGTAAGAAGTATAAAGAAGTTTTTGTAGCTAATAGAACCTTAGCGACTCCACGTCACTAAGTTCTCTAAGTACGGGATTTTGGGGGCGGATGATGGGAGATAGAGGGATGGTTTCGAAAGATGAGTTAGATGGTGATGATTGGATGAAAGTGATTATGGTGGATGGGCGAGTTATAGGGGATGTGATTTGAGAGAGGGGTGTGGTGAGGCGAATGTATAGTTTGAGTAGAACGAAGAATAGGATGATGATGATGGGGGTTAGGATGATGATTAGGATAGCCTTTGTTTCTGTCATCAACTAGGTGCTCTTTACTAGCTTTTGATTATATAACGACTGAGTTGCACTACTGGAAGAAACCAGGCAACTCAACGTCAATCTCTAGCAAGTAGTTGAACAGGTGTATAAAGACGAAATCAAAAGCTAAGGTATGTACATCGTTGAGTGTCTACTTATATATGTAAGAACTCATGTCAGCCATGAGGCGCTGACTGATAGACATGAGGATGTATCGTGTTTAGCTTGGTAAGATGATTTGTAAGTGATCATGTGACTTAGGGTCACATGATGAGATAAGAAGATAAGATAAGAAAAGCTACATGATAAGATAAGGAGAAATGAGTGTCTCTACGTCAGAGTTGGAGATGAAAGGTGAAGTATTAGATGTAAGAGAAGGGGATCGTGACAGTGTTGAAGAGACAACCACCCCCACCACCACCAATCCTCTGTCTCTCAAAACACACAACATGTCTACTTCTCACTCTACCGGCTTCCCCATCACCACCTACTCTGTACCCGGCGAAGCCAACATGCTAGCCGACGAACGAGTGTCCTTTGCCCGAGGGCAACGACACAACCAGGCTGACGTCTCTGACGCCATAGAATTAATGTCAGCCAAAAACGCCCACGTCTATCTATTTCGTGAAACAGAAAAACGCTATCCCGATGCGTACCACGCTCTTTCTTCCCTATACACTTTCCTTAACATAGACCTCATGGCTGACGAACTCCTGAAAGCCATAGACTCACTACATTCGTTGGAAAGCGAGCATTCGCGGCACAACAATCAGGACTCGAGTATCTGTCGGGCACTCCGGATGGAAAAGTTAGTTTTGGAATCTTTGGAACGACGCTTGAGGATGAACTCCTTGAGTGGGCAGACGGACGCGGCAAAGGCATATTTGGAATTAGGCGGGAAGATCTTGCTAACCGAGGCGCGCACGCGGATAGAGCGAGACGGCTATACGAGTACTCCTCCACCCGGTTTGTCCCGCCGATCCCCATTATACCCAGATCAGATCAGTGTTACCCCGGAGCTCACCTACCCCACCGCCACTCCACAACCTCCGCCCACCCAGTTAGCGGAAAAATACATTCCCACCGTCCCAACCAGCCCGACCTCACAAGGGTCGAACCCCTCCAGTCCCCGTTCCACTGGGTCGAACCCAGAACCACTACCACCGCAGTCACCTCCGCCTCGACCAGTACCAAACGCCCAAACCCGTCGCCTGACGAACCGACGAGGAGCCCGATCGGGCCGACAAGAAGTGATACTCCAGATCCCCGCCGTCAGAACTCCATCGAATCGGCGATATCGTACGTTGAAGAGTCCGAAAGACAGTCCGCCTGGCGTAACGCGCAGGCCTGAGACCGGCTCCCCTTCCAATCCAATCAACGTAGATGACGACAACATGATCGACCAATTGTACGCGGGAACGTACAACCTGGGAGATGACGATCCCCCCACTCCCAAATCCGACACCTCATCCAATACCTGACGAAAGTACCACCAAGGCGTTCGCGACAACGCTCCTTACTGTCAAAACTGCGGTTAGAGTGATCACCGTACATATTACTGCGAAGCCTACTACTGCCCCGACTGCGATAGACGCGCACCAGGGCATAGTTTCAATTGGTGCCCTATTCGTAGGGAAAACGAAGATAGGATTCTGATGGAGGGATTACATGGAGATGTCAGCTACGACGACAGCTACAACATGGATGGCGAGGGTACCGAATTTCGGTGAAATTCGAAGCAAGTAAGGGGGTAATGTTACGATTTGTCTACCTCTATTACGGACTACTCATTTCTCTTTACTCATCGGTTATACCATCGGACCGATGACTCACGTCCCTCGCATACACTTCCGCTCCTCTCCCACTTCTATTACTTTGTATAGTACTCAGTCCTCAACGGACAGACCTACCCTAGATAGGACGTAACTCCTATCGCCGACTTACTTCTCTATGAATACGCTTGTAACAGTAGTAGTATTCTCCAATACGATTCTACGCAGTTCACGCTTACAAAGCTAGACTTCCAAGATCAGACTTCCATACGGAAGAAGACCAACAACCGTTGGAATCCCTCTATTCAGAATTACATCCTCGAACTTGTCTTCGGATAAGTCTCTTTGAACAAACTCGACGAACCCTCAGACTTTGTTAAGCACTTTGTGCGTAACAAAGACGAAGAGCCAGGCGGCATCTGATCCAGGCCGTGATAGTCAACAGACGCAATGCCGTTCTTCACCTTCACCCACAAGCCTGCAAGGTGTTCAGAGTCGCCCGTTGGAGGCACACCTTGTATCATGACCACCCACATCCCATTTGCCAAAGCTAAATGATATATAATCAGTAAATACAATGTAAGATATATTACAATATACGCTCACATTCTGCTATACCTTTTTGCTTTACAAATTTCAGAGGACAAAGGCTATCTTTGTCTTCTAGTGACCGAAGGAGTATCCGCTTCTCGTCTTGCTTAAGAATGGATATGCCCTTCTTTGCATCCTTGCTGCAAGGGTGGGATACATGTTCCGGCCAATTGTAGCAGACAATGTTCTGCTCAGCAAGCTCCTTCGGAAGCGACTTCCAAGGAAATAAACTTGCCGACTTGAAAACAAATCCTTGTTTTTCTTTACTGACGGTGTCGATGATGAGAACTGTTGTTAGAAAACCACACACAAAAACAAACTAACACACAATCCTCCCAGATTCCACGGAACTTGTTTATGGGCTTTGCCTCCTAGAACAGTGGGTGCTCTGGTTGTTCATGGGGTGGTATGTATGAGGATCCTTCAAAGTAAAACCCAGAGGTGTATGAGTGTGGGTTTTGAGGAGGAGGGATAGTTGAATTTATAGAAAGATAGGGGCTTTGTGGCGAGTATAGACGAGCACTACCTTGCTAATTGTAGCACAAGGTAGGTTTGAGAACAATGAGGATGACGAGGTGACGAGGTTCCCAGTGATAGCAGGCTCCTGACGCACAAACTGTAGTGCTCAGAAGGACTCTAATCGAAAGGGATGACAATCACTTTCAAAAAGTGACGAGTGACGATGACAGCAGTTAACAGTGGTAGAAGTGGGAAGTGTTGTGACCACACTGGATCACAAGTAGCAGAGTAGTGAACTTGAGAGTAGAGAAGAAGTCTGGATTGGACTTCTTGTTCTTTTTACAAGGTAAAATACAGGGGTTTATATAAAAGTAGGCTATGCACAGTATAGCCGTGCAAAAAGAATGAGAAAGAACATGAAGGAAGGAATGTATGCTGACGAATCCTGCGTAGGTAGTACAGGATAAGATTGTCAAAAAAAGGAAAAGAAAGGGATAGAACAATGAATGCTGTGAGTAATGTCACAGGTTTGTACAGCCATAAAGTAAAGTCCAATAGCAAAAAGAGAGCAGGAAAATCATGATGTCATGGGAAGATGCAGTAGAAAAAGGGCAAGGCAAAACACTATCAGTATCAACACAGTTCCTTTATTGTCAGTCAGGCATTCTAAAAAATATGTGTCCATAAAAATGATTCAAAAATCAAAAATAATTGCACTGTAAATGGATGTTCTGCTGAAAAAAAAGAAACTGGAGCCACCGGTCCACCACCTAGTCCAAATGCGACAGTTCCATGGCCTTACCAATGGACTGGTTGCGTTGGACCACCTGATCAAACGAGGGAGGGAGAGGAGTAGTTCCAATTTGGAACAAGTGAGTCCCAGGCAGGGTGTGATAGCTGTAGCTGTAGCAAAGACGATGGACAAAAGATAAGTGTACCCAAGTGAATGGGACAGCGATGAACATGGGCAACGCAAGGGGATGAACCTTCTCCAGCTCAAAAATCACCCACCCACGCTCCAACCAGGCAAGACGAGCGACCGATGTTTTGATAGTGTATGATGGCAGATCGACGTCATGAAGATGGACCTGTTGCCCTATTTGGACCGGCTGCCGGGGCTTTGCTGATATCAGCAGTGGCACGTGGTAGTCAACGGATCGGCGACGGAAGCGGATAGGAAGTGGTGACATCAGAAATGGTGGGGGTGCAAATAAGATGAGGAGGAGGAGGGTGGAGGTGATGGAAAAGTGGATTAGAATGGGGATCCAGAAACGACCGTCAGGTGAGAATAAAAAGGAGAGGAAGGGGCCCATGGTGGGGCTAGGCAAAGGAAGGGGAGTAAGGGAAACGACAAAAGCGAGGGCGCAATGCAATGTGTAGCCAGTGGCAACGCGGAAATTTGCCGAAATGCCGAAATGCGGACAGTACCGGATGGAAAAGCAAAGGTGAGCGTGACTGGATTGCCTAATAGAGGTGGTGCTGATCAGCCACAAGTTCGAAAAAGGCAATATTAATTACTATTCCACGTGGCACTGTGCCTGTGTGGCGCAAAGGCGAGTCTTTTTGAATATTCGCTTTGTTATTGACACCTGTCCATGCTACCAATCAACTTTGGTGCATGACAACGGTTAGTAGCGCACACTGATATGTGGTAGTAATAGCTACTCACCCAGGCATTCACGCATGATAGTCTTGATTTTATCAATATCTGAATCGGAATTTTGGCCTGGCTGGACTGCGCCTGGCTGGACTACATCTGTAGCCCAGTGTTCACCAACAAGCCTTGAAGATACATGTTTTCTGTGTGAAAATACGTAAGTTCTGTGAGTCAGAAATGAGAAATTAACACTCACTAAACAAGACTTTTGAGATGACCAATTGCCTCATTGCTTGCATGACAACATTCTTTCAAATACTATAACACTGTCAGTTCCGGATCTTACAGTAACAGCATGTGAGACTTACACCTTCAGCCTCACAGCTTTCGAACGATGATCCTAGCCCTTCGTCATGGTTGACATTATTACCGCACATAACTAATACGGACTGAAAGCCATACAGCGTCTCAATGGACTGTAGCTAGAGTATAAATTTTTGTATTAGTACGAATAAAACATTAGCAAAATGGCAAGTACTAACTGAGTCAACAATTTTCTGCACACTCTTTGTAAATATGTGCTTACAAGTACCAACGGTTTTATCACCTTTGGTGAGGGCACAGATTTGCAGCCACATTGTTAAGATCTAGTTGTACTGCTCCGGATACTTCTCCTTGAACGCACGGTAGCATAATGACATATGGTTTGTGAAGTGATCAACAACAATATTGGATCCTTCGGGCACAAGGTGCTTGCACTCCTGTTCAGCATTCTCCTGGAAATACATTTGATATGTTCCCCAGAGATTTGGGGCAACACCTTGGCGAGAATTCTTCGAGTTATACAGGGTGACAACTTGCTGTATTTCGATGCCGTTTTGCTCTGCAATTTTTCGGATCAACTTATCTACTTGCTGCAAGTCTTCAACAATCTTTTCACGGATGGCATTAGCCATACGCCCGGATACATGTATCTTTGTTCTGGGCTGGGAGTGTAACAGTGTTTACAGGTGTCCCAATAGCTGCATTTTGGTGGCTGGCATGCGGGCTTTGAGAACTGGGTGCCAGCGACTTGGATGTGCAGTTGAAAAGCTCAAATGGTGATTTTAAAATGGGAGGCTGGGCTGCCCCTTGCTGATCAGCAGTAAACCCCCCTGCAGAGTTAACCCCAAGTGTTGGGGGGGGCTTATTTTTGTCATTATACTCTCTATCAACTTCGTCAAAAGCTGCTAGCTCTAATGCAGAGAAAGACACAAATTCATCTTCAGTTGGTGAGACTTCACTTTCAATAACACACTTCTTGGAAATACCGGTCGCTGTTTGCCTTGCAAGTGGTGGGAGGGGAGATGGTGTTCCTGGAGGTGATGAAAGATCCGAGGTTGTGGAGCGTTGCTGCGCAATAGGAGGCGGTGAAGGGGTGGGTGCAGTTGAAGATATCCTGTGTGCGGTGGTACTGCTGTCAGAACTATGGCTGTGCTTAGTGGGTGATGCCTGTAACAAGCTTGCAGCCTCCTTTATTGAGCGTAAGAGCATTGTTCTCTCTAGAATTAACACAGTGAGGCCTATCCCAAGAGGGGAAACAAGGATACTTGCCTATTTTTTCTTGAAGGACGGGGAGGTAATGTGGGTAAGAGAATAAAAGGGAAGCAAAAAGAAAATTTGGTGCTATATAGCTCAACGTTCAACCAGCAGGTACTTCTATTATAACTGGATTTGCACTGAGAGGGAAAATAGTTGATCAAAGCAAGAGCTAAAAAGGCTTTATAAAGTAAGCTTACCAGAATTCAAGATTTAAATGTTCAAAAAAGTAAACCACTCGACTAATAGAAGTTAGTGCTATAATGATCCCGATCCCATCATGACATCAAGCCGATTATAGAGATCATGATCAAAAACACAGACATATTATAGTTGTAAGCTATGAAGATTTGTAAAATATAAAGGAAATAAACTTACAAACATTACAGCCACTTTTGTGTCTAATGTAGAGTCTTGAGGTTACCGGTGATTGCTACAGTGTTTCTAAGGTGTTCAGGAGCTTTATGGTGGTGAATCAGTTCTTTGATCAAAGCAATATCCAATCAGTTGAGGCCAAAAGGTATCGAGTGCAAGAGATAGAACCACATTAATAGGACATACTGCAGTACTCACCTGTATGCTCCAGAGCTCCTCCGCTTTGGTATTAAAACCAGATTTTTAAGTCCACGCCAAAGATATTATTCTATCAGCTGTAAACTATGATCAATGTTTGGATTATTATAATCATTAGTACACTCACATGGTATATCCAACCACAAGTTCCTCTGGCTTGGTATAGAGGCAGATGGCAAGGGTCCAAAGACTTACTTAGGCGAAAACTTGATGTTGATTGCAGGCTGAGGTCCAAGGTTGGGCTGTTGATGTGAAGATGGACAAACTACTAGCACTGACATTAGTAGTAGTATTTGATTTCCCAAGGCTGAGCCTACCACTGTTGATCCCAAAACTAGCACTGTTATAGTACAAGTGGACGTCTGAGTTGAGTGGATAGCAAACTTGAAAGAGATTGGATGCAAAGGCCTCAATGGGAAAAACTAGTGTCGGTGAAGCACTGACTCTCTGGGAGGTCCAAGTCCAATTTGGTCCACATGAGCTAAGTTTAGGACATGACAGTGGTGGTACATTTTGAGAGTATTATTTCAGGTCACCTTACAGCTGGCAATTTTGGTCAGATAATAATGGTGAGCGTACCATATGATGGGCAAAGCTTCCATACATTGGGATTTGATTCAAAACTGCTTTCTTCTCTTGCTGCTGTGCAAACCATTCCTCCCGAACAGACGCAGCAATTGATGCAACAAGCTCAAACCATGTATTGGGGCTAATCGGACCAACAACTTGAAAAGACAAAAGGATAACCCCGTAGTTATTGATACTCGTCCCAAGGTTGGTCACTGTAAGGACCGTTTTATTATTTTCTTATCTTCATTATGTCTTGGCTCTCGAACGCTTTTCCCGTTACACCTCTGGCTCTAGGGCTAGAGGTATCCTTTGCCATCTTACTTCTCATAGCCCTCACAGGCTTTCTTAACCATCGCTACCACTTCATATCACAGATCAGAGACTGGGCATCGCTCCCAGTTAGCCAGCAGACTGGGTAGGGACTGGTAGTAGGCATCTCGCCAACCAGCTCCAAGCCCCAGTAAAGCCTGGTAATACTAATAACGCCTTATCTAGAATCGTACCTCATCATGAGGATACGGTTCCTGACCACGCGTAACAATCTTCTATTATTAGTACAAGTCTCTCACCTGCTGATTAATCAAATCAGAAGTCGTACGATAGTTACTCTCCCTTTTTCTTATTGGTAGATTAATTCCTCAGACCACTTTTCGTATATTCCCCTTTCGGTCTGAGGAACGGACAGTTCCCTATATAAAGACGTACTTATTCATGTATAGCTCCTTAGCTTTCTATTACTGAATTTACCCGCTTTACTCCTCAACAAGAACCTTTGAAGCTTACCTCTCAAAGTCCTCTACTCGCTATATTTACTAGCGTCTGTCGACCTCAAGCTCATTGGACCCTTACTCCCTGCAAGTGCAGAAGGAGATAGGTTTAGTTTTTGTTATAGTTTATCGTTGCCTCACAGTCACTAGCTGATCATCTTATATTACATGTATCTCCATCCTAAATTCACATTTTGCACTTGTGCTCAGTCTATTGTTTTAACCACTGGTCATAAAAATGAGAAAAAGAGACACCTAGATATTGATTCTAATATATAGCATTTCAAACATTGTGTGACGACATTTTTAAGACTTGACTAAGAAGGTAATGGCGGAAATGGGGCATATCAGTTTCCGTGAGGCCCGTAGTGTTGTATCCTCATAACACAGCATATGCACATGCTAATATCCATAAGCCACTGTCTGGACTGGCTGGAGCTTGAAGAGCATCAGTATACCATCATTGAGTCCAATAAGCAAAGGGTGCTAACTTAGAGAGGATGCGCAGACCAGCCTTTGTGAGCTATTGTCATTGAAACAGCCAGCAAGCAAATAATCCGATCAATAAAGTGCTTGATCACCTATACATAGGGTAGTAGATTAACAGTAATAAATGTGAGAGTACATACCTGGATATCGTCCTGTAACACCGATCGGTCAGTAAAACTGTTGAAATGATGTATTTTGAGGGTCTTGAGCTTGATTATTGCAGCAGTCCAGTGACCTACTAGGCCAGGCCTATGAATAGGCACAATCCAAATATCCCTTTCCCAGTAGTGTCGCCATCGTACAGACATCCAAAGCCTATCATCAGTGGCATCATCATGTACAAGAGGAAGGTTGAAAGTAGAGAAAACTGCACAGCGAGAAGTGCATTCAGGGCCAAGTTTTATGAAAAGTATGGACAAACATCCATTAATGCACTTGTCATTGAGCTGAGCATGTGTATCTGCAAGTCTGAAAGATCGAAGGAAATGGTAGTGATTGTTACGCACAAAGTGCTTAACAAAGTCTGAGGGTTTGTCAAGGTTTGTAAAGAGACTTATCCGAAGACAAGTTCGAGAACGTAGTTCTGAGTGGAGGTTTTCCAACGGGAGTTGGTCTTCTTCTGAATAGAAGTCTGATCTTAGGAGTCTAGCTTTGTAAGTGTAAACTGCGTAGAATTGTATTAGAGAATACTACTGCTGTTACATGGTATTTATAATGGAAAGGAATCAGTGATAGGAGTTAGGTCCTATCTAGGGCAGGTCCGTCTGTTGAGGACTAAGTACTATAATAGGTACTGTGAATGCGAGAGGAATGGAAGTGTACGTGAAGGAAATGAGTCATTGGTCCGATGGTATAACCGATGAGTAAAAAGAAATGAGTAGTCCTTAAATGTCCAATAGAGATCGTAACAGTGATTGGCGAAATTGGTAGAACATCATGACAAAGGCCAGACTTGTATTATCATATGAGTAGCAGCCATAGAAAGAAGACATAGAATAACTAACCAGAGAGATCCATCAAATATTAACCATGATGTCAGTTGGTGTGTTCACCACATCCTCCACATCATCACTTAAGATATCATAAAAAACCTCAATGTCAGTCGGATTTAGCACCTCTGAAGCCTCTACAAGATATGTGTTATTGTCGTCAATGTCGCCTAGATCTTTAGCATCCCCATCAAATACTACCATTTGCAACCATATCAGCTCATGCGGTGTCATGCACCAAAGTTGATTGGTAGCATGGACAGGTGTCAATAACAAAGCGAATATTCAAAAAGACTCGCCTTTGCGCCACACAGGCACAGTGCCACATGGAATAGTAATTAATATTGCCTTTTTCGAACTTGTGGCTGATCAGCACCACCTCTATTAGGCAATCCAGTCATGCTCACCTTTGCTTTTCCATTCGGTACTTTCCGCATTTCGGCATTTCGGCAAATTTTTGTGTCGCCACTGGCTACACATTGCATTGCGCCCTCACTTTTGTCATTTCCTTCACTTCCCTTCCTTTGCCTAGCCCCACCATGGGTCCCTTCCTCTCCTTTTTATTCTCACCTGATGGTCGTTTCTGGATCCCCATTCTAATCCACCTTTTCGTCACCTCTACCCTCCTCCTCCTCATCTTATTTGCACCCCCACCATTTCTGATGTCACCACTTCCTATTCGCTTCTGTCGCCGATCCGTTGACTACCACGTGCCACTGCTGATATCAGCAAAGCCCTGGTGGCCGGTCCAGATAGGGAAACAGGTCCATCTTCATGACGTCGATCTGCCGTTGTATACTATCAAAACATCGGTCGCTCGTCTTGCCTGGTTGGAGCGTGGGTGGGTAGTTTTTGAGCTGGAGAAGGTTCATCCCCTTGCGTTGCCCATGTTCATTGCTGTCCCATTCACTTGGGTACACTTATCTTTTGTCCATCGTCTTTGCTACAGCTACAGCTATCACACCCTGCCTGGGACTCACTTGTTCCAAATTGGAACTACTCCTCTCCCTCCCTCGTTTGACCAGGTGGTCCAACACAACCAGTCCATTGGTAAAGCCATGGAACTGTCGGATTTGGACTAGGTGATGGACCGGTGGCTCCAGTTTCTTTTTTTTTCAGCAGAACATTCATTTACAGTGCAATTATTTTTGATTTTTGAATCATTTTTATGGACACATATTTTTGAGAATGCCTGACTGACAATAAAGGAACTGTGTTGATACTGATAGTGTTTTGCCTTGCCCTTTTTCTACTGCATCTTCCCATGACATCATGATTTTCCTGCTCTCTTTTTGCTATTGGACTTTACTTTATGGCTGTATAAACCTGTGACATTACTCACAGCATTCATTGTTCTATCCCTTTCTTTTCCTTTTTTTGACAATCTTATCCTGTACTACCTACGCAGGATTTGTCAGTGTAAATTCCTTCCTTCATGTTCTTTCTCATTCTTTTTGCACAGCTATACTGTGCATAGCCTACTTTTCTTTCACTATATAAACCCCTGTATTTTACCTTGTAAAAAAAACAAAGAACTCGATTCCAGACTTCTTCTCTAATCTTAAGT